AGGAGCTCGAGCGAGCTCCTCAGTGGGAACTCGAACAAATCCTCGCCGACATGCTTCCGGGTCTAAATGAACTATACACGGATGGTTGAGGACATCCTGAGACACAAGACAAGTACTCAAGATTACTGTCTGAAAGTCCTGTCCTCTATGACCATAGCTTATCGTCCTCTGCACCTCGAGGAGCTTCCCAATATTTCTGGGCTCCCCCTCCGGTATTTCCAAAAAAGAGAAGCTGTACTAGCCCTGATAAGACATTGCCAATCATTCCCAGTAGTAAGGGTGACTATATCCACTTTGTTCATCAGTCAGGCGGGTCGAGGAGATAGGCTGGCTCATTGGCCAACCGAGTATTGGCCTGCCTAGTAGTTCCCGTGAGCGGACTTAGCATAGGAACTAGTGATATTGAGTAGTGAGGTGGTCATTCACTGAAATACCGAGGGTATTATCGCCGACTACCTAAATGGGAAGAAAGCGAGTAATGACCTTTTCTTATTTAAACTCACGACTTGGCCGTAACTCACATGAGTGAGTTTAGAGGGCCGAAACTCTTGAGTGAACTCAAATGCCCAGGTATGGATTCCCTCTCTGCTTACGTCTGTCTGGCCCCTGCGGAGGGAAACCATCGCGATACTATCTGTTGGTATTGCGCTCGAGTTCGAGTTAAGAGTTCGTGACGTCGTGTATGGGAGAACTGTCCAGGAAACGGTTCCCACAGGCGAACCTTTGGGTAAAGGCGAGCAACCTGTTGAGGATGATGAATTCCACCTTTAACTTGACGCTATATACGAAGGGCTTGCATGTCGTCTCGATCTCGAAGTTGTTGGTGTACTCGAGCGCTATCAGGCTGCTATCTAGAGTACATTAATGAGGAATAGGACGACGAGTTCTCGGAGCAAGTTGGACCTCCGAGCCCATACGAGTTAATGTGGGCTTGAAACTGTGGAAGCCCTCCCATAGAAAGAGAGGAGATGATAGATTCCTGAAGAGAAAAGACCACGATCTCGATCCTTTCGTAGATGTGGAAGGCGAGAAGATAAGGTGCCGGGTTGCTCGAGTTACAAAGGACGAAAATAACTGATTCCGGGATATGCAGGACGCAAGCGTTGAAAATGATCATGATGAGTACCAAACGGATCCTCGTCGGGTCATAAACCACGAGATGTAGGCGCGACCATAGGACGACGGACTGTCCGGTCACCATAAAACACCAGCCAGCGATTGTGAAAGCACTCATGGGAAGATTTGGCGCGAGTTCGTAGTAGCGCAACAGGAAAGCCATGGCGTGAGTCGGAATCCCAATGGCAGTGACTACCATGCTCCAGAAGTAACATCCCCTCCATTTCTTAAATATGGAAAAGATTAAGACGAAAATCTCGATGGTGTTGTAAAAGGCAATTGCAAAGAATCTGCCATCAATAGAGCCTCGGCATCGAGAGCGGTGGGGCCCGTCTCGCCCGCCATGGCTCGAGGTCGCCGTCAGGAGCCTCCAGTTGCGGATGTTGAGGCTGGGGTATCAGAGTTTGGGGGGGGGGGGGGGGGGGGGGGGGGAAGGCTGACCGCAAAATTCGTCGCATCTGGTCGCTGACCGGTGGATATGCCATGCATTTATGAGGGATTGGAGAGAATAACTACGACTGTGCGGAACAAGGAGCTTTAGTGGCCGACTTTTGCGGGGCAAGGCGGTGTGATCCGGCATTATAAATGCATTATTGCTAGACAGTAATGCCTTCTAGCAGCTGTTGGCGTCTGGGAGCTAGGATCCTTGGTTGCAGTGGGGGGGGGGGGGGGGGGTTTAGTAGCAGAGATCGTCTCTGGAACCACGTCAAACAGACGATAGGTGGTGACAGCTCGTCGTCGCCAGAAATGCAAGGTCACAATCTCGGGATCTTTGATGAGCAGCCGGAGTTGGCTTGTCTTGCACTTCTCGGGGACAAAGTCCGCCTTCCCCGGTCTTCACCCTCCATGCGCGGCGACGGCCGTGGTGCTTAGCGTGTGCGAGATCATGACTGAGAGCCACCCAACGGATGTTCCACCTTACACGAGCGCGAACCCTAATCTGTGAATGTGGTTGGAACGCCAAGAGTGTCGGGCTGGGCGCAGCTTTCACCTTCCACTAGCAGACAGCTTGGGATCCCGATCAATGGGGGTGGACATGGATTTCAACGTCGAAACTACCGAGGAGGGCTGGGTGCACCGCTTATTCTTCCTGGTGGCTAAGATTGCCAACTTCCGGGCTGATAACACCAAAGTCTAGGAGCCTATTTCCGAGAGGGGCAGATGCGCCTCCTATGCACGCAATGCCGAGTGGCACCGCTTGAAGAACATGTGCGACAGCTGAGACAGCGCGTGCCCGCAAGTCGCTGTTCCCAAATATTTGGTGCAAGAGCCCCTTTCGTTGATCCATATTTGTGTCCCTTCCAGCTTGTGTTACCGATAAAATGCAGAGCTGAGCTGAGACTCGCCGTATGTGGTAGCCATGACACGCACCTTATTTGTTCCTGGGCCACATAATTGGTGGGACGGTTACACCACAGCTTGTTCCAAGTTATCAGAGGACACTTCTATCCCTTGATGACTCAGAATCACGCGTGACCTCACGCCACAAACTTACGGATCGACGTATCGGACGTTGGCGTGGCAGCCGAGATGCAGTATGTACCGCTCCAAGTAGCATCCGTCTCAACTAATGGCAGCCTCGCAATTTTCATTTGTTATGCTTCAATATACGACTGCAGACACTCTGGTCCCAATGTGTGGTCGACATCGTATAAAAGCACCAATGCAAAATGGAACTACAAATGTTAAACCCCGTCCGAACGCTCGTTTGGTCAATCTCAAAACCGACAGCCAATGCTAGAATCCTGTGACCGTGATCCCGATCAGCTTACAACACATAACGGACCGATTTGGGCCAATTCATCTTCTCTGATTCTTTTAATGCCCACCATAACGAAGCCCTCTCTGATTCTTTTAATGCCCACCATAACGAAGCCCTCTCTGATACCTACCTAGGTACTCAGGTAGCCATAACGAGTTTTAGTACTGCTCTAGTTCCCAGCTGCACACACTGCTATCTGGCTCTCGCGCATAGACGCTCTTTACCGATCACAATGCTCGGCACAGTCGGTCAAGTATACAAGCGGCGAGCCACTATCTCGGCGAGCGGACCGCCGAGGTCATCGTCAATAATGTTGTGGCCATTTTTGGCGCTGCAGGGGACTCCACAGTCGTGGATGCCTCCTTCAGTTGACGCAGCGTGCCGTCGAGCCATGACCCAGAGCCTAATGTAGGAGAAGCATAGCTAAGGATGACGGCCTATCTCGTCACGACCTATTGGGTGTCGGGTCGTTCTAGGACCCAATCAGAGTCTGTGCTGCTTGCACTTATCGATCATCGACGCCAAACTGTGACCGGTGCTGTCCAGCATCTGTGGGTCTCTCACCCAGCGCGTTCAACCGAGCACTTCATGGTCTTCTCCTCTATACAAGCGCACAAGTCCTAGTTCAGCATGGCGATCACCTCAGCAGGGCAGAGTTGTTCCAACCGGTGGAGAAGCAGACTTCGTGACGGAGGCATGCTCCTGTGTGTTGCTTTACTCTTGACCCAACGGCTGTTACGAATGATACCCGTGTTCCGGCGAGAGCCAATGCCCGAAAAAGTGTGGCACACTGTCGCAGGCGTCGCTATCGTGTTACGACCACACTCTGGAAGCCAAGCCGACCTCGAGAATATTCTCAATACGAGAGATTGCAAAACTGGGCATTGGCTAGAGAAGGTCATGGAAATATCCTTCGAGCCGGGCACAGCACAGACACCGCCAGGCTGTTTTCTGAGAATGCGTGCCCGCCCTCGATGCCACCCTTCGTCTCCGAATCCATGTCCATCGAGGTGGAGATTAAGGAGGACGAGACCACAGAGGAGACCAAGGAGGTAGTGAGTAAGGAGGAGGAGCAACTGAGTGCCAAAGTCCATGAGTGACAGAGAACGCTACATTTCCGGTCTCGCTTAAGACAAGGATGATCTGGTTGGCTGACTCGATCCATGTCACAGCTGCGTGCGTATCCTGCGGGGTCCCAGAGCGAGCTTTCTGTACATTATGTGGAAAATGGAGATTAGGAGAAAGCTGGTTACATGGTCCTCGGGGTCTTGGCCGGAATGCTGTTGTAGTGTTAAAGACTACCAAATCTAGGATGGGCTAAGCTCCAAGGTGCCGTTATCATTGGAGCGTGTCACGGTTCGGACTCTTGGGAGCTGGGCTTGACGCAGCAGCTATGAGGACCTGATACTACCTTGACGCGATGCGCTCGGCTGTAAAGGTGACCATTACGGTTGAGACGTCCCGTCGTTTTCCCGCCTGCGTTTGCCAGTCTCGGGCGAGCCTCGTTGTCAACCCACCAATAGCGATCGTCACCTGTGCCTGGAAGGATTCTCAATTGATTGGCTCCGCCACGCCGAAAGCAGGAAGCTGCAACTCCCGGCACACTGAGTGTATGTAGTGCCCTTGCGCCCGCCGAGTGCAGAGTGGTTGACAGGGTCACTGCAATCGCCTGCGAAACCAGGCGAAAAATGGCTCCTACAACCATTTTCAGCCGCGGCACGGGGTTAGTGCAAGGTCGACGTATACCTTAACAGGAGTGCAACCTCTGTCGTGCTAGACTGCACGGTAGAACTCGGAGTGACATTGGATCACCATGCGGTTGCGGTCTAGTAAAGTACGGTGGAAGGTGTCTCAGGTGCATGAATGACACCCCTGTGGCCGCTGATTGTATCTTTGACATCGGCTGAGCAAGGCAGAATGCGACCAGATCAGGCTACAAGGGAGAAAGTCTGGGTCCCTGACGTTGTTGGAACGGGGCAGTGCTGAGGAATTCATACTTAAGTAGGGTTTCTTCCGCCAGTTCCGCTGACACTGGTTCCCAGCCTTCTTCAATGGTTCACGGAGCTCAGTTGATACTTTCGCCGACACTGGCCTAGTCTCTTGTCATCTAGTATTCTATCGTTCAACTTCTACTCAGGTCTTCCTTTTATTACCCGGGGATGCCGGAACAAGTCCCTCCAACGCCTGGTCTGCCAAGTCATCAAGGCGTCCACCAGGCCTCGACCAGTTCACAACAAGTATTGGACGGCGATCCTATCGCTTGCTATGGACAAGTGAGAAGTCCACTGACCCATACATTGGAGCTAGCGCTGATACATCTAATCTAGCTTATCGATCTGAAGTTCAGAAAAGCCCCTGATAACGGCATACGACCTGACAGTTCCTGGCCATGCCTACGTCCAGAGGAGCCATTTAGCCTATCGCATTGGGAGCAGATACCCGGCGTGCAGTTGCAGCTCGAGTCAAATCATTGCTATCTGATAGAGGAGTTGCTTACTACCAAATCCCTCAAGCTATACATCGATATTCTACCCAAGAAATTATGCAACGAGACCGAGCAGTCCGAGCCACACCGCCTGGAACGCGAGGAAGGGCTTGAGGCCGAGACTAGTCAGCAACTGGCTGATGATGGAACCATCGAGCGAGACAGCGAGCAAACCCGCTATTTGAATGTCACTATCTGCGGGCCTTACTCAGGGCTGATGAGATAGGAGACTTAATGGAAGCACATGTCTTGTATTTGCAAGACCGAGCACCAAGCATGAGGACATCCTGTACTACAATCCCCAACGGTTATACCGGAACTTGCGAAAGCTGTCAGAGTGGTGGGAGACAGGATCTGGTGGGGTCTGGAAGGAACTGGGAGGGAGGTAAACGCCTAGTGTATAGTGTGTCATATATTCTCGTCTGATTAGAACCTGATATTTGGAATGGCAAATATATCGCTGTTCGCAGGCAGATTGATGCAGCGCATTTTTGACTTGGACACCGATGATATCTTGTTCGTGTATCTCCTGCTTCCTGACGCAGATAGTCCACCTGCTCGTGTCGTGAAATTGCAGAGCACGATATAATCTATATTCTTCGCATGTCACGGATCCGCCTCTTCAGGTGGTGCAACAGCTGGGCAGCCTGCGCAACGTGCGCTCTTCGGTTCCACGTCATAGTCTCCTGCACGAGCTTCCGAAACACTGAGATTTCTCGAACGCGCTTACAACCAAGACGCAATATTCATGACTTACCATATGTCAGCTCACCGATGGCGATCGCCGCCTGTGCCTCAGAGGGCCCTTCTATCGATTGGCTCCGCCATACCAAAACCAGGAAGCTGCCACTCCCTGGAGACCAAGCCTCATGCGCCTGTCTCCCACCCAGTGCAAAGTCATTGCAGGCACCTGGAAGACTGAGCTAAAAATGGCTCTGATCCATTATTCGTGCCACCACTCCCAGCCACGACGCAGAGCTCCAAGCAAGGTCCACTTCTGGCTTCACGGGTCCAGTGTATCCAACAACGCAGCCACACTTCCGATCCAGTAAGCTAGTTGTGGCTAGTGCGATCCCCACCGCGCCACAGCTCTGGTGTGGCTTTGCAATTTTCAGCCACGCAAGCTTGGCAAAGTAAGCCTGTGGAAATTGGGGAATCCAGTACCTTCAACTCGTGCTGTCCTCCGCCCGTGTGCACGGCGACTTCAGGTGGATCCATGCCCTCGTGTACCCAAGGGACGATCAACAAGCCTTCATCTTCCCCCGCACGTAGCTTACCGTCCCAGCCAAGCCCAGCTTCAAGATTGCTTCTTTTGCGGCTAGCGTATTGTTGGCTGTTGAGCGACTTTAATTTGCTCAATCATGGATCGGCGTATGGGAATGCACCTTGGCGAGCATGAGACAGCCGTCAACCTGCAGCTTGGGCGGCTCCTTCTCGAGCTCAACGCCTCTGGTACTGTAACAGCCGCTCACCAGATGTCCCAGCTTTGGTCAGCTTGTGCTATATTACGAAGCGTGACACCTCAGCCTCTTCCAGTCCGGAGGGCATCTAGGCTGGGCGGTCACTGTCTCGAGCGGGCCTGCCCTGTAGAGGCGCTGTAAGGTATTTTTTCGTGTGTAGTTTAGTGGGTTTCTTTAGTGAGTGGCTTGGTATTTAGTGGATGATCCACGTCGGAGTTCTTCAGTGAGGGGGAGGCTTTGATGGGTTGATTTAATGGGTTGCTTTAGTGGGTTGCTTCAGTGGTTGCTTCAGTGGGTTGCTTCAGTGGGTTGCTTCAGTGGCTCCTATTCCCAGCGTGGCCCATCCCATTCAGCTACGGAGCGAGTTCACATGCAGTCGCATGGGAACATCAGCCGCCTGGCGGACGGGTTCTGACTTTTGCTCACCTCCTCAAGAGATGTGTAGGCCTGTAACGTGCTGATTCTTATACAGTCTCGACCAGCCTTGGCTGAGACCTTACCTAATCACGCATCTGGGTTTCAGCGCGTGCATCCTGCTCTATGACGTGGCATGGTGCGGAACGATGTCCGAGGGATTGCTCTCGCAATGTTGATTTTGTCCTCGGCTTTTCTCCAGCTCTTTATTCGCCCCGGTCAAGTACTACGCAGGAAGCTATGTCTCGGCCATTAGACAAACAACCATGCTACACTCGAACCGCAACCGTAGCAAGTGCCTTGGTGTCTCTCCGGCAGCAAGCTGTGATGCTGGCGCCTGCTGCTGGGAGCATCGAGGACGAGCCGTGATGAAGCTGACTGGCCTGACAAGCGTGGGCACCTGACGTGTGCACCGCAACTAAGCACAAATTAGTCCCATCGCAATGCCTCTGGCTAGAATAGGTGCGCACGTGAGGCTCTGTCTTCAACCGAAGGCATCTCATCGTCACTGCGCTGCGGTACTAACTTGTCTTGACCCAGCCAAACTGTCCACCAATGGCGGTCGGCGCGGGTGCCTTGAGTGATGCGAGATGATTGGGCACGCGGATGAAGAAGAGGGCCTTGTCGATTTTCTCCTGTGCCTAAGCCTCTTTACTCCGCGGAATTGAGCCACCGTTAGGGCTATAAGCGCGGTCACTCGTGGCTTAGCTGTGATGTAGGCGCTGCCATGCTGCTAGAGGTTCATGGAGCGCACGAAGTCGCGTTGAAGACCGCGCAGCGCATAGTTCCCACTCTATGAGGTCGTTTACCGGCCTCATTTCAGCTTATGTTTCCGAAGGTTGTATATTGGTGAGCAGACGAAAAGTGTAGAGTCTCATCATCTTCATTGTAATGAGTGCGACACGCCTGGCGTCCATGGGTCGCTAGCATTGCGCGTGAGCCTAGGGTTTCTATCGGCCTGTGTCTCAGGCGACGACGTAGGACGATGCAGATTCATGACATTTTTGATTACTTCCAGTCATACTGTCGAATCCTCGTGGCCGGGGGTACGGAGCAATCTATTTTGGGAAGTCTCCGATGTATAAATACAATGGGTGCCCAACGACAGTTCTTCTCCTTGAAAAACTTGCTATTGCCATATTTCCTCGGCTAACAAGATGGATTTCCTCCTCAGCAAAGAAGATCACATGGTGTTAAGAGGACTAGAGCTCCCGACTCCCACTCCAATCCAGCACTCACATCAATCTGGTGTCGACTCGAGAAGCCCTCCCAACCACGGGACACCACGTGTTCCCTGCGCCGAGATGAGCGTCTGGCCTCCATCTAAGCAGGGAGCACGAGGGTTCCAAGAGCACGAGGGGGTCAATCCCACCTTATCAGTAAGCCCAGGATGTTGAATAACAAGCAACATACTTTGTTACATGCAGTGACATTGACATTATATGGCTAGGAGCCCAGACAGATTGTTGGACTGACCCTCCACCAGATGCACATACACAACAAGTCGAAACCTCCAGCAACGCTTCGAACAACGGCAAGAAAGCCCAGCCAGATTCTCCTGGGCCATACCCAACGGTTTCTGACTACCAACCCCTCAGAAGGACTTGACCATAATTGCTAACGCGTAGAATACTGAACAGACAAGCCTATCGACACTGCCAGCGCATAAATCGGAGTCAAAATTAATTGTGCACAGTCTGGCGTCTGGCGGGCTGGCTCACGAACAGCCGAACGTCAGCCACATGATGGAGACGCGCTCTAGAAAACGCTGCCAGGCGCAGAACAGCGATTGGCACTCGCCGAGATTCGTAAGCGACAGGAAACAAATTCCCGAGTGAAGCGCTCTACAACCTCTGCTGGGAATGCCAAGAACAGAGTTCAGCAACGTAATGCAGGCTTTCGTGAGTAAAGCACACAGCACTCGGCCTGGTCAAGATGTGTTGTCTTATATCTGTTTCTAGAACGCGATCGAGTCTAACCAGTCGACTGTCTCCTCGAACGATGGGGTCGGACACATTCCTTATACAGTGGTCACAGGACAACAAGACTACATGGGAGCCGCGAAAGAATATTAGCGAGTTCCCTACTGACTGCTTTGGAATGGACTTCAAGGGTTTTCGCTTTGGGATTGAGATGATCCGCCAATCAAAAGCCGGTCCTGAGAAGACAAGAAAGGGTAGCGTCAAATCAGAACGAAGATTCTCGGTACATTGGAAGGGGCGCCCAAAGAGTGAGAAGTCCTTGGTCTACGAGAGCCAGATTGACAAACGGCTCATTGACAAGTATGACAAGGGAGAGATTGGTTTCGTGGACAGGAGTAAGTTCGATAATTGAGGATGACTCCTAGGTCTCTAGTTCTGAATACTGTCAAACCAAGTCACTGGTAATCCACGTGTGAGGCAGGTCATCTGCCATAGGTGTGGCTACGCCCCTTTTCGCATGGACATGATGACCCGTGTGCCTGCATCGAGGGCTATGCGAGATGCCATGGGCCACATCGCGTGGCGGACGACTAATGGCTTACTCGTCCGTATCACGAGAACGGGCAGCTCAAGATGTAGACGCGGATGGAGCTCAGCGCTACCCGGGACACCTGCGCACGGCACTACCACAAGGACTCGAGCGCGAGGGCTCGCCCGCCACGAAACCCCCCTCACTTACTCATGAGGAGGAGGAGCCCTCCAACACGGGCACAGACAACCTTTCGGCCAGCTCCCTGGAGCACTCAATGGATGCGGCTCGACTACTACGTCCCTGTCGACAACTGGACATCCACTGGGACTGTAACCCACAATACGCGCAATGGGAACCGGGGCCTCGGGCACAACGGTGGCCGCGAGCTCGTCCTATGGGCCGAAGCGATCCGCCTTATCTACACGAACGAGGCAAGCATCCTTACGCGACGTGCTGGCCCCGTCCTCGACCTTACCTTCTCGAACTGCCCCTTCACCTTAGACATTGTTGATGGGGCGCGCAACCCCGGCACAGATCGCATAGCGCTGGAGATCTCGTTCCCCATCCCAGACTACGTTGCCTCGTCGGCAAGGGAAACACACCTTCTCGAGCCGCCTTAGGACAAGCCTCCGAGAATAGCCCTGATAGAGCTGTCCGGGCACTCCTCCACGTGCTCCTGCAAGCCCCTGAGGCCGTCAGCAGACGACGTACGGGCTCCGGTTCCACGGCAGGCTGGTAGACCGACGAGTACAACGAGGCCCACGAGGCTGTTACTCTTGCCCCTCGCCATCCGGGCAAGCCGAGCCGTATCAAGTGGCAGGAAATCCGAAGCCCAACAGCACTCTTGCAAGCGTCGGCCGGACTTGGCCTTCAACATAGCAAGCCTGTTTGAGAGCCTTAAGCAGCTATTCTGACACGTCTAGCGTGGTGCCATAGTGACGGGTAGCTGTCCCAACGATCGCTCATGTGAACAAGGTGTTTTATGCTACTCGTATGGGCTGAGCTTATGAGAATAGTCTAGCGCTTGACCTGGCAGTCGAGTATCGCGGGCTAGAGCCACTGGTGGGAACAGCGGCAATCTCTTGTGCAGTTGTGCATTATGGTATGGGGCGAGCTACGAGTGGGGTCCCAACAAGACGTCACAACAGACAGTATAGAAATGCAACACATCTGTCATCAGAGAGGCGTTTCACGGTCCGTAGCAGGTCTCCACGGGTATGAGAGGCCGTGCAAGTCAGTGCGTGGCATAGGACCTGATGATTGTCACAACGACCCTGCCACTGCCTCCCAGCATCGCTCCTCGGCCTTCGCAGCTCCAGCGACCCGCATCGGACTGTTCGACGAGGTTGACCTTCCACGCCTGCAGCGAGGCTCTTCCAGCTTGCGGACATTACACTTATTCGCCATAGGAAGCACCTAAATGCGTTGCCGGAGTCCCCAGGCCGCAGGAGCAGACATCGTGAGTGCATATCGACCACGGCATGTTCTGCTCACCAGGCTTCCAAATTGAAACCAGCTGTGCGCAACTTGCAGACTCAACTTCTCCCCACGTGCGGCGGCGGACTTGCATCTAGGCGTTCACTGCTCGAGAGGCAGAGTCATCTGTGTGCTGTCAGCGCCCGGGTAGCGTTGAGACCTGTGATCCCAGCATGGCCCCGGACGGATATGTCCCGACCCTAGCTCTCCATGGCTGGGCAGACCCACAACGTGCTGTTTTGGTGCAGCCTCGGCAAGTGACTGCCAGCCCACAACGAGGCTAGCAGCATTGGCTGGGCCCGGTTCGAAGGCGCGCCGGGATCCCCCGTCTTCGTTTTTGGGTCGATGGCCATCACGGCATTGTGAGGCACGACGTGGACAGCTCTGAGCATGAACGCCACTTCGCAGAGTGGTGGCGGAATGATCTTTGTCGCCCTTCACTTTCTCAACTCTTCATTCTCCGCGGACTCCTTTGCGAGCTGATAATTGCGCTCCATACTCTGAGCATTAGACAGTCAAGCATGCTGCATTCCAACTGTGACCATGACTAGTGCCATCACGTCCACTTCAGCAGTGATCTGTGGAGCTGGGCGCTTGCTGCCAATAGCATCCAGCTCGTACATTGCTACAGGCCTGGTCAGACTGGGGGCATTGCAAGGGTGGGCACTGACATATGCAGCGCAGCTCTGAGAGCCTAAGACTACCTGCTTGCGACGTGAAGCGCCCGGCGAAGCAGCTGCAGAGTGGCCCTGGCGGTTTCAGCTGAGACGTCCATTGTTATCATCCTGCCGCGTTTGCCAGTCTCGGGCGAGCCTCATTAACATCTCGCCAATGGCGATCGTCGCCTGTGCCTCAAGTGGCCTCAATCGATTGGCTCCGCAGGCAGGAAGCTGCAACTCCCTGTCAATTGACTCTGCTGCCTATGCTCAGTGGTTGACGGGGCCACCGTAGTCGCCTCTCCATTTGGAATCTGAAGGTGGCACGAGGTCGCCAAGACGCTAATCAGAAGGTGGCAGGGTCTGCAACCCCAACACCTGAAATCGACGATGGCACTCCCGACGACGTCACCGTCGCTGACGTCGCTCCTACTACTTGTTTTTTTGACCATTTGTAGAGTCAATCATTCTGAACGCGTAGAACGTCTCCTTTCCCCATAATCATCGAGCCTCGCCGAGCAAACAGCATGCCCGGTCAAGAGCACATTACGCCACGGCGGGCACGGCCCTAGGCACCATATGGTGGCTTCAGAAGCGCGGCCTTCTCCGAACCGACGGTTTTCATACCCACGATAAGGACGGCAACAGGCTGTACTCGAAGGCTGAGGTGTTTGCGGACTTCAATATTCCGAAGAGAACTGGATTCAGGTGGCTTCGTGCTATTCCTGAACCTCTTCGAGAAACAGCCGAGTCCGAGGAGACTTCGCAAAGAGAGTCACGGTCGCCATCGCCGTCACCATTACCAAAAAGCAGTGCTCCGACCTTAGCCACTACATGCGGCGAACGGCGCATAACCCCCTCATCGATAACCGACGCGGCAGACGCGTTGAATTCAGCGTCGAGGACGGTAACATATCCATCATTGGCTTCTGGACCTCCCTGAAGCTGATAAATGGCAGGGCTACCGCCTACCGTGGCCAGTCGCGCAGCAGAGTCGGGCCTCGAGGTCACCTGTTGCGAGAGGGTAATCAGGAACCAGATGCGGAGGAGCTTCAGGTACCATACATGCATGTCAACACTAAAGGAAGGACTTCACGACAAGGCCAAGCGATCGCGGGTTCGATGGGTTCAACGCCGCCTTCAGCAGGGCAAGTATGACGACAAGGAATGGCTCAAAACGGGGTTCTCAATGGACGAAGTTCACTTCGGATTCCAGCCGCACTCACCACCAAGGTCCACCGCCGTCCGGAGGACCGCAATGAACATTGGGTTGTACAGCCAGAGGACCCTCGCGAGAAGTCAAAGAAGCTCAGAAACGCTAGAAACACCATAAAAAACAAAGAGTACGACATCCAAGGTGCCGAGGAGCTTGAGGACGAGAACGAACAGACCCTCATGCATGCAGTCTGCGCAGTCGGCTGGAACTTCAGGTCGAAGTTATACTGGTACACGATCCCTTCAAACAAAAATGGGAAAATGACGGCGGACGTTCTGATTCCAATTCTACGCCAGTTATACAGCGAAATAGAGAATCATATTGGACATAAAGATTTCCGCCTTCAAGTCGACAGCGATTCCTCGCACCACTCGAAGAAGGTTATGAAATGGGTCGCAGACAATGACCGTCAACTCATCATTAGTCCCGGGCTATCTCCTGATCTTAATTGGATCGAGACGAACGTCAGGAGGGTCAAATATCACGTCAAAAACACTGCACATTTGACTACAGGCGACCTAGAGCAGATCATCCACGAGGGTGGCGCAAAGTGGCCCAGAAGAAGCTAAACGACGATGTTCTGAGTCAAAAAGAGAGGCTCGAACAGGTGCTCCTTGCAGGTGGAGAACGCATCCATTATTGACCTGATTGGACAGAAGAAAATATATTTCCACTTTTATATGCAATTTGTATGGTCAGGTGTAATAATTGTTAGTCGAGGTCGATCTAAGGGGGGGGGTGCGTGCCACCTTCAGATTCCATATGGAGTCGCCTGCACCACGAAGCTAAAAATGGCTCCAATCCATCATTCATCCCCATTTTCAGCCGCGACGACTTGCATACAAGGTCCATTTATAGCTTAGCGGTAAAGAGCTGCATCTGATGCGACCACTGCCACAATGCGCCACGGCTCGTGTGGCTCCGCAGCTTCCAGCCACGCCTTCGCCAACCGCAGACCGTGATCCTCTGGAATGCTGCACTCCACACTTCATTCCCCCGTCGCTTGTCCTGACCACCAGCTTAGTAATCTTCTTCATCTGCCACTTCCTGGGTGGGAGGGGGAACTCATTGGCGCGGGGCCACAGGCATCATGAAGCGCACCAACATGCATATCATCAATCCTTGGTGGGAAACGAGAGAGTCTGGAGAATCGCGCCGCGCAGCCTGGAACTACAGCGCCTTGCACCCTGGAACTACAGCGCTCGTAGCAAGCTCCCCGACGCATGTGGTAAGGCGGTCCGCAGGCAGTCTGTGATAGCTTCAAATCAGCCGTGCCTACCATGAGATTGGCTGCACTCTGGGAAGCCAGCATGAGCATTATAAGCGTGACCAGATGCATCTCGGTCGGCTCTCGTTCCGGCGTCGATGATACTGTTTAACCTCATCATCATCATCATCATCATCAAGGCAAGCTGCTGGACAACACCATCAATATGCACTAACACGGAGCTTGAGAGACGCTGTTTGTGTATCTACCCCTACGCTATCCGATTTCTAACCCTAGCCACTCGTAATCGCTTCTCGTTATTCTGCAGCTAGCTAGTCTTTCTTAAACCCGTCCAGTCCTGCACAACTACTTGTCAGTCTTGCTGCCAATACACAGAAAGAGCCAGGGCATTTACGGACCGACTTGGTGAACCACTGTCGGCTAACGTAACCTCTGTGCCTTTAGTTCGCAACTCACCGTTCTCACCCACCACTTTCTCTAAACAGGGAAGCGCTCTCGGACTAGATCACGGGTTCTTGTGGATTATCGGGAACTGCTCGCCATTGTGTATGCTGACGCTTCGGCAGTGAACTTTGTCATGTGGCTGCCGCGCGCTGCGAGTGACACAGTACACCACGCCGTCAAGCCTTCTCTCATCAACGCGGCATGATACATGAGCAAGTGGTATTCAGTGGCTTGACGAGAAATCCGCCCTGTGGCCTGGGACATATTTCCATCACTCGTGAGTCAAACGAGGCCCGACAGGCTCAACGATGGACGATCAGATAGACGCAACAATATCATAACTAGACTGGTGGTATAAGTAGTCAGATACCGGACCATCTGCTCAAGACTCTGGGGTGATGACTGCAAAGCACCTTATCGGAGAAACAAGGTTCGTACTGAATGGGGCGGAAGTACAGCGTGCATTTTCAGGTCGCATTGAGAATAGAGATAAGCAATTATGAGAGTAATTAGTGAATAATTTATGCGAGCTGCTACCCCTAGTCGACACGTCTATTAAGCCAAGTGCCTCATAAGTAGCGCCCAGCCACTCCAGTCGCACCCGATCTCTTGCGCCCCTTGCGTCGTGACCATGAGATCGACAACACACCCAGCCAAACCCCTCGAGCGTAGTTAGCTTACACATGACCCCCTCGCTCTCCTATCCGACCAGGCGAGTTTCTCCCCACTTCTTAGATAGTAACGTTTAGGATAAGCTTTGCCCGTGTGATTGTTTAGTACGGGGTAGGCGCATGAAAAGGTAGTTACGACGTACCGATGACTTTAGCTGGCCCGACTTGAGGCGTGATGGCTGCTGCTACTCTCCTTTCCGCTTCTTTCTTTTGGGGCATCCCTGCAGTGTTCTCATCGTCGCTGGAGTTGGTGCTCGAGATGTCCCCCAGATCGACCTCCCTGGTCCTCTTGGGACCCGCCATCTGCGCGGAGATGTTAACTCAACGTCCATCCTTCCAAGTGCAGTCGCTCCCTGCTCTTGCTCAGCTGCATGACCATCATCCGGTGTAGCATCGTCTACCGTGCCGCCTTCTTTTTTTGCGGTTCAGCGACCCTCATGGACTTTTGCCCTTCCTCTACCGCTTTGAGAAATTGGAAACGTTGTCCGGGTTCTTAGGATCCAATCGAGCACGAATGACAGTCTCGCTAGCGCTGTCGAAGATAAGACGACGTAGGCCGGATGAGTGTTGCTGCAGTAGGACTTTCTTAGCCTTCCCTGCAAGGCAGAAGGCCACATTGGGTTTGGGTGTCCTCAGGCACAACTCCAACGGAAACCCAATATCATTAGCCATTTTGCAAAATAGCTGTAGATCTTGCCTTCTAGAGCCGCCGCGATATTTCGGGAAAGATCATCGAATCCTTTCGATGACAAGACTCATGTCCTCAAGCAACATGTATTCCTCAGCAAGGTCGGTGCTAGGGAGTTGATCCGTCCGCATCTCGAGGATCTGAGCGAGGCATGCGAGACTGGAGCGTCGCCTCCTCATTGTCGGCGTGGGAGTTGGGCCGGGAGGGCTGTTGTGCCTCAGCTCCATGGCTAACGGGTGATGTACCGGTCGTGTCCGCCTTGGTGGCCATGCTGAAGGGATAGCAAATGTGTCTGTTGTCCTGAATCGAAGGAAAAACTGCTGCGGCGTGAGTTCTGAAAGGGAGCTCAGCAACGGGCAGGCGGACTCATTCTTATATCTCAAAGGCTCGACGCACAGCCTCAACAGTCCGCGGTCAGCCCATCGGACCCGTATTCTGCAGCCAGGATGTTGCAACCGGTTTCCGCCTACGCCACCAACACCTTTAAGATCATCCGTGCGGGAGCGGCTTGATCTATTGCATTCAACACATCTGTCAAACGCCACCATGCATTCTCACGAACTCTTCTCATTGTGCAGGGACCTCCTCGTGCATGCTTTCAATCGTACGTTCCTTCAAGTATCTCATCCTGCATGGTGCTGGTCGCAGCCCTGTGGTGCGCACGGTGTGCGCCTGGTGCTGCAACTCCTTCAAGCACACCACCTGGCCAGGGTTATCGCCGCGGAAGGTTTTTCCGTGCACACAGTAAGAGTCTGATGCATATAACATGTACTTGGTTGGTTAGCATCTCACGAATCCTTATGGGTCGTCACAATGGTCGGTTTGCAAGCGCCAATATTGTGCAAGGAATATGCTTGCACCGTACCTATAAAGGCTGGGTGGCACCTACCCCATCTGCTATAGCGTATTGTTGTCACATTCAGCCACATCATGGCCGCTTATCGCCTCCCCGCGGAGCTGTGGACTGAGATTCTCCGCCTGTGCAGTGCCGAGAATCTCCTCGACTGGGCTAATCAGCAGTGCTTCTTCCAGGAATATTGCCGATATCTTCTGCTTGAGGAGACGTACTGGATCGAGCAGTTCCGCTGGGATAATCACGAGCGATGGAAGTATTGGGCGGGATGGTCCTTCAGTTGTGCGGTATCTGCAGATCTTGCAAGGTTCCTGCTTCAACGCCCAGGTACAGTTATCTCCACCCTCCACTACCGGCTCCTGGCGAGGTTGAATAATCGTCTGATATTCAATCAGTCCTGACAGCGCGTTGTCAGATATCCCTGTTCGAAGATGGAAACGGCCAGCCAAGAGCCTGTCGCAATTCTGTGGTGGAGTGTTGCTGGTGGGAGCCTCGACACACTGCACAAGAAAAGTCGGTTCGCTGGACTCACCGCCCATGTAATGAGACAGGTGTCTGTCTTTGTGCACGATCCAAAGAATGTCTGTGGGACGTTGCGAGACCTTACTACCGGATTGAGGAATCATTGGACTTGCTATGCTGCTGTCGCAGGCGACGTCGAGTAGGCAGTCCGTGCCCATTAGCAGACGGGTTCCATGACTGGTATACATGTGAGGACAAGGCACTGTTTGAGGTTGCCCTCGAAGAGCAGAGAGTATGTACGGCTAAGACAAAAGATATATTCTAGTAGTCTTAGCTACAGAGCAGCGTAACATTCGATCCACAGACTAGTACTTCAAATTGTGACCACATCGTCGCCATGATCCTGACGTTTTGAAGCGCGACCTCTCTCAATGACTGGTGGGTTCGAACGAAGAACTCAACGTCCGAGTTAACAACAGTCGAGTTCTGAAGCCTTAGGCATTCTAGATTGCCGGTAACGACTTTCCTTAACAGAGCTAAAGAGGGAGAATCCAGGTGAAAGTTCCTCATATGAGCTAGGAGGAGCGGCGGGGCCGAATTGAGATCGAGCAGATTTATACGGCCGCTGATCTGTATATGCGAGAAATATCCAAAATTGTTAAGTAGCCCGAGGATCCTTACAACGGTAGAACCGAAAGAGCGTCCTTGAAGCATCTGCAGCCATGCACGATGGCTAAGATGGTCCGGCATAGATATCGCCTCAAGTCGAAGGTCGTCAGTAAGCGTGATCCGTGATAGGTGTGGTAGTCTGTTTAAAATAGCCTCGAGATCTTTTATATAGGATATACGCGTCTCTTCAGTTAGTATATCGTTGCCCCAAATTCGCATAGGCGAGATGTCGTCTCGGACAATTCCGTCTGGCGTGTCGAGTGAGGTAGCCTGTATTTCTGCTTCTATTTCGGTGCTACTTAACCATTGGCTACACTTGATAGTTAGGTGCTTTGTATAGCCCACAAAGGCTACATGTCGGTCCGCAAATCTGGAGAACTGTTGTAAGGAGGAGACTGAATGGGATACGAAGAGATGTCTGGCATGCTGTTGCCCGGCGATCGCGGCGAGGGGCTTGCAGACTAGTCTTAAATTAGCGATATCTATAGGCGTTTCTAACTCCTCGAGGACAGCCACGACTAGCTCGACTGGCAACATGAGCATGGTGAGAGAGGAGTGTGACAGTAAGAGCTTCGAGCTGCAGAGCCTGGGCGAACGCCGCTTTTTATTTCAGCCCCCTCGTCCGCGATCCCTGCAGCTGAAGAAAATAATGAAGCAATGAGGTTTCTGTTTCCTGATCTGAAGGCTCGGATTCTGCTACATATAACAAGCCCTACCGACGACCTACAAAGACTCCCCAGTCTCGTTGAGGAGAGGCACAGTCTCGCACGGCATTCCTTCGGCATAAGCTTGGCAAGCAAGAAAGGTGCATGGACGCGGCGGAAAGGCATATTGGCGTCTGCGCGCGATGTCCTGCCCACCCATGCATTCGGAAGCCATACACGCAAAGTATCAACGAGCTCTACAATCCCAACCAAGTCGTAGCTTAGGACTGTGTATAGGCTGTTCGGTACTGTACTATTTCTTGTCGATACAACCTGGACTTCCCCTCTATTTTTGGCTTCTCTGAGCTCATCACATCTCCATAATCCTTTGGTCCGCTTGGGGACGCACATACCGGCCGCCAAAATTTCGTGTGGGTTCCGTTCCAATCTCAGGCCGTGAAGGGCCAGGACCGCCGCGCTGCGCTTCTTGTCGAGTCTCATTGGACCAGTTGCCAATCCGCCCTAGATTGAATCGGCCTGATGTGACGCGATATACGAAGCCATGAATGGCTTAATTAGGCAGTATCTAGCTTTCACAGCGGAAATACGGGACCGAACTCTCGTCCTTACGAGCAAGTGCCTGCCATGAGACTCACGTATCCTTCTCATCTACATTCGCGCGATCCCTGATCGACTCTCGTGCCCCTGTCTACCACCCAATGCAAAGTGGGTAACGAGGTCACTGCAGTTGCCAGTAATAGGCAAGCTAAAAACGGCTCCGATCCAATCCCCCATTTTCAGTCGCGACGCAGAGTTACATGCGAAGTCCCTTTATGGCTTGACGGGTCCAGTGCATTCATAAACAATGCAGCCAGACTTCCAAGGCCCCCTGCAACTGGAGTGATCTGTTGCCGTGGAGGTAAGCAAGCTCTTTGTGGCTAGTGCGACCGACCGCCCGATCTCCACCACAACGAGCCACAGCTCTGGTGGCTTTGCAAGTTTCAGCCACGCAATATGGCAAGCAAGTCTGTGGCTGCCTGCGTAGTGATTGCATGCTTGCTCCACCAATCAGTGCTCTAGTTGGAGACGGGTCACAAGTGGTACACCGCCCCGAAGGCCGTGCATCAAACAGCGTATGTAGTGGTCAGTGCTTGAATCGCCAGCTTGCGCGGCTCCTCTGACTTCTTCTCTCAACGTGTCATAACAGGATTGAATTATCTCAATCAGTACCGCGACGCTTCACAGGTCAAATGGCTCCCGAACTTCACATTATAGAGTGCATTTGCAGACCAGCCTCTGCTCTTCATCCGCCACCGTCTGATAAACCCCTTCGCATCCAGATCGAGGGACCTTTGGTATCCATCGCGAAGCTATTCCCAGACACGCCGTGGGACGTCAGCAGTGTGCCGGCGCCATTTCCCCAACTTGCAGGGCGCCGTCTTGCGGAACTGACTTACGAGAAGATCTATGGTCAGCGATATCGCCCCGACATCGAGGGAGACCTCGTCGTACGTGACGAGTACCTCGGCTGGGTTCCAAGAAGAAGGTAAGCTCACATCACGCCGAGCTGGCCATTGTTTCTCCGGCTCCCAACTCGTTATTAATATTTTAATAACCGGACCAGCGAGATCGACTATTATGGTGTCACATTTGATCACCTAATTCCTGCGCACGATCAGGATCCCGAGGTGCTTCAGATTAACATCATTGAGATGGATGAGGACAAAGGCGCATACGCAAATCAATATCTGCCGTTTCATGTCGACTGGAAGGACTATGCTGGCAAACGGATCTTGGCTGTCCCTAGATGCTGCCAGCGAAGAATTGGCTCCACAGATCGACGGAAAATCAACGATGGAGTGAATTGGAGGGACAATGCAACAAGACAAACAGCTTTAGACAACGGCCATCCGTACTAGATTCGATGGATAATGGATTCAGCAGAGCTACGTCGGTCACACAAATTCAACATTGTGCATCACGCAGCGGCGCTGCGTCAAGCTTGAACAGTGACAAAGATGCTACGGCCGAGGCAGATAACCCTGATTGTCCCGCATCAACCAACATGTGCACTACGGAGACCCCTGATTTGCTCTGATTGGTGAAGCAAGCATGCAGTCATCATGAAGGCGCCATATGACTCACATGTCCCGCTATTTTTGGCCTCTATCACAGACTTTCATTGGCCCTTTGTGAAGCGAAGCGCCTGCGACGTTGATGCCTGGGCTTCCAGCCTCGTCTAATTTGAGAGGCGCGTTGGCGGTCTTCCACGCGCGGCTTTGGATCTGGGGCTTTCGAAGGAGTATTTATAATGGTCTGGACAGCTCCGGCCTTGGGCATCAAAGACCAGCATTTGCCTTTTCCGTGCATTTAGCGACAAACCGGCTCATTGCGCAAATCAACCATCATCAACTATTGCCTGCCCTGCAATTGATCTCTGCTTTTCAGCCGAATCGTATGTGCTTTCGATGTATAACCTGGACCACAATGAAGCTGACAATTCATAGAACATGTGTACCATCTACACCGACCGCTTCAGCTGCGGTCATATCTATAAAGATCGCCGAAATCCCTGTGAAGACCCGACTAGATGCCTCCCCACATACTTGGAAGGGATGACTGTCAGTTACACCTGCGGTGCCACTGCTTGTAATACGCCACCTTCGTCCGATTGACGACGCCTCAAGACCTAAGGAGATCGAGGCAGGCAGCAGGCAGCAGGCAGCACTCCTCATAGGGCGTGTGGCCGGTACCTAGGATATCGCAGAAGTTGGGCACGGAGCTCACCAGGGAGAGTGCCAACCAGGGAAAAGGATCATCTACTACCTTGCGGCAGTCAAGCTCAAGAGTGGGGAAATCTCAGTTACGGAGCCATTGTCTCTGCGTCCTTCCGTAGCATCAATAAAACATTGGCACTTTAATAACATGGCTCCATACGGACTGCGAAGACTACGAAGTTGAAACCAGTCGGGTCCACGTCCGGCCGTGGGGGGCCCAACTAATGGAAGAAATGGCTGTCAAGAAACCCTCCGTCATTCATATACGTTTCATACATTATTTGAGCCCTTGAATTATAGGCTAGCTCTTAAGACAGGCCGTCGAACTGCACTGCCATCTCATCTATGTAGTAGTCGATGGTCTAGCGAGTCCGCGTACACGAAATGTGAAAATCGCGATATGGCTATTGTTTGGTGTGGGGCAGGATCTACCACATACGGCAACAAACAAGAATCAGATGCGCGGGCGTGATGAAGGGTCTGCAGGACGTTGACGTCTGGACGGCTGGAGAGCTGCTCTATCCACTTTCTTGCCGTACAAGTGTACAAGGACAACGCCGCAGTCTCTCATGTCCGGCGCTCTGGCGGCGAGTTCTCCTGCACCCCTCTCCATATACCTCAGAAAGGTGTGGTTTCCCGGAGCCATTAATGGCTTCAGTTGCTAGATATAGCTTCCACAGCGTAAATACGGGACCGAACTCTCGTCCTTACGAGCAAGTGCCTGCCATGAGACTCACGTATCCTTCTCATCTACCTTCGCGCGATCCATGGTCAGCCAAGATGCAACACCCATATTATGCACAATTGCCTGAAGGCTACACTCCCGTCGACGATGAAGAAGGCATTACACAGCTTTTGGACTGGGTTTATGGCAGGCTGCCTGAAGTGCAGGACGATTATATCGAACAAAGCGCTCAATACTTGATGAGTTCGTTACAACAAAGCCGCTCTCCGATGTCGGCGAAATGGAACGAAGCCAGCGCTGTAGCCTTAGTCCTTTGCGGACGCTTCGAGGACGCTGACGAATATATCGAGCAACTCAGCAAGCAGCTGACCGCATCGAAGCAACACTTCCCCGAACAAACCCTCTTGGCAGAAGCCCGGAGCGGTTCACGGCATCGATTCGAAGCTGCTCTGTATCGCCTGACCAGACACCCCTCCCGTGATGTCCTCCGATTGTCCTGCATCTGTGCAGCAGCACATGGAGATGTTGAACTCTTGGAATATCTGGACGAGGAGTTCCACTGTGTGGTCGAGGATCGCAGCCTGGCAACACCGATCGATAATGCAATTGACAGTGGGCAGTGGGCAGCAGTCCAACACCGCCTTATCGAAGGGGCAAACACCTGCCCACTCGAGGAGGTGCTGGCGGTTCGAGCTATACAAGTCGGGCAGCTAGGAGTGCTCCGCTTCCTAGCACAGTGTTCAAGCTTACCATCGGTGTACTTCAGAGGCACACTCCTCATTCAGTATGCCATGATGTTGGATGATCGCAAGCAGAGAGAAGATATGATCGAGTCTCTTGTCAGAGATTTCCACGTCGATGTCAACGTTTTAGGCCGGGACGGAACGGCACTTCACATCGCAATCCAGTCCGAAGAGACAGACACAGTGGACCTGCTGCTTAACCTTGGCGCGGATGTCCATGTAAGAGATCATCTAGGACAGGATGCTCTCGAGTACGCAATCTCTCACAATAAACTTTTCCCTCCGCGGCTTGCACAGCTATCAAGACACACCAGCTTGGCGATCGACGCCGAGAAAAGGCGGCTCGCCGCGCGTATCATCCAGTCACAGACACACTCAATCATTCGACATCTCTGCGCTCTGGTCAGCGACAGCTCGATCGACACGACGGTGGAGCAGAAACTAGACGTTGTTAAGCATGCATGGCGATCTTGCAATATCGAAGAGCAGCTGACCATGATATGGGCTCGCAATCTATCACTGGCAGCTTTGCAATGGTATATTGCCGAAGTTGAGGCCAAGGGGGTCGCCGACGATTACATGGTCGCAGCAGAGGTGACAGTGGCGGTTGCAGGCCGTGACTTCTGCGCATACAGCATGATGTTGGTGCCGGACGTCCAGGAGCCGGCATCCCGGGTTTGTGACTCCACTGAAGCAGAGCCTTCCGAAGCAGCCCAGATTGTGGCAAGGTATTTCATGCCGACTCATGTACACCTCCATGAGAAGCTCGGGCGGGAGTTGATGAAGAGGCTCTCTGATGGTGCACTGCGCGCCCTCAGCTCCATTATCTGTTCTCCTGATGCGCAGCTCTTTGTCAAGGGACGAGAAGCGCAGTACTTGGAGGAGGATGACTTATATCAACACTTTGTCCAAACGCAAGGTTGGGAGCTTGACAGGCCCCGCCTACCCTCCCCGTCTTCGCAGCGCACAGCAGATACAACAGTTGCATGATTCGTAGACTCAGTAGATCATCGTCCTATGATAGAACTTCGCTTCACAGCAATGCAAGTCGAGACTAACCAGACTGCACGTGGCCAAATATCTCAGGCTTCTTTGAATGATCAATATGCTGAGTTGAAACGCTCCGGACTCCTGCTACCATCGCGGCCGAGCATGTTCTGCCACGGTTCAGTCTCTGCGCAGTCCTGACATGTGAATTTGCAGAAAGCTGATGTACTGCCGCCCATGAGGCGCACGGCTATGGCAGCTGCATAGGTGACCCTCATGATGCGGCTGCGATGTCTCAGTGCCGTTACGTAACGGCGCCAACCTAGCGGGGTTGCCTTGAACATGCCGATGATAGTCGACAATTATGCCTCAACTGGTTCGAAATGGTTGGACGAGCCGCATTCGCAGCTGGAAGCTCGTCTCTACCTGCAGATCTGCCCTACCGGCCCAGCCCGCCTGCAATTCCGCCTCTTGCTGCACTTCTCAGAGACAATGTGCTCGGTCGGTTGTATTCTTCAGCCAGAATCGGCTCCAGCCACCACACCCTGTTTCGCAGCGTGATTGGCAGGGCCACTTTTGGCGTCGCACGATTCTTGGCTCCCATGGTGGAAATTTGCGGGGCCTGGACGGCGCGTTGTGCAACTGTGTAGCGCGCCAGGCTGTGCCGAGCATTTTGTGCAAAAAGCACAAGCGTTGTGCGGGAGCCAGAGCGTCGCGAGCATGGCTGAGTGGGACGTGTCCTTCGGGGGGACTTTCACACGGTGCCAAAGTATCTGCATCTGGTTCCTGCATTCTGTTTTCAGCTACAGGGATTGCGGACGAGTGGGGCAGAAATAGAAAGCGGCTTACGTCCAGGCCCTTGCAGGCTCCGCAGCTCGAAGCTCTTACCGCCAAGCACTGAACCACACCCGAGCATGTTCGGAAACGCCCGTGTGCTTCCCCGGCCCCTGTTCTGTCTGCTCTCAGCATCAACCGCCAGGACGAGGGCTGCTGACGGAAGGCGTTGAGGTACTTGCGCCCTAGTCCTGCCTCAAGCGCGAACCAGCAGCAATGCCTGCCGCCCGCAGCACGGCATCACCCTTGACCCGACAGCCCAGCCACCCAGTGGTCTGATGACGACCCTCCACGGGCAGATGCAGTGGCACTAGGCTCGACAGATCATATCTGCTTTGGTTGCACTCGCCGCGCCCCTGATATGGGGGTAGCCTTGCTGTGTGATATGGGCCAGCCAACGAAGCTCCTTGATCAAATAAAGGACGGCCTCTCCCAAGGGCAGAGCACCATTCACAATCAGAGCAATATATGTACGGCAAAGCCTCGTCTCCGCTGTGCAGTTTTCCCATTCACGACCACCTCTGCAATCGCCGTCCCGCATGTATTATTATCCTCAAGATCGCACTGCCCCGCCGAAGCCAACATTCTTGGTATTCACGCTGCTTCCTCCAGATGCCGGAAATTTTCCGGCTTCTCCGTGCTACATCGTGGGAGTACTTCGTCGTGGAGAGGTTCCCATCAGCCGCCACACTATCAGTTTCTTCAAAATCCCTGAGAAAGAGCCTCCGAAACAATGCCCTGAACCTCCTGAACTTCCGACTCAACATAAAGTCGCGACTCCTCTTCCTCCTGAACGGCTTGAGCCTCCTGAACTTCCCCATTATAAAGTCACGGTTCCTCTTCCTCCCAAACGGTTTGAGCTGTTCACCTTTTCGGTGTCCCTTTTTCCTAGTCAGCCGGACCCAAAACCTCTTCACGACTTCGGTGAAATCACAATCAGCACCACCCAGGGAGTGTCCGAGCTGTGGCTGAATGCCAGAGAACTCACCAGCTGGATCACATCGGCCCAATCGCGCGACGGTGTTAGTGTTGCATGCACCACGGACTACCCATCGTTGTTGACAATCAACCTGCCAGAACCTCCACTGGCATTACCAGCATCTCAACTCACGATTTCGCGGGCTGACGACGAGGACTGCCGAACCCTCCCACATGACTTGTCACGCCTTCAGGAGATCGCCGAGTGCGAACGCAATGCCCAGTCTGAGCTGTTCGGAGTGGTACAGCAACTTTACAATGAACTCTCATCGATGCTCTCTCGCGCCACGCCGCAGCCGACAATGCCAATGCTCCCCGCTGGAGCGCAGACCCCGATAGTCCCTGAGGCAGGCGTGATCCCACCCAAGAGCGCCGCCCGGCTCAAGAGCAATAGTATGGACAAGAAGGCTAAAACAATCAAGAAAGGGCCAAAGGGGATTTTTCTCAGCTCGGACACTGGCTAGGGCACGAAGGCAGGTACCAGTCAGGGCAGATACTCCTGGCTCTTTCTATATGCCGACAGCGTCTAACGGACAAGTACATGTGCAGTCCCAGGAAGAGATCTTACGCGGAGTGGATGAGCTGCTGGGACCTCCCTGGCCGCGATATTCATAGATTAGCAAAGCACCACGGGACACTAGCAACACAGGGCATTTTATCTCGATATTCTCCGGCATGCATCATTTCGAAGCAATCTGCAACACTGCGTGAATCTCTGCATCTCCTCATCAACTGTGAATCGCTTCTGACTGTGCGAGAGCAGTGGACAGGTGCATACATACAGCCTGCCCATGCGGCTGCATAGTAGGTAACTTCATGCATGCCGTGCAGACCGTGTATCTTCGATTATGAGTGAGTTCTGACGAGCCAATCAAAATATGTCACCAGGCAATAAGCGCGGATTTCTCATCGAGCACTAAAGACAGTTGTCCATATATCATGCAGCGTCTTTTCTGCCTCCGCCTCGTCTACGCAACACCAAAACCTCAGCTATCGCGCAGGCCACCGCCATCAGCACAAGCACAGTGGCTCTCTGCAGTGCCATAAATGCAGGCCCGAATGAAGCAGTTCGCATCGGCGTCCCAAGTGTCCCAGGTGCGCCAGGGCGGGAAAGAGTGGGGCCTTTGCCGAATGAGGAAGGAATGATCTTGGATTGTCATTCCTTCCTGATCCGGTAATTAGTGGAACTCATCGTGCAGCGACTTTTCGCCGGGAACCACTGAGCATGTGGACACTTTTGACACGCTGATGGCATGATAGCGCAGTAGTGTGTGGCCAAGACTTGTTCTTGCTTTTATATAAGCTGCATTAGACTGGGTTATCCCATGTGATAATAGGTTGTGAACCCACTATACGCAATGGGAGGCATGATATGCTCGAGGTTCTCTGTAAGTTGAAGCACCTGTTGGGTTTTCGCCTTGACGTGGGGATGAGCCTTGGGGACTCTTACCGACGAGGCAGCTTCAGATCTCGCTGCGCGTAGCAGAAGCCTCGTGTTCAGTACGACACATTGTCCTATAAGGTTTGCAGTCCATGGCCATCGTTCCAAGGAGTCCATCAAATACGACTCCATGGGCGATTGTCCTTCGAAAACATCAGGTATCGGGTTTTGGAGGGAAAGGTAATAACGCGCCCCACGTAATATCGAGACAGGGACTTCAGTAGCATAGGGTGGACATCGTGGAAACTGTGCTATTTCGGGCCGTAGTGGCAACTACACCCGTGACTAGAGTGGACCATTCTGCATCTGCATCTGCATAGTGTTGCCGATTATGAGCATCTCCGCGCGGTCGAATGACCAGTCAATGGTGAAACCCCCACCCTCACGGTAGGAGCCATTTTCAAGCGAGGCTTCTATATGACTGTCCATCATGTGACCTCCTCGCCAAGCGGGCTCAGCTCCGAATGGCCGGTCGCTGCCCACAATCTGTTCTTCGCACACAAGCCAATGATTAGCATCGTTGCTGTCCGTGAGCTGCATTGACGCGCTTGGGATGCCCAAGGGCTGCCCATGAACTGCGGTGTCGAACAAAGGTGGGCCAGGAGGACACTCTATTCCTGGCTGCAGTGCAAGTCGCGAAGCTTGCTGAGATGTGTGATGATTGGCCAAGGCCGGGCATAAAGATGACCTGCTCGCGAGCTGAGACCACTGGGACAGTTGAAACGGTTCTATAGGGATGCCGCTCGATTCGATCAGATTTTCAAGCCACCCAATATGTGCTAGCAGTGCCTCGTTTTCTTGCTTAAGCTGCTGAGTGCAGTTTCGCCGCTTGGGGATGTCTGTGGGGTAGACACATTTCTGCTGCCGATCAGTGCATTGTGAGCACCCTTCGAGCTTTCCATCGCATCGTACCTTGCGAACCTGGCCAAGCCTAGCCTGTCAGCGTGTTCTAGACAAAGGACCTTCGAGTGGAAGCTGGACATGTCCTGCTTCGTCTAATAGATAACGCATCTGGAAGGCCCAGCAAAAGGCCCAAGCCGAACGGTCGGCAGGATAGTCAAAGAAGGTGATTTCTCATCCTGCTCACCTTGCAGAATTTGCACGCTCGAGGGGTGCGGCGCCGTGCGGTACTCCCGGCCGAATCAGTGCGGTGTTCTAGGCCGCCCATCCTTCTCGCCCGCCTGTCAGGCGACATGGTGCTGTCGAATATACACTTAACGTCGTGGCTGGCCGCTGAGCCCGCTGCGGCTGCGAAATGAACGTGATCGGAGATTACCGGAAATTCCAATTTTAATGGCCCGTGAAGAAACGTTCTGCGGGATGCTGAGAATAAAATGGCGCCCAGGGCAAGGACTGCGCGAGGTCCGGTGGTTCGCCCTGTGGTTCGGCAATTTGCTGCGTTTGTGGTTGGCGAATGAAGGCTACTGCCACCCTCTTATATGGTCTACCCTTGGCCTCAAGCGGGTCTTGATGAGGACGTAGTCCGCCACCCAAGGATGTGCCAGATGAGGTTTCAGAGGCGCAACGTCATCGGGCGTGCAGGCTGTGTCTCGTGTGGACCTGCCTCCTGCCCACTTACTCCCGTATCCAGCCGAGCGAGTCGAAACACCCCAAAGGTCACTTGCACAGCCACGCCGGCGACCCATCACTCTGTAAGTCAGCCAAAACTACAGAGAGCGGACGCGCTTTGGAGGCGGGAATGGCAGAACCAAAGCCACTGCCTGGCCGTCACCTCCTTGCTGGGTGATGCGGCAGAAGCCTGGCCCGTGCAGCCAGCTCCATACTATGGATCATATGGCGCCAAACACCAGCACATCAGTAGTTAGCGAGAAGCAGCAGGTAGGGCTCAAGTCTTTGGGAGGGGGTGAGAAGACATAGAGGGTCCAAAAGAGTTGTAAGTCAATGATAACCATCATTTGGTAGTCTTTCACAGCGTTTTCGAGAGATCATTCATGCCACGTAGAGCTGGCTGTGCGGCCGCATGCTTGAAGCGAGGGCAAGAGTGTCGATTGACCTTGCACTCTATGAAATGGGTTGATGTTTATTAAGGCCTTGTATGGCCTTGCTTCGTTGGGGGGAGAATCTCCCCAGGGAACAGCCTGTCCAGGCAGAGCCGGCCCGTCTCGAGCTGAAGATGGCCACTAATGCCAGCCTGAATCGACTGTTGAAGAGGATCAGTGCTACAGACATCCCGTTGAGAGCATGCCTTCTGTCCAGACCCCACAAAGCAACCTTCACTTACGAACAAACCCCCCCTTCCCACCCCCCCAAATCTCTTCACAAGAGGGAACTTTCCAAGCGTGGTCCTTCGCCCACTCCCTCGCACCCACCCACTTTTCGAGTCCAATCACAAGGTCTTCGCCGACTTCTTCGATCACATTTGGTCTTTTGATCTTTTGCATCCTGGCCTTTAGCATCAATAAGGTGATGGCCTCTCGCATACTCTGCTCGATGGCGCCAACCCATGACTGCTGCGGCATCGCCTTTGTCGCAGTTAGCGAAGTTGCGCGAAAATGTGTCTGATAAACCTACCTCTCGACCTTTCTCGCGTGCGCGTCGGTTCCTATCCTTCAGTACCACTTCCGATCTGTATGCCCAGCCAACTACTATGAGGTTCGCGAGATATAGACCCATCGCACTACGATCCAGAAGGATCTCCCAAAAGAGGTCGCGAACTTTCTTGAGTAGCTCCTCCATGCGGCCGTCCTCGATTTTATCTACTTCGCCCGTAGCAATTCGAGGGGCGGGACGTTTGCCGGCAAGTCTTTCTGCATTCAGCGGCAAAGGCTGAATCCCGAGCGTCTCTTCGCCGATAATGAATCCAGACCCGGTCTTGAAGTCTTGAAATGGTTAGTACGTTGACTGTATCTGAAAAGAGAGATTCTACATACGGGTTCCAAAATCGTACTCCACCAGGAGCGGCAAGCGGTCGTGGTACTTGGTTCTCTAGTCGAGGAGTCAGCGTGAGGCGTTAGAATAGGGTGGGGCTTTACGCTACTTTCTCCTCATGTAACTTCACGAAGATCTTCATGGGATACGATCCATGTGAGGACTTCGCCCAGGGGAGTGCGTGGGTTTTCGACCGGGCAACGAGAGCCTCGAAGACGGTCTCTGGATCTTCAATCGTGTAATTCGGGAGGGGATGTGTTGAAGGCAATCCATCTTTGCTGACGTAGTTCCGATGCAGCGGGTCGCCATCACGAGGAATGACCTCAATCACAGAGAAAACGAGTGATGCTTTCTCGAAAACCTGACCGTCAGGGTCTTCTATGGCGATCTCGATATCTTTCGGAGCTCCAATCTTGTCTTTGTCAGGGACCAGTTGACCTGATTTTTGACGTTCTCTGTTGCCCTGGAGATCGTTCAAACCCTCCTTGCGATGGAAAATAAGCGTATAAAGTGTCTCCATTTTGTTACTGTGAAAGGTCCGGGTTTGCTGAGAGATTTGGCAGACGCTGAGATCGGACAAAGAGAAGTGCTATCCTTCATGTTCTCCAGGGAAGCTGCTTGCAGATACATGTAGAATTACCGGCAAGCCTGGCTGATTAAGGAGGAGGGGGAGGTGGCACGCAGTCGGTGTGACACACCTGCTAGATGACGGTGAGGCGCAATGCTGGTTCTAGCCCAAGACGTCACCCACCAACGCTTCGACAACACTGGCCATGCTCAAAGCTGACAACGACCCATGTCGATCACGCACATGCCAGGGATCGGAAGGCGAGCAGCCCGGGTGGCTGCATTCAATCATTCACCAATAGGGAGATGGGCCTGTGTTGATCTTGTGAACCGTTGCGCATGAGCCGAGGGAAGGGGGAGGGGGGGCTGAGACCTTGGTCGTAAGCCGTCAGACCAGCACCAGCCTGGGTCCCCTCACATCAAGGCTCCCATACCCTTGCCAGCAGGTCTAGATCAAGCCGAAAGTCGTGGCAACAGGCTGCAGTGTATTAGATGTACAGGGCTCTGGCTGGGGTGTATGTTCGGCCTCTTGCACTCAGTGCTGTCCTATAACAGGCTACGGTCTCCTTCTTGTACCTTAACATTTGAAAGGGACAGCAAGAAACTTTATGTCCCCATTAAGACCCTCGATGGAATACCCACGAATGATGAACATCGGGGTCTGCAGGAACTCCAACTCTTGCCGGCTTCCGTCCATGTACAAAGCGACTTTAGGTTGATCCACGGCCTCGGGCACCCAAGGGAACATCGCCAAGCCTTCATTTGCCCCCGCCTTTATGATACCACTCTTGAGCCAAAGAAATTGTGCTTCGAAGATTGACCGAATCTTGACTCCGCTCTCTTCCAGAATTTCTCTGGCCCGTTGCGTCTTTACCTATCAGCCCAATTCATTTGAGACAAAAACGGGTGTACTTACAAACGCATCTTGTATTTGGCGGAGTAACAGCGCATGTTCTTTAGGACAGTCGATTATGTCTACAATAATATCGTTTACTACGACATATGGCTTCCATGGCATTACGACGGTACGGAAGACTCTGCCTTGTTCCCGTAGGTCTTCGAGGCTCACCGAAGCCTCTCTTTGCCCTGCTTGGACGGCCTTTGTGCCATCGGCTTGGTCGGAGTCTTGCAAGACGATATGAAAGAATTCACTCCTCGCTTTCATGTGGGGGTCGGGTTTGGGCGGCTCCATGGCGTCGGCGAGCAGGCAAGCTGAAGCGAGGCATGTGAGAAGTGACTGGGAGCAAGGTCGTTGTTCAGAAGACGAGATGTCATATAGAGGTGGGAAAGTCTTCCTTCCAAACTTGCGTAGCTTTAATACTTAAATTGTCGGAGGACCTGTCCCAGGTTGCTTACGTGCCTCGGGGCAGAAAGAGATGTACCGCTCAAGCACAGTCATTCCATGTAATCCATGCTCTCAGCTGCAATCCTGCCTTGATCCGCACGCGCCCGGGGCGGGCGGATACGTCCCGAGGCATGTCCAGCCTTCTAGCCATGCAACGGTGCATGCCAAGAACAACTGAATGCTCAAGTCGTCTTCAGGGGGAAGACATGTCGGGGCTGGGGAAAGAAGTCGGTCAGGTAAAGTGCAAGGCTCAACAGGGAGAGCTACCACAGTACCGCGCCAACAGGCTTGAACGTGTGCATGGGTCGAGTCTAGCCGTCCCCGGGGAGGCTGCCGGTCTGAGTCCAGGACACAATCAGCAATCAGCGAAACAGGGAACACCCCTTGTTAACGACCATAGTATGCAGGAGTAGCACGTATTACTACCTGATCTGGCCTTCGTGCATATGTGACTGACAGTACTGTGCGGTCATTCCGCCACAAGAGCCTTGCGTGTCTTCGTGCTGAAAGATCGCCTCTGTGCCCACCTCCATGCACGGCACCCTGGCCCTGCATCCCCGACGCGCGAGCCAGCCGAGAACTGCAAGATGTAGCCATTGCTAAAGCACAAGCACTCACCGCTGGTCGATCGGGGCAGCTCGCGGTCAGGTCATGCAGCAGACCTTTGTTGGTTCGGCTTGTCCAGTCCTCCCGGTGCAACCGCCACATCACATCTGGCTAACCCAACGAGGTAGTAGGTCGAATTTGGAGAGCAAGGTCAAGACGCAGGAAGACAGGGCAACCGCCATCATACCGCTGATTTCACGGTTCAACTCCTGATAGGCTGCGTGTCTTCGACTGCGGCGCCTCCCTGCATGATGCGCGGATGATCCTGGCCGATCACATGTGGTGAAGCACTGGTAGAGGGGGTAGCTGCAGGATGTTTCTCAGAAAGGTGGCTATTGCGGCGAGAGATGTCAGCGATACAGCCATGCCATCGGGCTTGAAGGGTGCTTCTCCATCGGACTTGCCTGCTTGGCGCGAAGTTGCGGCTCGCTGGCTCGCCTGGAGCTGGTGCGACCTCCAAACAGTGAATTTCGGTGACTGCGGTACAGGACGTTAATGCACTCTGCTGAGGCCCTGCGGTTGCGGCGCAGTGATGTTGACCGCGGAACTTGTTGAAAGAACTCCGTTCTGCTCAAACACCGGCTTTGGCTGGAGAGTGACTCCTCGGCGGATGTGCAGATGTGTTAAACAACTCAGCGTGCGTTCAACGGGCTGTGACCACGGAAACTTCTCCAGAAAAGCAAGCTCATAGAGGCGCGTTCTTGTATTCACTCGTTTCATAAACGGAATCGACAATCTACATTGCCGCCCTCGCTCAAAGCATGCAGCCGCGCAGTCAGCTCCACATACCATGAATTCAATGTCAAAAAACGATGGCGAGAGACGCGCAAGGTGATGATTGCCATGGAGTTAATGCTCCGCCGAACCATCTGTCTGCCTTCTCGCTACTGTATCAAGCTCCTGCTCCTCCTTCAACCGCTTCTTCTCCTGGTCCAACTGCTCCTGCTTCTCGATCAACCGCTGCTCCTGCTCGTCCAACAGCTGCTCCTGCTCGTCCAACCGCTCCTGCTCGTCGATCAACCGCTCTCGCGCCTCGTCCACCTTGTTCTGCTCCTTGATCAACTGCTCCTGTAACTGATCCAAGCGCCGCTCCCGTTCAACATAATCCACGTGTGCGTTCTCTGCCGCAACCGGGCACATCCCCTTGCAGAACTTCGGCAGCAGGTCGCTCGTCTCGTCGTTCATCTTTCCTCTCCTTTACGATGCTTTTTTCAGGATAAAAGAGACAAGTTGTTGTTCTTATTGGTGATCTTGTTGGTGTTCCTGTGGTATTCTTGTTGGTGTTCTAGCGCTGTTCTTGTTGCTGACTCTGTCGCGCGTGCTACTGTGGTCTGCTCCGCAAAGTGTGAGGAAGGAGGGGAAGACCATCTCCGGATGGGCCTGAGCAGCGGTTTGCCTTTATATCGGAAGCCAGACACTTGTGCCGAGAGTCGGGCTTCAAGGACCTGGTTTGTGCCAAGAGTGGTGCGCGCCCCAGTGGATACAGTTGGACTCCCTGTCATGCGGCCCAAGGTGTGCTGGCGGTTTGGCAAGAGGCTTCCGGCGTATACGTCCACATGTATGATTGTGTACATGGGTGAGTTCGGCCGTCCCCGGGAAGGCTGCGGGCTTGCTTCCAAGACACAATCAACGATCTATGCAAAAGGAAGCACCCTTGCTAATGACCGTGGCTCGCAAGTATGAGGAGCATCACTACCTGATTTGGTCCTTCGTGCATGGTGACTGACAGTGATGTGCGGCAATTACGCCACAAGAGCCTTGCGTGTCTTCGTGCTGCACAATGGTCTCAGTGTTGGTCCAACGATTTCTTACCACAGCGGTGCCCCCCTTCATGTACGGGATTTCAGCCTTGCATCGTCGATGACGCAATCATAACCACGACAGCCACAGCACCAGCAGCGGGGCCGGGGTGGCTCCTGAAGACGCAGCAAAGGCAGCAGCAAGCTTCATTCTGCAGAGCCCATCTCCAGCAGCAACCACGGAGATGCTGGAAGCATATACATTGGATTCAGGAATGCCAGGGTTCTATGAAATGGTACTTTATTTAATAACGGAAGCGCACTCTCTTCGTTGAAGAAGGATTCCCTTGAGGATTGCCTGTTGAAGGCGTGCCGGCTGTCGGTCTTCGACGCGGCGGAAATGTCCTGGAAGTTGCTGAAGGAGGCAACTTAAAACATGTTCAGAAGTCCAGAAATACCCCAATGCCCTTTTGACTTGCTTGCCGTGCGCTCTATTTCAAGTCTGAGCATTTCCAGAGCCCATTGGGGCTTTTGAACCCATTTGAATTGCAAATTTGCCTCGTACTCAAGTTAGCTGGGTTTAAATACGTATCCACCCCACCGACTCACCTCTGCGCCATTTGTCCAGAATAATTCGAGCACTGCTTTGAGGCCTTTGTAGATCAATTTCGCGAGATCCTGCATCTCGGGATCTTTGATGATCGGTACGAGGGAAGACCCAGCGTGGCCGTCAGCTACTAGGAGCGAAGTTACCAAGATTATGATTTCCGCGTTCTGGAGCCTATCGGCATCGTATGCGAAAAATTGCAGGACTGCGTCGCGCACAGGCGTGTCTCCAGGGATCCGTGAGAGTTCAAAGGACGGGCGTCCTGCTGTGTCCGCTGTGATTTGTCAATCACCTGACATCCGCAAGAAGACATGTCCACTTACCGATTCTGTACATGAGTTCCAGCAACTCCGACAATGCCGGCTTGTGTTCCCTGTATCTCTCGTCCGCGAGGGCAGCCAGGATGGCTTTTGAGGCGGGGGCCAAACTCTTCCGCCCAGGTTTCCTTGTGCTTTTCATAATGATCACTGATCATCATCTTCAGTTGGTCCGGATTGCTTGGTGCGAAATTGCGGCCCTCTGGGTCTCCGGGTGCTTGTTTGACCTCCCGAACAGGGACTTGCAGCGGCTCCAGTGGAAGAGTGCGTCCTCCAGCATACACAATGTTGTACCTTGCCGTCCTTTCGGGACCAAACATTTCTTCGCTAGGAATCAGAGGCATGTCGGGTTCTGGCTCCGGTCGGTCACCCCTGAGCCCTTCCTGGACTGGTCGCCAGAATTTGGCTTCCAATCTCCAGTTGGGGTCATAGTCGGCTGAGGTGAGTGTAACTACCGTCATGTTGTTGGCGTGTAGACAAGCTCCGCTGAGGCAGGTGAGAAAAGACTGGGACAAAAGCGTTGTTCAGAAGATGAGATGTCAAGTGGATGTGGGAGATTCTTCTTCCCAAACGTGCATGGCTTTAATACTAAAACTCTGGAAGGACTTGTGCGAGGTTGCTTGCGTGCCTCAGAGCAGGAGGAGACGTACCACGCAAGCACAGCCATGCTCTCGGCTGGGATCCTGTCTTGATCCACACGCGCTCAGGATGGGCGGATACATCCCGAGGCGTGTCCAGCCTTCCAGCCATGCACGGTGCATGCCAAGGACATCTGATTGCTCAACTTGCTTTCAGGGGAAGGCATAACGAGGCTGGGAAAAGAGGTCGGTCAGGCAAAGTACAAGTCTCAACAGGGAGAGCTACCACAGTACCGCACCAACAGGCATGATCGTGTACAAGGGTCCAGTCCAGGCATCGCCGGGGAGGCTGCCGGTCTGCGTCCAGGACACAATCAACGACCAATGCAACAGGTAATGGCCTTTGTTGGCTACCACAGCTCGCAAGAGTGACACGCATCACTACCTGATCTGGCCCTTCGTGCATGAGTGACTGATAGTGATGTGCGGCCATCACGCCACAAGAGCCTTGCGTGTCCTCCTGTCGCACCCTGGTCTCAATGCCCTCTTTCATGCACGGCGCACGGCACCGTGGCCCTGCGGCCTCGACCCGCGAGCCACTCGTGAAACAGTGAGGCCTTAACCATTGCTGACGCAAGCACTCATTGCCAGGAAGCCACTGCTGTTGGGTCGTATTTCATTGTATGCTTCTGGTGCAAGCTCCAGGGTTGCAGGACGCGGACACATACTCCGGCGGCGGGATAACACCACACCGGCTAGTGCCTGGACGCACCTTCTTTCTGGCTCATCCAGTGGATGACCAGTCCATGCAGCCGGGTCTGGACTAAGAGCCCCGCGGCGCCAAACGCCAGCACACCAATAGCTAAACGAGAGGCAGCAAGTATGGCTTCGCAGTCCGGGCCTTGAAGCCAGATCCGCCGAGGGTGGAAGCTTTGTAAAGACGTTGAAGGAATGGGTAGTCGCGAATTATCGCGGCACGAAAGTTCAGCCCGATAAGGTCACAGACTTATTGCATGCACACAACGCAAGTGACATTGGAGCCTCGATGTTGATCATGTATTCCGGGCGCTTTATGCATGCGCGCTGTGGACGATGCTCATTTGTTCACTCGGTTGCTCTGAGGCTGACATGCTTCGAGGGAGAATCAGGCTGCTGATTATCATCATCTATCTATTTACGTGAACAGGTGACCGTCCAAAAGGTCCATTGTTGAAGAGGGCTGCGACGCATTCCTGGGCATGCCCTGTATGGCACATCAAGGTCAGTTCTCTCGCCCTCGATAAAACCGAGAACGGACCTAGCCATCTCAATGATTTCAGAGCCGACCCTTTGATCTTGTGTCGAGTCCAGAAGGCCTCCAAGCTCGGAAAAGGGCCCTAGAGCCTACCGTTGCGCAATGTTCACCACTCTGAATGCGGGAGGAAACCACTGCTGGCGTCTTTCATTACCCGGCTTGGCGAATTCGAAAGTTCTTGGGGGTGAGATGGGTTCCGTCTCGCATTCTATCGGTCGTGCGCGGCCCATACTGGACCTAAATTCGCCATAGCCATATGCACGTGGCGATAGCAGAGGCGGAAGCTCAATTGTCGCTAAGTGAGAGTCGTCGGCTGAAGATGAGGTCAGGGAATCGAAGGCAGGGAGAGCATGCGAGTGTTGAAGATGAATGTCTCTTCGGGATGTACTGGAATAGCTATGATCCGACAAGAACTGGTGCCCCGGGCTGGTATGAGCTCTTGTGTTCCCTGCTTGACCGTTGGGCGAACGCCAGGGTCCGGCCGACCCAGCTACTTCCTCGGGCCAATCCATATGGTTGGATCTGTATGAAGTTGTATACATGATCAGTACAGAGATACAAACATTACCAGGCGCAATGGCAGCTGTTATGGTGTCCGTGATCCGGGATGCCTGGACGGGTGGGCAGTGCTCACTTACTGCTCATGGACATCGGTGCTTCGGGGTTCAGCGATTCTGTACCAGCGCTCCTTACAGCCTCTAGCCGTTCGCCCAATCTGTTCCGCGATCTGTTCCCAGGTCTTAGGATCCTTCACGAGTGCAAGGAGCCGCTCATCTTCCTCTGTGGTCCATTTTGGCGGCATTTCGTGCTTGGTTGAACTCGCTTCTCTTACTGCAATAGCCTCAGAGCTGTCAGCTTGGTCAGTCTGCGCGAGGCTGACCTCGAAGTTTGTGTGGGGCTGGATGACAGGGCGATGAGCTTGTGCTGGTGCCGTGGCAGCGCGGAGCGTTGTTTGGTGATGGGATAAGGATAATGTGGTGTCTGGGAATTCACCGCTCACATTCAGGAGTGGCGGCAGTATGGCCTTTAAGCAGTTAGCACGGCCACGTCAATCAGGCCGAGGATTCAACAGCTTGTACTCACTGTCAGCACGCGGAATGCAGAACCAACGAGCCAATACGCGGACAACACTAAATGCTACCAGGGAGGCTTGCATGGGAAACATGCGGTCAAGGATGAGCCTGATAATGGCTGCGCAAGGGTTCAAGCGCCCGGAACGACACAAATGACCCTGGCCTGGTCTCACCATCAGCACCAGTGAATCTAGGAAGGCAAGGCTCGGCGACCAACATGCGCCACGACAGCTGGCAAAGTGTACAGAACCAACTGCGTGTTGTGAAAATGTGACATCCTTCTCATGGGCCAGGCAGTGTCACTTGCACCGCAGCGATCTCCTGGGGCCAGCTACCGGACAATGAGCTGTATATTCTGTGGTTGATTAGAAGCTTACCAGAGTAACCTCCGTGGATGTGACCTCGCCCTGCATCCGCAGACAGAGCAGATGCTTGCGATGAAATGTAGTCCTTCACTGTACCGGCTCTCACTGTCTAATTGGCGTCCTCTTCTGTCTCTGCAGGGGGGCATCATATGCAGAGAGACGCGAGTGGACGGACTGGCGACGTCGATACTTGTCCTCACGAGAGCACGCTCTGCAGCCTTGGCCGTTTGTCGTTGCACATCCCTCACTGAGACGGACAGGGTACCCCGGTATGCCGCATCCCGGCAAACACGGGAACCCTTCCCGGGTCTTGCCCATCACACACGCGCTGCCACTAGGGCGGCCCACAACCGTGCTTGCGCCCGAAGAGTGACTTCAGTGCGACATACCCACAGGCCTAGCCGCCCAGCCTCGCATGACGTCGGCAGCATCTGGACATGCCTTTTCAGCCTCGCGGCCTACAGATGGCGGCCCCGTTCCTGGCGCCGCCCCACCAAGTCACATAGGCCGGATGAGAGAATCACGTCTCCGAGGACAAGGCCCGACCCGCTACCCCATGAGCTGGCACCTCGACCAATCCAGTGGTCAAGACTCAAAGTAGCGCCGACTTGAGCTGGCTGCAGTCAATGGCTCGTCTTCAGTGACACGGGACTTTGGAGGAACTGTAGTGTCCATGCAGCCTTGAGAGCCACACCAGCTCTCTTGCCCCAGCACTGGTGGCTTAGGCATCTTGGTACAATGCAGGAACTTCCTGTAGTTCAATTGGATCGAGCCTCCGGGCCTTCCGAGCAGCGGAAAACCAGAACGAGCACAACTTGGCGCGTAGGTCCTTATCGCGCAGGCATGGACTGCTGTGCGTGTGTTGCATGCTCTAAGCCTGACAGGAAAAACTAATGGAGGCCCAGCAGGTCCGGGGCAAGCGGGTAGGGCCGTGTCTGCCGTCTTGAACCGCAATCAGCGCCCGGACCTGACGTATCAGGCAAGGGGGTGGCTTTCTCATTGATATGAACAGATCCGCGGTCAACTTTGGTGAGCTTTCCAGATCTACTGTGTATGGGCCCATACCAGCTCACCCGGACCACGAGGTCACTGGCCACTGGGAGATATAAGGAACCCTGTGCAGCCACAAAATGACCTGGCATGCAGATGCCTGCTCAACAACAGCCCCCCTACCTTGCTCGTCCTCGGTTAGTGATTGGAGTTGAGCCTCTCATTGTATGCAAGCTCACTTCCCAGCCTCATCCACGCGCGGCTCCATCATGCACCAGTACACACCCATCAGTTTGACGATAGAGATTTGGGGGGACGGGGCTGTTGGGAAAACTTGCCTAATCCAGAGATATTTGTATAACAAATATGTCGTCGAGGTAAGTCACGATTAAACCCTTGCATATGCTCTGGCTGACCTCCTCCGAGTATGACCCTACCGTCGAAGACACTCACATCGTGGTCAGAGGAGGTTGCCGAATTAAGTTTGTCGACGCTTCGGGTTACAATGGACTCATTCGTGACGCCGAAGAAAGCGAGGACGAGCGTAATGCACCGCGAGTGATCATTATTGCGTTCGAGCTTACGAGTTCATCCTCTCTTGAACACGCCAAGGTTCTGCGCGAGAAAATTCCTCGGGGGTAGGGTTTATCCTTGCCGGTACGAAAGTGGACGTGGGCCACGGGAGGGAGGTAGCAGACAACGGAAAGGCAGTAGCACAGTCATTCAAGTGCGGGTACTTTAGAGTGTCAGCACAGAATGACGTCGGCGTCAAGGAGCTTTTCAAGGCGGCGATCAAGCTCGGCTTAGGTTCACAGGCTCCCACATATGACCCTGCTGCTGTCGGCAGCGAGTCTCGGCCGTGATATTGTCCGCTTGGTGTTTAGCTCTCTCGTGCATCCGAAACTGCTTCTCAGGATCTGACCTCGAAACTGGTTGTTAGGACAGCAGGTCGCTTGTAATCGTTAGAGGATCATAGCATAAGTCAACCACTGAATGAGGACCAGCGCCAGTCTTTGTCATGTACATTGTAGAGATATGTCTCAATGGCGGGGTCTGTGAGTGAGCATCCGCGAGACACCGGGCGGGATGTCTTCTGGAGCGCGAAAAAGGGTAGAGTGCTCCTGCATGAGGCAGATACATGCTCTCACCAGCTGCATGCGATCGACATGAGGGCGAGACCATATGCACTCATTCCTCCCGATAGCAAGTACCGTACAGCTCCTGTCGGTCACGGCCAGGGTCGATCCCACGCTTCAGTCTTTCCGGTCTGGCCCTAGACCACGATTGCCCTGGCATATTACAGGATCCACCCAAGTGGGATGATCAGGACGGTTCATGTGCAACAGAGTCCAAACATTTGTTCAACAGTCCGCAGCATGGGTGTGGAAAAGAACGCCCAGGTAAGATCCGCGGGAGTGCTCCGCGTTCCGTCCAGACAAGGCGGCAGGGGAGGGTCATGAGCCAAGCTCCGCTAATCGTTCGCGGCCCTTGCATGAGCCCTGCTCGGGAGCAGGCCCTGTCTTGGTGCCTCTCCACAACGCTGATCCCCGAAGACGCAGTGCCGGCTTCGTGACATGGAGGAGCCAAACCAGAGGGAGTCTTGGCTTAAGGCTTAGCGAGACACGGCAGCCGACAGGACGACTAACCTTTAGATGGCCAGCCAATACCATCCAGGGTGAAGTACTCCGTCCATCCATGTTCTCCTCATACTTGGGGAGGCTGGCCGTCACCTGCCTGCCTTCCCCGTGCCAGAGCTTGATGATAATCGTAGGCCTCTCCCTAGCCATTTGATCAGCCCATGAGCTCTGGGAGAGCCGAGGTGTCCCCGGAGACCGGGGTCTCAGGCTGTGGGTGAGCTACTGCAAGTCGGCCCATATCCGAGACACATGCATCTTGGAATTAGCATGAAAGCTTCCGTCCAGTCACCACACACCCTTCCGAAGCCGATAGGCTTCTCCAAGCAGGCTCGGACGGCCGTGACGAGGGTCTATGCTGAGGGACACGAGTCGCGCCTCAGTGAGCTTGGCGACATGCGTCCATGTGGGACATGGATAGACGGGCCATTCACAATGTCAGGTAGTCAGGTAGTTTGACTGGCTGTTGACGATGATGCTGAAGGCCAGCGCGGGCTACGGTCTTTCCTACTGCAGAAGTGGCGCAAATTCCCTGGCAGCAGCTCGATGCGCATGAGAGTCTTCTTCGCCTCAATCCGACGAGGTGTGCGTTCCCAGATTCGTGGGTTGACCCGCTACATGAGGCAGCCCTGCACACTGAGGCCCCGGCTATCAGAAAGCCATCCTCAGACACTGGCCTGCGCGGCGCTGGTGCGGTGATTGTTCCATGCTGTGCACGCGCGGGTGTTCTTCGCGGATTGGCTTTCTCCGTCGCTGCTCATGTAATCACTTCATAAGCTAATCAGCGAAGACAATTCGGGAATTCGTAGTAATTGACATGCGATAAAAAGGCGCTGGATATCTGCACTACTCTGTGCATAAACACCAACGCACAGCCCCCAGGATGGCCTGGCATATCATGCCGCCCCAACCCATCGGCTTGAGCTTCACCGCGATGTATCCTGGTGGCAGCGACCTGTCATCATCCCATTCAGCTTGCGTCCATTGTTCGTCGCCAGTCAGTTTGTACAATGCTGCGTGCGCTGGTCACATCATGCTCCAACAGTTTGCATTTGGAGCCGGGCTGGGTGCATCGTTCTTGAGGTTCTGGTGGCTGTGTTAGTAAGGGGTCAAGCTTCGTTATGGGATGTTTGTACGGACCTGTATTGTGTCTTGCACAAGTCGTGGCAACCCAAACTGGGGCGATGTTGAGCCTTGACGTGTCGGCTTCGTTCTGAGAGGCAGAGAACCACCGAGTAGCAATGACCTTCTGAATCTGAAGAGACTTGGCGATGTTAGATGACGTGGTTGAATGGCATGGTGGTGACGTACGACTGTTTTAGAGGTATCCAAGCAACCTAGTGATTCAATTTTCTCATTGACCTCGATGGTGATACAAATCTCATCATTAGGCTGTGTCATGCTGATGTTGTGCCGCAGCCGTAAGGCAAGTGATGTGAGGAGCTGTTTCGGAAGGAGGAGAAGAAGGTACATTAACATGCCACATGTTGCGACCCAGTGCGACTAGACGGCGCGAATGGGGAGGCTCTTTATACCCGTCCATGGCAACAGGACATCGAGCAGGACCGTACTCACACTCGATACCAATCCACTGGTGACAATGGTACCATCACAGCTCCTTTCCGATAGCCAATGATGCCGGGACTCTGGTGCAAGGAAGTAGCACGGCCGGCCGTTCGGTGGGTGGTAATCGCACGGGAGACTTCCCCGTGCCCGGTCGCTCTCTGCTCCACCCGACGTTGCAGGGGCTCCGGCGCTCATGCGCCACCTATCCCCACCATAGCACATGCCAACGCAGGCTTCGTGCTTTGCCATTGGCTGCATTGCCCCCCTGACAAGAAGTCGAGTGCTCACCTGCGAGAAAGCCAATCGAGACACCATTGGGGTGGTCAAGCTCAGATTCGCAACTCTGAAAGTTTGCGGCGGCCTGTCCACTTGACTCCACCATGCGGATTGGAAGGCATCCATGCCACCTTGAAATATGTGTCATAATTGAAAAGAGGTATGTTGCATGGCAATGTGCATGTCATGATCAAGCCCAGCGGAGCCGTGCCGGTGCGAGAGAGACGTGAGAGGGCTCAATGCTTCACTCGACGTCATTCTAAGGGCTGTGTGGGCCTGGGGAACTGTACCTGAAGGTCTCAGTGCACATGTCGGGCAGCCTGGCTTACGCACTGTAAGCTACTCTCAGCTGGTGCGCATGGGTGTTGCTCCAATATCGGATGCTGTACTGTAGGACAAGCCTTGGCAAGCCATCACCCAAGTTGATATCGTGTCTGATGGATCTGGGGCGGTCCTCTTCCGCAACATCACACCCAACTTGCTGGACGGAACATATGCGTACGTACGTCACGCCCCAACCGTCCCCCTTCCCAGAAGCCCCACGTTTGTGCCACACTTCTTGAGCTGGTAGTGGCTTCTGTACGACCCAGACCCTTGTCCTTGGGGCCTTTGTCGTTACTCGTTTGCCTTGAAGCCATTCCCGAGTCGCGGCAGCCATTGCGACTCGACTCCGCATTCTGAAGTATGGCAATATGTCCTGCCCGCTGCAGGCCGGCTTGGCTCCTCCGTTCAGACGTGGGTGGTATGCAAGAGGCATCAAACCGGTCAAGCACACATCTGCAGCTGCATGATCCAAAATGCAGGCTAGGGTCGCTGGAATCACACTGTGGCATGTTGTCACACACGTCGCACCTGGTACCGCGTATGTCGCCTGGGACCTGGTTCGGGCCCCTCTCGACATTTTTCTTATAGTTGTCCTTGACGATGATAGTTCGTGACGCTCATTTCGACGACTGCCTGTCTAACGCCCGCAGGCCAGAGCATTCCCCCCGGAAAGAAGGAGTGCATGATGTCGCATCCTTTGCCTTTACCACACATTCGTGCCTTGTCCTCGGCTCATGCCCGTGTGGTAAGCTGGGAGGCAGGAAACGTGAAATAGATTCGATTCCTATCAGCGCTATGGCCATTGGCGTGGGCGCTTGGTTTGTCTGCCTCGCCGTAAGAAGTTGCGAACTAATACTGCTTCTGTGGTCAGAAGCCTATTCGCGAAGGCTATTGGTTGGTCCACGCCACCATGCTTGGTCAGCGACAGCGTGTCAAGTGCCCTCAGCCCCCTGGAGTGATTTTGCTGAGTCAACAGACTGGACCAAAGAGATCCAGCAAATGAGGGACCAGCAGACATCAGCACCTGGAGAACCATACCAAGTGCCAGCTTGGTAGCGTTCTTGCCAGGATGCGAAGTCGCACACCCAGCAAATTTCCATGTTGGAGGAAGAAGCATAGGCCACAGTGATCAGCCACAAAACACCACGTTCGGGATTTGCAGTGGACAAAGACACAGCGGCACTCGTGGCTCATATCGTGGCTGTAGTCGGCACTCAAACGCACAGCCACTTGATCGGCGCCACAATTGCCACAGTAGCATCCACGTGGCAGGCAGCCCCCACCTGAAAGGTGAGGGCTGGAGTTGAACCGAAAAAGTGTGGCACAAGATGTGCCACATTTTACTGTGGCGCTGGTGCGCCCAGGTGACTTGCGTGCCGCAAAGCAGGACGCGATTGTTCATTGCTACGAATACTTCCCCGTACAGTATTGTGCTGCGCGTTCGCAAGCTGCCCGCAAATCGTAACAAGGGAGCCCACACTACCAAGGAAGTTGGATGTTCTATGACACTTGTTCATTCGTTGCGTTTGAAGGTTGCGCAGATTCCGAAGTCACAATGGCCCTGTACTACGTACACGAGGCGAGAATTTGCAACGACCCATGAGGAACGCACCGAGGTGGATTGATGAAAGGAAGTCAAAACAAGATGACATTGATTATTGGACATTAGTGAGAATAAATCCCATGGGTACACACTTCCTCAGAATCCGACGTTGTTGTATCTTGACAAAAGGCTCGTTGTAGACAGGCTGCAGACGACGAATGACCGATGTGGCCAAGCGAGTGGCGCAGCCATAAGCTGCCAAATTGGTTGATCTCAACTTTCCAGTATTGCGCGCCTTCTTGAGTTCGGGATTGTAAGGCGCGACGCGATCATGGCATTTCCGTACTACTCAGAAGAAATCGACGCAGGGAGAGTATGCTGATGCCGCATTGCAAAATGTGTGACCTCAACCGCTGTCTGTCGACTGGCATTCGAGTAGTGTGTGAGCTTGCATTCGGAGGTAATCAACCGTTCTTTGCTGGCAATATGTGTGTTGACGGTCGAATGCGCTTGTTGTTGGCATACTGCCCATGGCTTTAACGACATCTTGTGCACTCGTTTCCGTTCTTTGTCCGACCGGTGTCGTTGCAGTTCCAGCAGTCTGGCTCAGCCATGATGATGGTGATGGTAAGAAGGCAGTTCGTGGGCCGATGGCTTCGTGTGGCCAGCAAAGTGAGAGTTGGGCAGAAGCCCGAGGGGTTCGAATTTAGGCAGACTTTGGAGAGTTTGCCCGACACAAGCGCGGGGCACACAAGCAGCTTAAATAGATCTGTAGTGGCAAACCCCTCAGTGGCTGTGCTTTAGAGACTGCTCAACCCTCTTCCGACCCCACCTCACCGCCAGCCATGCCCGCAGCAACTTTCCCAGACTCGGCCACATCGACTGCCGAAGACGCCTGGAAATTCTTCGAAGAGAATGGAGTGATCGTAGTAGAAGATGCGGAGATCGGAGCGCTTGTGTTTGAGCTCGACCAGATCCAACATATTGCCAATGATGAGGCCGCCTATGAGCAAATTCGTCAAAAAGTACACGCATCAGTGAGTACCACCTGACGAGGATGGATGAAAAACGTGGCATTGATTTCCCTAGGCGATCCTCCACATCTTTTCAGCATACGAGGAGAAGCCCGATCAGTCAGAGACATTTGCGAAACTCAGGGAGCCACACTTCTACTCGTTCACACGCAACCCCACGGACGGTATGATATTTCATGCTGTGAGCAAAGGCTCTTTCTGGAAGATTCGGGTCGCGTCCCACAAAGGCAAACCTGTTGGCTGGGCCGACAGCGCAGGAGTAGTGCACTACCATCGTAGGGATTTCGTAGGGCAGGAAATGGACGTAGTTTTGCCCGACGGCGGAGTGTAAGTGCGCTAATCCTGTCCTACCTTCCTGTCATGATCTAAACACTTCTAGTATCCTATTGAAAACGCGGACGCAGTTTCAGATCCTTGAGGGTTATGCATCAACACACATCTTTAAACACAAAAGAGTCATCTTGGGTACATAGGAAATTAGTCTTGGTCCCACAAGAGGCTCGGCTGCAGATAGGTGTCCTGGAAACTTGGGTCGTTGGACCAGAAAAGGTTGGGTGCGAAGGTGGCTGTTCCTGGGAAGTTAACCTCGGCCCTTTCATGTATCATGCCATAATTACCAGGAGGTACCGGAAACGCAGGTGTGTCAATGATAGGATTCGATGCTGGATCGCCGGAGATTTCGCTTGGCACTGCAGTTTGCCTTTCATGAGAGGATCTTGCTGCCGTGTCTGTATCCCCAGGTTGCCTTTCATGAGAGAACCTTGTTACCGTGTCTGTATCCCCAGGACGGGCCTGCATGACACTCAATGCGATGTCTTCGTTGTTCCTAGACCTGCTGGATGGCCGATGCTCCTCGTCAGGAGGGCTCAGGTCGACTTGTTGGCCGTGCTTCCTCTTCGCTTTGCGAGCCAGTCCATTTTCGTTTTCAGATTGCCGATGACTGCGTTCAACCGTGTCTTCCAAAGGCTGTGCGTGGTTCGCTTTGATGCCCGTGCTGAGCTTCCTTTTGGTTGGCTTAACTACCCTGTCTCCAGCCTGGGGTTGATGCTGCGTCACAACTTCGAGCGCGCCAACTTCCTTGGCAATTTTGAGCACGTCCGCCTTTATCGCCTCGAGAGACCTCTCCACATTTTCTTTCATCTCGTCATTGACGTCTTTGCTGATAAGATAGGCAAGAATATCTGATGGCGCATCAGTCAACATACGATACAGCAATGCTTTAGACGACGTACCAAATCGCGTGGTGATTTGTGATGGTTTATCGAGTTGACTGCAATATCGATCCAGATCGTCACGAGAAATCTCCTCAAGCCCCCCTTTTGTGTGTGCCTTGAATCGTTCAACCACAAGGTCGCTGTTGAGAATAGCCAATGTCGCTGTGGGTATGTAGAGCCCAGCGAAAGCACATTGGGCGATGTTGAGATCAGCGAACTTCTGCTTCCGCTTACGCTGCTCGTCCACATATCGACTTGCCGCGAAAGAACGGCCCGGTCTTTTTCGCTGGGCCTCAGGCATAGTAGCTGTGCAAGACGGAGGGTCAGGCAGGCAGGCAGAAAAGTGCCAGGCGGGCAGAAAGAGAACGGGTGGGCAGAAAGAGAACGGGTGGGCAGAAAGAGGACGGGCGGGCAGAGAAGTGCCAGGCAGGCAGAAAAGTGCCAGGCGGGCAGAAAGAGGACGGGTGGGCAGAAAGAGGACGGGCGGGCAGAAAAGTGCCAGGCGGGCAGAAAGTGGACGGATGGGCAGAAAGAGGACGGGTGGGCAGAAAGAGGACGGGCGGGCAGAAAAGTGCCAGGCGGGCAGAAAGTGGACGGATGGGCAGAGAAGTGCCAGGCAGGCAGAAAGAGGACAGGGGGCAAAGAGGTGGCCCATAATTATGCACGGAGCTATGTGTTATATTGTGTGGATACCGTAATCCTGGCTGCATGCTGGCCTGGTCAACCAGATGTTCGTAGTATCTCCATAAGGCGTGCCTGTTCGTACTGCTGTACGCAAGGGCTCTGAGCTACGGCTTGCAAATTTGATCTTCGTGTCGTATGCTTGTTGGTGCAAGACTAGGGTATAACGAAACACCTCGGTCGCCTGGCCGCATGTGCTGACGACAGGGTTGAAAACGGCCAGTGAGACGGGCCACGAGAAGATGACCCCAACCTCAGGAGCGCCTCAGGTCATTTGAGAGTCAAATGGACCCTCAAGGGTGATCGATGACGACGTGCATCCTGGGCCATCTCCGATAACCAAAGTGCCTAGCTGGAAGCATCGCGGATGTGGCCCCAACGAGTTGCAGGGCTCGGGTTAGTGGCAGCTGTTGGCCGTTTTGACGACCCAAGCTATCCTGCATTGTGCTGAATGCAGGTCCATTCCAACACGCAGCCAATGCTGCAAGTCCAGGTCTGAAGACGAGCGAGGGAGAGTCTGGGCACGTTGATTGACCACTTACAGGAGTCTTCTGTTGCTGGTCGCCCTCCCCAATTGTCTGGCGGTTAATTCGTCCGTAGAGCGTGGTAGCTGCTGATTGCCAGGCTGTAGTATAAATACACAGTCGATATCATCCGTGAACTCGCGAGTTCTAAGGGAGGACAAAATATTCCCGATGTTCATCACGGCTCGAAGTGCCATATTGCTATTGCGATTGCCAACAGCTCCTAGAATACGGTGTCAAATTCTGTGGGAGGTGTTCGAAACGTTGTCAGCCACAGTCAACAGAAGTTTCGTACTTGCTTTGAGAGTTTCTTCTAGGTATGTGAGCCATAGACCCTTTCCAGTTCTAAGTCGTTCGTGCCAAGCTAAGACTTCTCACACAAGTTACAGATTACTACTCCCAGGCTTGGCTAGACTCAGATAAGATCCTTTGTGTACCATACTGAGAACGACCACGACGACAATGGCACGTGAACCCAAAAGGCGATCACAGGATCTTGTAGATGCCGGGCCAGTTCCGAAACCTGATTTGGACCCGCCCATCCATGATATCGACGAAGCACTTGTAACGGTCCGGCGGGCGGATGGAAACACACCCAGCATGTGTGTAATACAAGACTCGTGGGAACTATAAAACTACACTTAGCAATTGCAGCAGGCTCACGGCGAGTACGTAGGTCACGCAGATGGAAGAGATTGGTCCAGATCTTGGGGCGGGCTGTGGTACAGAGCAAAACGAGTGGAGACGGACACATTCTACGTACTAGTCCTGTTTCTTGTACATGCCTGCAATAATGACGAGCATTGAACACTTGTGCACCTGTAGTTGCACATCTTTCGGCATAAACATCAAGATATCCGGCCACGGCCTCGAAGCAACCAATGTCTCCCTCTTCTCCAACCCATCATTCTCCACATGAACGAACCGAACAGTTTTGTCCGTATCTGTGGCGAACATGTTAACGGGAAATACCACGCTGCAGAGAGCGTCTGATGGACACTGTCCGGGCGACCCCCGCTCCAGATAGTACAGGCCGGCTTTGGCATAGACTTTTGGGATGTGGATGGCATCCTTGTTTCGCGCGAAGTACTCCCGCTTGATTTCCTTGATGTTGTGGAGCGCTTGACCCAAGCAGTCGTCGTAGGCTGATCTGAGAGATGGGGGCCATTCGATTTCCGCACCTGGTTGGGGCTGAGCGAACGGCACGCAGCCCAGCTGGCCAGCAGAAATAGATCTGGCCGCGGTTTCGAGGCCCACAAGGCTCGGCACGTTTGACAAGTTGATGAAGTATCCCGCCCACCCTGGCTCGGTTCCGTGCCAATCTTCCATGCTTTCTTCAGGCTCTCCCTCCGCATCTAGGTCGACAGGAAAGGACGATGTTGGAGACTGCGGGGGCGGATGAAATGCATGTAGAGTGTCTAAGTCGTGATTGAAGGTAAGCTGGAAAACGCCTGAGAGTGATGGGCGTCCTGGTGACCCAGAAGCCGTTTCACTTCTGACCATACTAGTCGTTGGGGTCGCGGGCCGACTGTGCTGCTCTTCATGGACCGCTGGACTGGAAGGGTTCAGGTAAACGTCTTGCCAAGAACCCTGGACGGAACTGTGGGCTGAGGACGCGGTGACCTGTGCAGGAGGAGACGTTTCTTGTTGCTGATTGACGACTCCTGCTCCTGGCCGTGGCGCCGTGGGGCCGCCTAACTCCGTGACCTGATGGCCGTCTGTGATCGCTGAAACGCCAGCTGAGGCTTCATTGGCTGCTTCGAAAGTGCTGGGTGTCGCTGGCGGCGTGGCAGGTGTGGCCGCCTCAGAACTGGAAGGAGGTTCTGTGCGTGCCCGCTTGTAGGATTGTCTGGTAGGGTGTCCAATGACACTAACAGCAGACGATGCCGCCATGATGTCATGGTCCATCGCGCTCGATCCGCTATCGGCGACAGAAGACGAAAGCAGCCGAGTCCGCTTCCGATGTTTCTCTCTAGAATCGGCTGGAGTACTCTCGGCTATGCACATACCTGTCTGTAACCCGAGATCCACATTCTGGTTCACGAGTAGGGATAAACCATGTTTCACGATTTTCTCCATCGTCTTCTTATGCCGTCCGACCTCAGACTCTATTCCACTTGATTTCATATCCCGAACGAGACGTTCTAGAGCCGTCGGGTTCTTGGCCCTCAGATTCTTGTAACTAGTTACGCGCGAGTTAAGCGTGAGCTAAACCTGGACTGGGATGTTAAGTGGCTTACAAGTCTGGGGACTTCTTTTTTTCGGGCAAGCAGAGAAGCACTGCGTAATTGGTGTCCAGGTTTTCCACTATCCCAAGAAAACTTTCGCCCTCTCCCCATAGAGACGCGCACTGCTGCTTGACGTCTTCTGGCCGGAAATGAAGTGCCTCGGCGAGAAGCTGCTCTTGAATTTTGCGTCCATCGCGCTTCAACGCTCTTCGATGAAGGTGCCAGATAAGCTTGGCGACGTTCCTGAGTCGACTATTGAGCTTGTCTGTTATGAAAAGATATGTTGAACAGGCACTCTCGTTCTCGTCGGTTTCGTTCTCGCTGGCTTCATTCACATCGGTGTCATTCTCATCAGGGATTATTCCCAACTTGAAGAATTTCTCAGGCTTCTCGCTCCAAACCCTGAGTAACTTCTCGAGTCGTTCTCCCAGTTTGATGTGAGCGGTCCCGCTAGGCTTTCTGGCTGGAGGTGCTCCTCCGTCATTGCCTTGTCGGGAGGCTCCAGTCCCGCAGGTTGCAGATTCTGCCGAGGTCATGGCAATCTCTCCCTGTCGAGACGATCGCGCCCTCGTTTGTTGGTCAGTATCCATTGTTCGGACTTCCGAAGGTGGTATTGGCAGTTCGGAAGACGTCACTTGGGACCGCCGTGTCACAGGTGACACCAGACCTGATGCTGCAATCTGGTCGGCTCCTAGGCCCTGATGCCTGGGCTGTCCAGTAGGTTTCGGCGACTGGCACCTCTGCACAGGTCTTCGCGCTACAGGTGGCTGGTCGATATTATGGGACGTCGGCTGGGGCAGCCGAGCCGGAGGCGGTGCTGCGGCCTGTCCACGCCCGATGCCCGCATGACTGGGCTGTTCTGAGCGGTTTGGTGACTGGCACCTCTGCATAGGTTCTTGCACTCTGTGGGGCAAGCTTCCGTCAGGGTGGAAAGGTGCTCGCGATGACTGCGGTAAAAGTCGGACAATGGCTGCACGTAGTCCTGGATCCTGACGCACTCGAGCTTCGAAACATTGGACCTGTACGCGATGAGTATCCCTGAGCGCGTTATTGTGAGAAGTGATCACTAACCTTCACGAGAATACTCGTCCAATCCCCATCTCCAAGGAGTGCCGCAACGACATGCCACCGACAGTCCTCGGACGAACCACACGTGTGAGTGGTGTCTACATCCATATCTAGAACTGCCTGTGAGTCTGCGTTGAGGGTGCTCTTGCGTTGTCGGTGCGGAGACTGGCCCAGCCTGTTGGTGGAAACGACGAGCAAGGAGACGGGGCGAGACAGTGGGCTGATCTAGCCACCGCGACCCGCGGGCCCCTGCTGGATCCAGCCCATACAGGTGTGGTGAGACATTGCTCCACTTACGCCAAACTGCGCTTTCCCCTTTTTGGACGTCAACCACCTTGGCCAAGGTGGTTGACGTCCAAAAAGGGGAAAGCGCAGTTTGGTCAGGCAGTTGGCTTCAACAACGTATTGTCAGTGCCCCAAGTACAATTTCAATGGCTTCCACATGCGCGTGGCGTGTTCGCTCACCAAAGCAGGCCACAGCTATGCCGACCTTTGACCATGTCCATCGCGACAGGCTAGCATGGAGCGCTAGGATTTTCAGGTGTATCGTATCTAGTACTTGAACTATGTAGTCCTGCCCATTGCTCGTCACATGCAGGGAAAGAGGAACATGTCGCTCGCTGAGAGTCATATTGAAACTACCTCCACTACCTGGTCCTCCGCTAATGACATGAACATTGGCGTAATCTCAATTCACACATATGGACTCTGACGCGGCCTCGTGATCATCCACTCCCAAGCTGGTTTCGGGACTGGTCGGCAATCCGCTGTTTTTATTAGTCGAGTCTGCTCTAGGCCATGGATGCTGATGCAACTTACGACAGACTTCATCGCCCCTACGAGACAGTTAGCAACAGAGAAGCTGGTTTGAGATGAACGTACTGACCTCCACTCGGCGCAAGTAACATTGGGCTGGCACTTCTTATGCGTGCGTTCGTAGACGTGGCACCAGCGCTGCACGGGAAACCGGAAGTGGCCGCAATGATATTGGATCTGTTATTAGTTAGCTTCTGATGATCTTGGTAACACCGGGACAGGTATAGGCACCTGGATATAATTGCACATGTTGACTGGGATGAGAACACTGTCGCAAGAGTTGTTGTGGGTTGTTGTGAGATGCTGCGAGATGCTGCGAGATGCTGCAAGATGAGATTCCAGAGCGACGCCCGGACGCGCACCCTGTATTCTTGTACCACCATGGGGTCGGGAGACAACGGAGCGGGTTCATGCACACCCAGCTGAACCTGCAGTCCTCTCGGGGCGAGACAGCGTCCGGACACACGCTGTCCAGGAGATGTCGGAGGTCGATAGCTGATTTGGAGCGAGCTGGATCAATGCTTGTGTCGACGCTGATACTGGGGAACATCCGATGTCCGATGCGGGTCAGACCTGCACCCCTCTTTTCCCGCAGGGGTCGTGGAGTGGAGTGGAGTACCAGCCTTCACTGCTTCTTCGAGCCGACCGAGAAGGGTAAGGGGCACATTGGATGGAGCTCGGCGCCATCACCACGGGCATCCGCAGAGATGAGTGAGCGCAAATGACGTGATTCCAGAGGGGCTTTTGTAGAGGCTTCCATTAGGCGAATGATGTGCGGTCCTCAGAGAATGCTCGTGCGATATGTCTCAGCCCATTCGCCGGTCACATATGCGATATCGACTAAGACGAACAGACAAGCCCGATCCGACCAGACAGGACGGCATCCTGCAAGCGTGGCGAGAGACTGATGTGAGCTTCTCTCGAGACATCCAGGGGTGCTCACACGCGATTAGCCAGCGAAGTGTTCAGCCAAACGCGGCGACTGTGGATATCGTTATCGGGATAAGGACATCCTCACGGCATGGTCCACTGCAGGCTTCACACCAAGGGACCTCCACAGCCTCTCCTGCCTCCATGAGCTCGAGTCGGGAGTAGGAGCACGCGTCTCGTCTTTGCGTCTTGTTGGCTGGCGCACGAGTCACTACGGCTACCCTGCGGCTGGCTGCTCTAGTCATCCCGACATACAGTGGATCCGGTGCAAGAGTCATTTCCTGCTTGTTCCGGGATCTGCTGCGGTGTTGGAGGAGGCACGCTCTTGTGCCAGTTCGGCATGTGGATGGGCAACTGTGCACTGCGTGCTCTGTTGATGGCGTGGGCCGTGCAAGCCACCCAGATAGCGGCCTGGCTCCCTGCACGCGAAGGTTCGGTGCTCGCCGGCAGCGCGGCCCCTGGTGTTCCGTGGTGCCACCCCCAACACCAAGCTGGCCTCCGCGGCCTGCCAAAAGCCAAGACCGCGCGTCGTGGGTCCTTTCAATGAGACATGGCTATGCTCAGTCTGATAGAGGCTGGCCCGTCCCGTTCCGGGACCACTAACAGGACGGGGGACTTCAGCAGTAAGCCCCGGGACATGAGTGCACCAGCTGCGGAAGTCGAGACGGCTGGTGTCAATCCTGACTGCCGTGGTCGATCGCTGATGACCAGGGTCTAATGCCAGCTGCGTCTGCAGGCACTTAAATGGCCTTGTCCTGCGCGTGTAACCACCTCGGCATGCAGCGATCATCTGGTAGAGGTCCTGCCAGCTTCACCTTTTTCTCGGTACCTTCACTCCTCGCAGCAGAGCCCTTCCTGCAAAGCACTATCATGGCGAAATCAGCCCTGAGGCCCAACCAAAAGCGGATCTGCATCATAGGCAGCCCTTTAGCGGGTAAGACCCAACTCGCGAAGCGATTCAGCGGGCAAGACTTCGACAAAACGGTGCGTTGCAACAAGACTTCCGAAGAACAGTCATTAATATCGGTCTAGTACACACCAACCCGGAAGAAGACGCCAACACTGCTACCCAACAACATCGAGCTCCTCGAGTTCCCGGGTTTGACTGGTGATACCACGATCAAAACTACCTTGGAAGAAATGGCCCATTCCCAAACAGTGGTCATCATAGTCTACGACCCGACGTATCCGCCCTCGCTCCGCCTTCATACGAATATCTTGAAGACCCTGCCACACAAGAACGTCATGATTGTCGGTACCCGATCTGGCGAGTCTGAAGAGCCGGATCGAAGGAGTACGGACACGCGCGCTGAAGCCGAAGAAACCTCACGTAAATACGAGGTTTCGCATTTCCCGACCTCGCTCATGACTGGGTCAGGTTTCGCTCAGGTCAGAGCCGAAGCATTTCGATTGCTGGGAGTCAACTACACAGACGCCTCATCGGGGTCAGAGAAGGACACATCGGACGGGAATGAGATCTCACACAAAGGAGTGCAGACGGATTGTCAGCCTACTGAACCAGCCACTGCGGATTCGCTGATGAAGGACACACGGCTGGAAGGCCTGTGCGACGAGGAGGCCAGAGACATGCCTAGTGTGAAGATGGTCCCGGTTCGTTGCTGTTGTTGTTCTGTGGCACTCCTCTGTAGGGAGATCGGGGACGTCTGCATGGCGTGGATCGGCAGAGGTCAAGCTTGGCTGGCGTCCCTCTTCAGGCGCAGTCGTTCGCGCGCCCACAGAAATGGCGCGCAAAGGCCCAAGTCCACGAACAGGCTGCTCGAGGAAAAGCATGCCAGTGTCTCCTACGGTGGGACAGCAGATGCCGAATCAGTTACACCTTGGACACCTATGTAAATAGAGCACCGAATTTCATCGCCTTGAGAATGGGATCCTGTGGCGCTGCGAGCATGGCTGCAAGCATAACAAGTGAGCCTGTGGATCGCCCGTCAATGCTCGGACATGTGTGTGCTTCTGGCTCGTGCGGGTCTGACCCATGTCGGCAGATGGCCCTCTGTTCTGGGGCATCCTCCAAGCGTGACTCTGCCAGTCCTGCACAGCCCGACGTGAGGTGCGAAGTTTACTTTTCGGCCCTGCAGCAAAGTCAACACGTTGTGGGTCCGATCCAACCAGGGCGGAGCTGGGGTAGCCTGCTGGCTGCCTGCATGGCTAGCCAGGGGCAACCATGTCCGCCAGACGTGGGTGATGGTGTGCAGGGCTGCAGGTTGAGCTAAGACGGCCAATCGGATGGCTGGACTCGTCGTGCCAGGGGTTGCCGCCGAGTCCAACCATTGGTGACCAACATTGACGGGGAGTGCTGGACAGCGCATGTCTCGATGTTCGCACAGCGCTCCGTCTTTGTCCATCAGCGGCCCCGTCGTCGTCATGCTTCCGTATGCTGGGTCTAGGATCATGGCCGATGGCGCAGCTGCACTTGCTGTTTAGAGAAATGAGACATTTGATTATTGCACTCATGCAACACGCTCGGATGAGCCGCCCAGGCGGCGGCTGCCCAATATCGCCCGGCCGCCTCATATTTTGCGAGCTCAGCCCTCGACCAATCGCCAATCTTGAATGCTCCTGGCTAGCCACGCAAAGGTCTCGGCTCCCGATGCTTTCACCTGCACTGAAGAAGGACGACGTGTGCGGTAAGTTGACTACCAGCCTGTCCTGAGGAATCGCCATGGAGGTCGTCACTCCAGCAGACTTTCCTATCCACTCGCAACGCCGACGGCCCAGACAGGTATGCCATCCCGACAATCCACCAGAGATTTCAATGAAGCGGCTTCAGCTAACAGCAAACACAGGCAAAACCATGTGACGCCTGTCGTAAAGCAAAGACTCGATGCATCAAGAGCCCTGAGGGCTCTGGCACCACGCCCTGTATCCATTGTAGTCTTAGGGGCACTGCTTGCACATACCGCCATGGTCCTCCAGCACGTTCCTCTACTGCCGCGAGAGAAGACAGCCCACTGCTTGCCAATGAGCCTCAGACCTCTCGAAGTGTCAACGGCGACAGCTCCGTGCCAACACTGAACTGGCCAAGGCAAGAGAGGGCAGTCGAGCCCTCGCAACCCTCCTTCCCACGAAATGCCAGTGCTCCGTCGACAGCATCCAGAACGATGCATGCGCCGGCGGCTCTCACGGCTTCTGGTCCGCCCCAGTTAGGATCCATCGCCAGCGGCTTCTCTGAACTGCATGGGCTTAGCAGCGACATGGAGCCTATACTCATGGTAAGCCCTCCCAAAGACTAGATTCATACGGAGTACTCGGACTAGTCTCACACTAAGCCAGCGACACCGACCATATGACCCGAACTCGCATGAGTACCACCTAGGCACACATGGCATCAAACGAGTGCTCCACCGGTATCAAGCGCAGGATTACCCCCTGACCTTCCACATGGTGGCGGACACCAAAGCCATCGATCACGAAGAACTGGAATCGGAGGTCGAGGCCATCGAAGCACTCGTCCAGCCGTGGGGACCAAAACTACTGGAGCTGTTCTGGCGACACGTTCAGCCCTCGTATCCAATCATCTCCAAAGATGGTCTCATGCAAGCCTACGAGCACAGAGATGCTCCATGCCCTTTACTTGGTGCCATTTACCTAGTGGCGACCCGCTGGTGGCAGTACGACCCTGATTTATCCGTCTGCCCGATGCCAGACGTGACAAGCCTCCGCAAACATGTCTATCGTTCCATACACTGCTCTTACCACTCGCCAAAGCTTTCATCCATCCAAGCAATGCTGCTCGTCCTGCAGTGTCAGCCGGAGGATCCTCTGAACCCTGATCACACCTTTGCCTGGGGCCTGACCTGCCAGGCACTCGCAATCGGCCAGTGCCTTGGGCTGCACCTGGACGCGTCAGATTGGAGCATTCCCCAAGCAGAACGCAATGTCAGGAAACGACTGGCCTGGGCACTTTACATGCAGGACAGGTGGACAGCTGTTGCCTATGGACGCCCGGTCCATATCCACGACGATGACTGGGCTGTCACCGATCTGACAGACGGCGACTTTGCAGACTGTGATCTCAGCGAAGCACGGGAGCCTGAGGAAGAGCGGTGGTCTATGACCATGACTGGCAAACACCATTTTCTCCTCATGGTTCGACTGTCGCAGATTCTCTCTGATGTCTTAGCGCAGTTTTACACGGTCAAGAAAAGCTCTGAGCAGGATACAGCCGTGCTTTTCCAGGGAGCTGGTCCAATATTTGAAGCCCTTGATCTCTGGTCCGCGTCGGTGCCTGAGAGTCTCGGTATGCACATCAAATACCAGCGACGGTTGTGTTTCCACGGTAATACTCTCTTCACTTTCACAATGGTCTTTCGCGTACCAAAACTGACGTCACCAGGCTATCTTCACTTCTCGTACTATGGTGTTGCCATGACGCTTTTGAGGAGACTCATCAGATCAACTGCCTTGGGACCGCCTTGCGCAGATCACGCCATCCTTGCCAACGTACGGCAGCAGGCACTGGAAACAGCACAAGGCGCAATAAGATTCGTTTCAGAGCTTCGGCCTGACCACCTAGAGGCCTTCTGGTATTACAGTATGTCTATCACTTCAGTGGCGCTGTCGCGGTACTTGACTGATGTTCGATGCAGCGACACCATATTTATTCTCCCTCCTCGGCTCGTTCATTACCCTCTTGTTGGTCACGTCGCTTTCATCACAGGAGCGGGACTTCTGGCAAGAAACGCTAGACTCATATATTTGGAAGTTACGAACAATGAATAAGAGCAGTGAACCGATGCAGTACGCGGCGAATCGGCTGGAGGGCGCCATCCTTCGCGGCCTCGAGCATGCTCTTGCTGTCAACATCGTCGAACCCGTCGATGATACAGTCAGTCCACAGATGGCGAACTACAACAGAGAGGTAATGAAGTACCTGAACGTCAGACACTGGGATCTCTTCATGGCAGGCGGCGGTTCTTACGACCTGTCTGAGGCACCGGGTGGTGTACACCAACAAGTGAGCTATGGTCAAGGTCCACCAATGATGTAAGGGGATGAAACACCAGAGCATCTTCGATACCACCGTTCATAAGGTCATAAAGTTCTATTGAGAGCGATTTATTGCAGAAAGTGAGATGTCTAGGTCGACAGAGCCATAGTCGACGAAAATTCCAATCCGCTGCAAGCATTCAGAGACATTACCTTGCGCGCTCTCGACTTGTGCAACAATCTCCACCGGAGTCTTGTACAGCCTAGACAAGGCCAAAGGCACCAGCATCACAGCTGTTGATATCCAGCTTCACTACAGCATCCGTGTGATGATGTAGCTGCGCGAGTTGTCTCGGAAAGCCACTGAAAGTGCTTTCAATGCTCGACAGCTTGACCTGTTCTTGAGGGGCCAGGCAGGACGTCCTGCGTCGAGGTGCTCGCGGCCATACATCGGCACATGGGCAGCGCTGTCTGCAGTGTTGCGCGGCGACGCCCGCTCGTTCCGCACTGCCAGCTGCAGCTCCCCACTGACCAACATTTCCCGGACGGGCAGAAATGGGTCTCCTCATTCTCGAGCACACCCGACTACTAGGCTTGATTTCGTGCGCTTATCGCGATCGGAATAGCTGCGCGGCAGGAGGGCCCCCTCTGAAGCCCCAGCTTAGTAGACTGCCATGACTGTATTACGTTGATATCACGCAAACTGTGTTCAATGAGATGGGATCGATGCAAACTGAAGCTGAAGATCGCATTTGCGGTGCTTAATATTAAATCTGCTATGGAAATAAATCACGACAAAAGAATACTACTGATTGAACACAGCAGAGGTGTTGTGGTTGGCCCGCTTCCAAGGGGCCCTCCAGGCCATTACCAGCCCTGAGCGTGGTAGCCGCCCTGAGTGTCGCGGTTGAAATACCGGTTCCAGTCCATCGAGGGCTCAGCAGCCTCCTTGTTCATGTGCACCTTTTCGGGGTACTGCTTCAGGTTGGCAACGTCGTGCGACGTGTGTCGCCTCTTGAGCACGGCATTCGCTGTCGAGGTCTTCTGCTGCCTCTCCCAGAGCAGCTGGCGGCGAACAGACTCGGTGAGCTCATTCGCTAGCATGTTGCGGCGTGTGGTGCGAGGTGAGAGCACGATTGCCTCTGTGCGCTGCGGCTTGGAACGAGGAATTTCGTTAATATCATTGTTCTGATGATACTCTGGTTCGAGCTTAATCTTGCGGCCCTCGTTGGAGTCGTCAGGGGAGTTTCTGATAGGAGACGTGTTTTGCGTCGTTCGCGAGCGCTGAGGTGAATCATGCGTCTGCTGTGAGGCGTGGCTGTTGGAAGCGGCTGTGCCTTGGCCTCCACGCGGGAATATGAGGCTGAGAAGAGATTGCTGTGCGGTGACGGGCTGTACATGGACGGTGATGGGCTGCGTATGGGCGGTGATGGGCTGCGTATGGGCGGTGATGGGCTGTGTAGTGGATCGAAGGATCTCGTTGATGCGCTTCAGCTGAGGCGGGCGCATGCCCTTCTTCATCTGAAGACCATTGTCAGAGTCGCTGGGGGCCTTGGCCATAGTTGACATGTTCTGTATGGTCCGCGAGCGTTGGGGTATCCCAGGTGTCGGCTGGGACGCATGGCTGCTGAGGGCCTTAGTGCATTGGTCCTGTCCCGCGGACATGAGCCTGATAAGAAATCGCTGTGCAGTCAAGTTGGACTTGGGAGGCACACGCGGGCAGATAGGCTGCGTATGGGCGGTGATGGGTTGTGCAGGGGATCGAAGGATCTCGTTGACGCGCTTCAGCTGAGGCGGGCGCATGCCCTTCTTCATCTGGAGACCCTCGTCAGAGTCGTTGGGAGAGCTGGTCATGGTCGGCATGGCCTGCATGGTCCGCGAGCGCTGGGGTATCGCAGCTGTCGACTGCGACGTATGGCTGCTGGAGGCCTTAGTACCCTGGCGCTGTCCCGCGAACATGAGGCTGATAAGGGATTGCTGAGACGTGAGGGCGGACTTGGAGGGAATACGCGTGAATGTTATCCGGTCGTCTTGGCTGGACTCGCTGCTCTTGATCGAGTGCCAATCTGAGTCCGAGTCGTCATCGTCGATGGCGCTCTCGTCATAGTCGTCCGATTGATCACTGACAGCCTGCTGGCTGGCACGATGTGCTGCAACAATGCCGGCAAAAGATGCCGGCTTCTTCTGGGTGCCCGGGTCAAGGCGCGCCAGGGAGATCTCGAGGGGTGGGCTCTGTCCGCCAGATGAGGATTCACAAGGCGCAGGCGTCCTCGTCATGGAGGCCGACATGTCGTCCGAACCAGTGTTCTGCAAGTCCGAGCCCAGCGGCTGCTCGTGGGTCAGGATCGCCGCCTGGGCGTCTAGGAGACTGTGAGAGATCTTGATGTTAGCATTGCTGAAGAACCGTCTGCCAGACATGGTCAGGGTGACGTACCATTTAACGTTGCTGGCCCTCGCACGCCTTCAGGCTGTTCTGCTTCTTCTCGAGGACTCGGTCCGCACCGTCGTAGAATACAGACGCGAGTTGTTGGAGCGCTCGAGATGACGTTGATGGGTACGAGGGCGAAGACGAGTTTCAATGACAGGACAGAGGGAAGAGTGGCAGCTCCAGCCCGTCAGAACCCCGACCTTGAAAGCCATGTCATGCAGACGGGGGACCTCTGCCGCCCGATCTCCAATCCCCCCTGCGTCCTAATCAGTCTCAGCCCTCTTTCGTACCGTATGCACGCCGTCCTGTGTCTCGCGAGACTCGTCCGTTCCTCAAGCCCCCCACCCAACATCCATCCCGGCTTGTCCCTTCGCTTCCCCGTGTCGGCTGCATGATTGCACACTACATGGGGAAAAAGCAAGGGACTGAGCCAACGCGCCAGCGCTGCTCCGTTATCACTCTCACAGTGGTGTGTTAGCGCTGCCGGCCGGGTGCCGAGCCATGGTGCTGCTGTAGATCGTTGGCATGTCCCCGCGCTCACACAGGGTGAGCAGGTCGAGGCCTGACAGCGACCAGACGTGTGATCTCCTCACCCTGGGTGATCAGGCCCGTGATAGTGAGCTGCAGGCATGCGTTGTCATGATGGAATGCTGTGTCGCGCCCAGACTCTCCTCCGTTGAGTTCGCATGGGCTGTGAATAGATCCCCGCGAGCCTTTGGCTGGACCTGCATTGACACATGCTCCGCTCATCCCAAGCCTACACGCTTCCGCTTGAGAGCAGCGTCGCTGAGCAGTTGTCTCCACTCGCGACCAGAAGGGACGTAGCCGCTCATCGGTGCCGAAAGGCCCCCTGAGAAGCTTGCATCTGTCCTCTACCGTCGTGCCTCCTCCTCGTGACCGGCCTCCTCTCCGTCTCCAGCCAGACGGGCCGGCCCAAACGATGCCCGCAAGCCTGCTTTCTGTCCAGTATCACCTCTCGTGCTGCCGTGGGTGTGAACGCCAGGTGCTCGACAGGGCTACCTGACGCCCATCAGCGCTCCCACAAGGCTGCGTATGCCTGTGGTGCCCCAAATCCGCCCTCCTTGCCTATGTGCCAGCAGCGCTCGCCACTCGCTGTCCGAGAAGGCCAGTCCCCTAGCCTAGACCGAAGGCGCTCCAAGCCACCCACCCCTTTAACACTGTCTACACTGGTGCGCGCACTACAAGCTTGTTGCCTTGCGCTGCCTTGATCCCCTCAAAAGGCCTCCCACCTCCCACCAGTCAAGTGGTCCCTTCAAAAGGCTGACCATCACCCACTAGTCTAGTGCTCCCGACGTTCACGTCTTCACCTCTTCGGAACGGCCTCCAGCCTCCTCATTCTGGACACGATTGCGACCATGGACGACTTAAACGATGCCGGCGCCGAACTCTGGGACAACAATGGCTTGACTGACATTGCGTCCCTTGCCAGTGACGAAAGCAGCATCAACGCCACTATCGCCGAGACTGACGATCGCTTCATGCCCTTCCACGACGGTTGGAGCGCACAGAAGGACGAGCACAGCGCCCCCTCTCCGTTACCCTTCGCGTACACCACGGCACAGTCCATTATCGAGGGATTCGTCCGCATTGAAAACCACCTCCATTCTACGCATGACACACTCGAGCCCATGGCCGAGAGTTCCCAGCTCGAAGCTCCTACGCTCGCCCGACACGTACAATCTTGTCACGATTCCAGCAATGACCATGGCCACGAGCCTACTGACAGCACAAGCGGCACCATCTTCTCGTTGTCCAACAACTTCTTGTCCAAGAACGACAACTCGGGTTCAGGGGGGGACGAGCTCAGCGGCCATCCTTCCTCCAACTTGGATGGCACGACGCAGTCCGCTTCCGCCACATTCACGGACTTCGACTTCGACGAACCCGCCCTCAGCCCTCAGCTTTCGGATAAAGATCTACATGACAGGTTCAATAATACGTTCGGGAGTTGGGAGATCCTCAGAGACGCACTAGTCAAATTTGCGGACAAGGTACCAGCCAGCGTTGTCCTCGACGATGAACAGTACCGGGGCATAATTCAACTTACGGGGTTGTTTTGGCGGGACGCAGTAGAGCTGCTCAGCATTTGTTCCCACCCAAATGCATCGCGTAGGACGCGGCAGCTGATCGAGGAGAACAAGGTTGTGCCCACTCTATGGGCAGTTGGGGCAGCTCCATTCCTGCAGCGATTCACATCCGATGATGCCTCCAACCCTGAGCATATGTGGACATTCGTCCTGCAGTGGGTCTTGCAACTCCATCATCTGCACAGGAATGTCCCGGAGTACAAACATCTGTTCGCGAGATATGTAGGACTTTTCGCAATACTGGCAATGGTTGCGTCACCTCTGGAGGCAGACAAATGTCGCTGGGCTCTCACTGCTCAATTCTGGTATAGAAGAATAGCTGGTTTGGCGTGACGAGAACCGTATTCCACCAGTTTGGGAGATTCTTTCTTGGTTATTGGCATAGTTTTGGGGTCGTGTTGGTCTTGGATTATGGACCTGTTGCCAACCGAGAGCACTACTTCATGGGCACAGAATCCTGTCTAGCAATACTTGCACCCCCCCAATGCCACCTTCACTTCAGTGTCCATGATGCTTGTGCCTCGAGTTGTGACATGAAGACACGCGTGTTTCTATGACACTACGTGGTTAACAGCGATCGGTTGCATCACTCAGTCTTGAATCCACTTCGGTCTGATTGACTCTTATCTACGTTGTTCGTTACCCTCTTCCAAGTCCAGGGAAATGAAGCCTTCCACTTCTTCAAGCGCGGAACTCGTGCTGCCTCCATTGTGGACGACCTCTTCGGGAGGGCAGTTCAGCACCACATCCAGCCATTTCTGAGTTTTATCTATTTTACAGGGCAGCATCCCCTTGGAGTAAGGAACGCCTGCTAACTCATCATTCACACCTGTGGGGGCGCTTTCGGTACAATGATGGAAAAAGACGCATACTTTGGTCGGTTTGGAGATTGCCTGGATGATCTCTTGCAAACTATGCGGGGAGGGTCTAGCTTTGGGTCCTGTCAAAAGAGGCTGTCCTCGGTGTCCCTTGAGAGACTCGTCTGCTTCAGATCGATTGCGTTGTCGCTTCTCGTCGCGCTGCTTGTCGCCGTCGTTTGGCGGGGTGTCTTGGTAAGGCCGACTGATGTGACGTTAGCGTGCTGGGCACGTTGGAAGGAGAATCCAGCCTTACACTGCGCATGATGATGTGCTACAAGGCTCCGATACAGCCATGAGAGAGGATGTGGTGAGTCGACGCCTGCGAGGTTTTGAGGAAGGGTAAGACAACACAGTCGAGACCAAGTTCTGTGCGAAGGAGTTGGATGTGGTGCGACGACTGAGTCATGTCCCCAAGGTGCGGTGGTGTGTCCGGCCCGGGACGGCCTGCTTTCAACAGAGTGTCGACTTCTGGGTGCCCAGAGCATAGACAGGCACTGTCACTGGCGCTTGGGGAGCTTGTGGCGGCGAGATAGCGGCGGTCGAGCCGAGTCCCAGCGCTTGACGCCTCCTGCCCTGAGGGTCGCTTCGGGGGACTTTTGCATCTGAAGCGGCTTCCTGCCCTCCGCTCCCCCGTCATAACGCCAGGGCCAGGATATCATCACGCCCTCCTGGTCGCGGACTTGCACGGCAGGGTGTGGTCAAGAGCTCCGAAATCATGCAGCACTGAGCATGCTCGACGACCTAGGGAGGTAAGCCTCCGCGCAGCCTGCATGTGCAAGGTGCTTGAGGCAGGCCTTGTGGATGTGTTCGGTAGTCCTCACTCCCACAAGACATGGGCAGTACTGTCTGCAGTGTCACACACACTACAAGCTGTCGTCTCCCCCCGCCTGAAAGCATATGCTCCTCCGTCATCGAGGACCTCGGCCCGCACCAGAGGGAAGCCGTGTACAAGTCCAGCACGGCGAAGAGCCCACCGATGTTGCATTCGCACCCGTTGACGGCTACAGCACCCATGACAGCGTCTCTCGCTGGACGATCGCTTCCAAACACTGAGCACGAATGGACAAGGACCGACTCTCTCCTTCATTGGCCACACCATCTACGAATATCACAGCACGGCACTATCCGCCACGGACAGATCCGCACTCAATGAACTCCCTGGTACACACACTGCCGCTCTTCCCGAGTAGCTCTTGGTCGCCACCCATACACTCTGTCTCCTGCTAAGTGCTGCTGGAGAGCCTGCTCATGCCGGCCGTCAGCTCCCCGACTGCACAACAGAGACAACACTGACACGTAGGCCATGGTTCACACCAATACACTGGGCCTGCGGCCCCCCGCGTCCCGCCGTAACAAACCGAGATAAGGGGCCATCCTATCTCTTCTAACTGTCCCCCTGGACTTTTTCTCGCACCCCAAGCCGATATATGAAGCTTACACTTCTTCCCTAACAGACACTATCCTTTCATCCTCTCCCACCATTCAGTCTACTCCTCTGCTCCACCAGCGTCCTTCCATCGATCACACTGCGACATGAACGAAATGGTGCCGATCCAGCCACTCGGCTCGACCCTCTCCCTTCGCAGGTGGGCTGATGCCATACGCGTGCCACTCCTTCCAGAAGCCATCCTCTGCACAATCCTGTCTGCAGTCGTCTTCTTCCTGCCAGAAAACCTCCTTTACTCGGTCCAGTCTGTGGTCTTCTTCCACATCTTGTATACTCGTCTTTCAGAGACAGTATCCAAGCGTGTACTTGGCAGTAAGCGGTGGGTCGGCTTCAAACCAGGCAGACAGAAGCACTGGAGAATGTGGATCACGAATCTGACCAAGGCCATCGGCATATCTTCTGGGGTTGTTTATGTCAAGATCATTGGCGATAAAGTCGACTCAGAACGATTTACAGTTTTGGCCACGGGGTTCTATATCTGGCATTTTCCTTTCATTGAAGCCCATGCTACTGTGAAAAGCTTTTTGGATCGGTTCCATCACGCCTCATTCGTGTTGTGCGTACTACTCCCCCACGTAAGTACTTCACACAGCCTGGATGAGTTTTGTTTGCGATGGCCTTATCTGCCCGTAAATCAGCTGCTAATACCTGCTCGGGAATCTAGCTGCCTTTCCTCGCCGATCAGAAACGGGCCCTCACGGAACTCCCACTGGAGTTTTTGCTCTTCGAACTGACCAATATCCCTTACAATATTGGATTCATATGCAACGATCTAGGTTACAACCACGCTGCCAAAATTTGTCGCTACATACGATTTGCGGTTTTCTTGGTAGTCCGCATCGTCTACGGAACTTATCTAGCTACGAACAAATCGACGGTTCTGTATCAGCTCTGGGCAGACTCACAGTCAATACTACTGAGCTGTGTCCTTAGCTTATACTGCGTTTGCAATTTGGGACAGCTCCTTTCTAATATCACATGGGCTTCGAAGATACTGCTCAAGCTGTTTGAGACGGAAGAGGAAGGGGGAGCACGGCCGGCTGCCGAGGCGGCTGCTACTGGCAGTCGAGACGATCGGCTGCAATGAGGGCATCAAGTGAGGATTCAGCAGTGGCTGTACGGGGGGCCGTCGCCTTAATGGAAAACCTCATGATATAGGGTGGCAGAAGTCTGACAGATTTGTAATCGAAGCATCTTCGAACAGTTGGTAAGGCACAATGAAGTTGCCAGTCGGGCTACAAGGCGAGCGATGTGATATAGTCCAGGCAGAGTTTTCCAGCCTGTTCACACCAGCGATACCACGAAATCTTAATCACATGAAACCTGTGTTTGCAGACAGTGTCTGTCGCTTAATCATCGCAGAGTATCGTAGTCTTTGTTGGATTAAGCGCAGTGTCAACGTCGGGTGCTCGTGACTGCCTCAAATGCGCCATCACGTTCGGCCGTAAGTGCAATACTAATTGATGCACTCAGCACCTGACAAGGCGAGACAGACCTGACCCGCCTGTCCACCTAACGTCTGCTACCGCCCCCCCTCCGAAGCCACGCCGTGAACGCGAGGCGGTTTGGTGGCGGCCTACCCTTGTCCCTGCAAGCATGCAAAGCTGGGTTGCATTCTGCTCAGCATTCATCACGCCGGAGCCTGGCGCCTATCACACCATCAGCTTCACGGCATGTCCCTGCACATCCACTCTTTGAAACCTTGATGCCGAATGGATGCATTATCGTGGGAACTAACGAATCAAGCCTGGACAAGGGGCATGGTTCGTAGGCTGCTAAATGGTCCCTGCCGCTACGTCCTATGTGGCAGTTCCGAACGCTGGCACATGACCATTGGGGAAACGCCTCAGCCAGGAGACTTACCCCCGACTGTGGGCTCAGCAGGCTAGCTGATGCTCTGACACAGAATTCTCCCATGGCTAGTCCGCGTGAGGAACGCCACCAGGCAAAAGTAGCGAGCTGATATCCACTAATCCAGCCTTTCTGGAGCTGACGAGGCAGTTTGTGGGTTATTGTGGGATAGGATGTTCAGTGACCACACGTGTCAAGTGATATTTTCCGCTAAGGCGGGCGCATCGGAAGAGTTAGCCCCTAGTGCTCGTTGCGAGGTTGGTTCTCCAGGCGCCTTGCGCTGTGCTGGCACAGCTGCTAGCATCACTTACAAGCATGTGATCATCTTGCGGACCATAAGGTGAAAGAGATAACCGCCCAGCACGTAGCCACCGAGATCCGTCAGGATTCGTGTCGCCTCCATCGAATTTGCCTCCATCATAGCAACGTACACTGGTGTGCCAGCCGTGCGAGAGTGGGCAGCCTCCTGAAGATGAAGGGCTGCAACGGCACTAACTTTTCTACCGGTCGGACCACCCAGATAACCCTTTCAGTGTCTTGGGGGCCGGACTCGGGAGTACACCCCACTCTTCCAGTGCTCCGGAGTCCCTGGTCTTTCCCAACCCAACGATCACCAAAGCAGCTGCCGCTTATGTTCATGACATTATTTGGGGATTTCGCCTTGCCCATTTTGATCTACGGCACAATTAACGTGCTGCCCTCCCCGTCTCCGAGAGCTGTCTACAAATATGCCGAAACAGATGTGACGTAAACGCTGCCAGTCTCTACTCCAAAGTAGTGTAGCGTCATAGCGTCATTATTATTCATGAAACCATATGCAATGGCTTGAACGGCGAGTGTGCGCTGCACGCAACTCGACAGAGGCTTGCTCCAAGTCTGGAGCAGCGGTCCCACGAGCGACGCTCTCGGGCCGAGTGAGCGAAGGCCAAGCACGGCCCCCACAGGTCGGTGCTGCTGCGCGGAGCCCGGTCCGGTTCCTGGCTCATGGACGTGCATTAGCGCCAACCGCGGGTTGGGGTGGCCCAGGGCACAGACAGAAGCGCAAGGTCCTATCGGAGGGATGCTCGAGTTGGTGGCTGATCCATGCCATAGACTACTCTATTGGCCATGCGAGTGCCCACCAGTGCGGACAGTGCGAAGCACCTTCGCTCCCACAATCATGCCCTGCCAAGAAGTACCCGATGCAGACTTGCTTGCTTGTCAGTGCTAGCAAAAAACAAGGACATTTCACTTGGTACTCCGATAAGTGAGTGCCGGCACGACGGAATGCTTCTCTCGCACTTGTTTCTGCACACTAACCCCCGGCACACTCCTCCGCCGATGCGAGCATCACCAATCATGTGTATCCTGGAGGAAGAGCGTGGCAATTGCAACAATCTTTGCGTCGTCAAGCGGACAAAAAGGGCCTGCAGAAATGGGCTCGCCAATGCCCACTTCGCTGCTGCCCATACACATCAGATAGTTCGTCAGGAGATACTTTGCGTCGGTCGCTGACCATGCGGCAGACCCGAAAAACACCAGGACCCTGCTGTTGATCTTGTCGGACATCACAGGTATGTGGCCCTGCTTTGCCTCTTTCGCGAAGGGCATGCTCTGATTGATCGGGCAGTTTGGCGAATGTGCCATTCGCGATGCTGTCTCCACAAGCCCAGATCGAGGATTGCCTTTTCCGAGTTCGAGACCTGGCCAAGCGCTACGCTGCTGGGTAGCATGCACTACGTCTGTCCTCGCCAAGCCAGCGCCATCAGCGCAGAAGCGAGCGATGGATCACACAGCCTTGAATTACCACGATCAAGGGCCCAGTGGCAAGGCCGCGATCGAAGCGGCGGTCACGTCTCTGCGCGTCACCAGGCCGAATATTCTGTAGCAAAGATAGCATGTATGACGTTCAACACCACCTTGCAAAGCTGTTTGAGATAAGCATTGTCTGCCCATCTCTCTGCATCTCATTACTCGTGTTGGCACAGGTTCCATAGTGGACCTGTGGTTCAGGTACTGCTCACGTTCGGTGCATTTTACCTGGCGATGACCATGCGTGCCTGGTGTGTGTTCTGAAGAGGTGTTGGCGTAGGGCAGCTTGTGCTCGTTCTGGTGGCAGCGCTGAGCGCCGCTCATCTTGAGTATGGTGCGAGGCGCCAAGATCGAACACGAGCCGCACAGCCGCGCAACGGCAGCTACGAGACGGCGTTCCCTGTAAGCACGCCCGGGCGCCGCTGGACACATCCCGCTCGGAGCCTAAAACAGCTCCACTGTCCACATGTCGGGTTGCGCCACCACGGTGAGATGGCGCACACAGTCACCCTGAGTGGATGCCTTTCAAGTGTATCCCAGCGATAGCCTGATGGGCTGGTAGGTGGCCCACCTCGGCTGCTGAGGCCCACTGTATCCTTTGTCGAGGTGCAGTGCAGGCTCGCTCCGGTCAAGACCATGCGAAGAGCGTTGTGTGCCCTTTCCTGCCCAGTGAGTGCTTGACTAACAACGCAGTGTGGCTTAGTGTGCTTGAGTGGTCCTAATCGCCATAGAAAGGGATAGCTACGTGCCGGTGCAGGACTTTGCTGGCATTGATGTCTGTTCAGGTCCTGGCCCACTCTGCTGGTGCTATGCCTTTGCTTATAAAAGACCAGTCGCACCTTGTTCCTCCATGGCTCGCTCGCAGCTGTTCAAACAACCGGTACACATTCGCCGACATTTTCGCCTAAACAAACGAAATGACGACATTCCTAGACCGTGTCACTGCAACTGGCCGTGAACATGTTCGGAATCATCTCCATCCATTCTGCAGCTTATGCAAAGAGGAGCTCGACATATATAGCAAGATCGTCATCTGTGAGTCCGGAGTCTGCCTGTGGAAGGACGAAACATTAATATCATCTCTCAGTTGACTTGGCCTCTGACGACGAGCATCCAATCGGTTGCAAAACACACATGATCCGTTCATTCAGGAGATCTCATGAGATCACTCCTCAAGAGATTCCTTGTGAAGCACAGAGGTCGTATTGCGCAGACATCAACTGCCATCAGTGCTCGCCTAATTGTCGCAGCGTGAGCGCACATCAGAAATGCGTCAAATGGCTACAAGACATATCCCATGCTTTCGAAAAGCAGAGTGTGCTTGATTCCGACAGCTACGTTATTTTCTTCCTACGCACGCAATCGCCTTGGACGCTATGCTGGTCTGGTCCGCTCTTACCCCCGAAACTACTGTACGAGCCTGGGCATGAAGCGCCTAGCGGGGAAGAGCCGCCTCAGCGTCAACTTCGACCGTGCGGCCCGGCAGAGCAGGATGAGCATCCACCTCGACCACGCAGCCGGGCAGAGCAGGATGAGCATTCACCTCGACCACGCAGCCCGGCAGAGCAGGATGAGCATCCACCTCAGCCACCGTACTTGCCGATTGAGATAATGATGCAAATATTCAATCTCGCAGATGAAACCTCCCGCCGGTGGCTTTATTTGCGTCATTCAGTTCTAAGGCCCAAACCCTGGATGGTGGAGAAGCGATGGGACCTCAGGCGTGTCCGCTCATGGAAACGCGGCGAAGATCCAAAAGTGGTGGATTCGGCCGTGCCCAGTGAAGACCTCTGGCTGAAATTTGATTGTTCTGGACTCGTCGAGCTCTGTACTGCGAGTGAGGCAGGTGTCCACGGCTGGACTGACATCTACCTTTTCTGCAAGGTCGACTCGACAAGCCGTCTTCAAGATAGCCATGCTATCTTCCGGGTAAGGGCGCCACTCTGAAACCTTGAAGACCTGCACGCTAACGAGTCAGTCGGGGATGTGCTACGTCAAGCCACCGGATGACTATGGTGGGCAGATATTACTCGCGAACTCAACAATCGCGTACAACAAATTGCTGCCACCCGAATCTGAATCGGCAATCGTGGCGAATGGGGTACCGCTCCAGAAGTGCTTTGGCATCACGTTCTTTTTGCTGCAAACCACCGACGACATTGTTGGTGTGCATGTACACACGAAGAGCATCTCATACCCCACCAGAACTCACAGGTGGTTAGAAGCTTCTAAGAACTGTCGGCTGGGGAGCATATTCATACCACTGGCGCCACTCGGAGCCAGTTTCATGGTCGTGAAGTGGGACATGGGCGGGTTCTCGGTACGTCTTCGGCAGCCTCTACAGGGAAGCTTGAGCTGACAAGACCAGTTTCATAATGAGTTCGGGACTCGTTCTGTTGGTCGTGCGCGAAAGCCCATCCAGCCAGGGGACAAAGGCGTGGCTTGCAACGTGGACGCTAACCCTACACTTATTTTCTACACGAACCAGGCCAGTGGTGTAGAGTCGATCGACCTTGTTTCAAGCAACACATTCTACTACGAGCACATAGGACGTTCTCCGTGCCTGGGCTGTGCGTCATTCCTCAGTGTCAGGGATCTCAGCTGGTTTGTTCGACCACTAAAAGGCGCAAACCTTGATTACATTCACGCTGCTATCATCACTCACGAGGATGGGTCTCGCAGCGCAGTCGGTGATTTCGGTTTGGAGTCCTTAGTTGAAAAACGTTTCGGCAGCATGGACGAAATCAACGAGATAAGGAAGGAATTGAAGACTTGCAAAAAGTGCGAAAGGGATGCTTGCGCGTCATCACTCATACGCCGCTGCATCAAACGGGCCTGAGGTCTATTTAAGATACAACCATAAGCACTGGGTTCCCCGTTTGTCAGGTTCTGATGCCCTAAGCGCATCACACAAACAAACATATCGTAATCATGCGAATGCACTAACTGTCACGCCCCTGATCTCACACTTCCCGAACATGATGAACACTGGCACATATTCCTGAGTGAGAAAAAAAAAAAGTAGCTGCTGTTGCGTGCAAAGTCACCGAGTGTGATGAATACTGCCTGTAGGCTGTTGTGACCGGACACCATCTGGAATGCGCGGTGGTGACGGCTCTTATCGGTGCCACGCTCGCCGTGTTCGGATTCTGGTCAGCCAAGGCCGGCCAGTGCTATGCCTGAGCCTTTTTCACCGCTGAATCCACGGTATACCCATGAAGAATAACAACAGCATCCCGTGTCTGGCTCATCTGCCTCTGGCGAGAACCCTAGCTGGCGATCCGGCGGTTCGTCCTGGCCAGAGGCCGAGCATCGCACAGCAGGACCGATCGCCAGCCTGAGTGCCCTGCGGTGGTAATGGATGCCTCCGCGCTAGAGTCACTCTTCAAAGCGTCGGCCGGCAGTAGGGCCTTTTCGAGGCTTCAGACGCCACCACTGTGGGAGGGGTCCCATCTGCTGTTGTGCGCTGATCACCCCCCGCAGCCCATAGCCCGCATACAGAGAGCCCTACTGACACGGGCTGAGAGACAGGCTGCCCACTGGCGACTGCTTCTCCCGCCCTTGTCCTTGCTAGCTTGCGTAGCTGGGTTAGGGGTCATGTTGGACTGACCATGTCGATGGAGCTGGGATATATCACCTCTCTAGGCTCCATTTCCGGCACAGCCTAGCACTACAGGTGACTGGGTCCAGCAGGGGCGACATCTAGGAGGCAAGGATTTGTGCGTGCAAGGTATGGGATGGCTTAGAAGCAGGGCGTATGCGTCCACAGTTCTTCTGCCAGGATGTGGCGCCAGTCTAGGTTTACGGGGCTGATCGTCAAAGCCTCTGCACCAACCGATTTGGCCCCAGTCGTTGGTTCACTAGGCTAGCCGATGCTTTGCAGGTCATATCCTTGAACGCACTGGGACAATCGCCCTGCGGCTGGGCTTCGTGCCAGCTGCGACCAGCAAAAAGTTGACAGCCGCTGGGCACCCGACTGGAATCCGCTGGCCGAGTCTGTCCCAGTTGATGCAGCTCAAGATGGAAGTTCCCAGTCTAACCTCGTACTGCACAGTGGAGTCTCGTATCTAGGTGCTAGTTCACTGCACTGGGAGGCGAACACTGAGCCTGTAAAGCAGCCACGAAACCAGGAGAATGTGGGCCTCTGGACGTTTATTCTCCAGGGGCTGCAAGTTACCCTGGCACATGTTTGTCATTCCTGCTCCTGCCTGAGCGACGAGAGATTGTCAGATCGCCCCCGCCATGGTGCGAAATCGCAGCCTGACATTCTTAGGGCGTTCCGGTGCTGGGCCTCGGCAGCTCATTGCCGGCTGAGTCCAGGATACTTGTCTGCAAGGGCATGATCCGGTGGCTCAGCGCAAGGCACAGCGCTATCTGTAGCACCGGACTGGGCTGTCTCGGCGGCCGACAGAGGGGCGACCAGGAGTGCACCACTGGTCTTTTGTGTATAAATTCCATTCTTCCCACCGCGCTCCCAACACTTTTCCTGATAGTTCTCGCTACGCTCAATTGTCATTGTCCCATACAGAGAGCCTCCAGAGTCACTGCTTCTTGCTGCAATCCGCCCAGTCAAGATGTCCGAATACGGACCCCACGCGGCACTTCGCATTGCCCGTACCCAGACACCCTATGGAAAGCAGTTCCCTATTCCAAACGAGCAACAAGTCCATGACATTGAGGTGAACTTCGACGTCACCTTCACCACCCACGATGTGGCAAATTTTCCAAACGACTTCATCCCAAAGGCTCTTCTACACAACGAGGAAGATGATATACCCGTCGACTGGAATGAGACGTTGGAGCTCCAAACAGATATTCACCTTAAGAAGGCACAGCGTAAAGCTGTTCTGAAAAACAACAAAATGGCCACTAGATGGGCTGTGAAAAGTCTCAAGGCCCGAAAGCCAGGGCGTTATGACCTGATCTTCCTCATATATCCAGCCGACACAACGCAGGGCCTAATAGAAATCTACGACTATAACGCCAGCGCTATTGAGATTGTTGTCCAGCAACCACACCCAGCGGTCGAAGTCTCAAGAGGAACATCGTGAACTGGGGGTGCACGTCCAGACTCCACCGTCCCTGCAGCGGCGTCAAGACCAACCACTTTGTCAATCAGTGCGCGGATGGTGGAGATATAGTGGAGTCCCCAGAGCATCGACTTCATGAGAGGTGTCCCAACGACACAGGAGAAGCTGCCATTTAGTGATAGCTAAGCCAAATACCAATGTGACTCAGAATAACCGCATTACTAGGGAGGGGAAGTATTTCACTTTGAAGTAATGATTGGCCTCACAATGTCTCTCAAGCAGAACTGTGCCTCCGTGCAACGTGCAGCGCCTGAATGTATACAGTCCACGTGCTTTAGCACGAGGGGTTAACTCTTGATGCATCATCCTCGCGACCCAAACATCTGTGTCACCATCTTAATGCGACCTTGCCAAACTGTTCAATGATGCTGAAGATGGTGTGTCGTATACATCTGTGCGGCAGCCTGACAACGACTTGGTCAAACCAGAGCATTGAAGAACGGTTGATCTGAGGAGACGGCCCGGGTCCCCGGGTCAGTTTGGACGCTTGTGGCCTTTCTGACGTGTATGACCAGGCCTGTAGCTAATGTGCGTCCCGAAGACGCTCAGTACAACATTTGGTAGGGGCTGCCCAGCGCGCCTGGCTACAAACAGGCACATGTGCTGCTAGACGACGCTCGCTGTACTGGCCCTCAGCACCCCACACCCTGCCCGGTCCCGTCCTCGCTGTTGCCTCAACGGCGAGCTGGCCATTCTCGTTTCAAGCAATAGGCACACCCAGGCCTCTTTGTTGCTGCCCTGCACCGGTCACAGGGACTTTTCTCGAGCATCCGTACCTGAGCTGTGGGACGTGGATCCCTCCCAGCCCCCTTTCCTAAGCACTTCCTTCCCCAGCAACCGGCTCCTCTGGCCTGCATTTCCGTCCCACGTTATATGCGTGATGTGCCAGCTTCCCTGCCGATCGACGCATGTTCACCGAAAGGATGGCGTATGACCCAACCTAGTACGTCTGCATCCATGGCGCCCCACACGACCTCGAAACGCATGCAGCAATCTAGCGTCGTTGCAATGTCTGAAGAGGCACGATCAAGAGGCGGGTCGCCTGCGGCCACAGGCCAAGCCTGGCCACTACCTACTCCTGACATTGACTTTCTGGGGGACGCCATCCAATGGTCACCAAGCGCTCATCACTACAAGTGAAAGAAATATTGTCGTTGGCTGAGTGAACTTTTAGCGGCCTTTCTCTGGGTGCGCCCTGATTGTCTTCCACCCTAGGAGACCGCCCTGATCGCGAGTCTGAGGAGATTCGGGCAGCCGGCGGCAGACATGATCTTTGATACTGTTCGCAGCCTTGCCGCGCAGGGTTCATGTTGCATTTTGGCTCTTTCGGGGAGAGGGCGTGACAGGGCGGCCTGGCTATCAACGCCGGCCCTGTCGATGTCCGAGATGCCTATGGTCAGTTATCATGCCGCGCAATCTAACCTGCAGCCCCAGCACTGAGACGTGGCAGGTAACCCTGGTCCTGATCCAGACCCCAGCTCGAGAAACATTGTCCTGCAGCCCTGCTTCGGCTTCTTAGATAAAACCTAGCGGCCAACCTGACCGTCGAACCTAATCCTTCGTCTTTTCGCATTCTCATACCATCCCTCATAGCTACCTCTACTTCAAACCCTTACAATCGTCTTCGATATGTCGCGCATAGACCCGTCCCTCACAATGCCTGAAGCTCCAGACTCATCAGCTGGAGTATTCTTCAACCCCGTACCTTTGAGCTCCCAGCTGTACCTCAATGTCAAAGACCGCCACTCCATCCAATTCCAGACGGCAAGACTCCCATGTGGACGCCACTATTTCTCAGCATCAATGTTTATGGATTTGGGCAGCTCGCCCCACGAGCTTGGAAACGCGGTTCCTCACCTGGTTCGTAACCAGCCGCTTTACGCCTTCGGATGGAATATCAACCCTGCTTATATCCCGGAGAGCGGAGGCACAATCACAATCATTGCCGAATGTTGGATACCTCACGAGTCCGAGCCTATCGTTCTTTGGGACACGACTTGCAAGATTGTACTGGGGATCAAGCGCGACTTCCACGTGAGCGTATTCCCCGGCGATCTTCTAGTTGCGCAGGCGAGCGCTTTGATGAGCTATGTTTACGCTCGACCCCAGTCCTCTTGGGCTAATCACCCGAATGCACGTGTTAACCGTGTGGTGGCGAGCGACGCTGCTGATGGGTGCCGGCTTAGCGACACGACATTCGAGCCGAGTCCCCCAGACTCAATCGCCGGCGCTAACGACAAAGAACGCAAACATGGTACCTCATGTGAGGACGGCAACCCGGACGAGGAGGACGACTTCGGTGAGGGGAATGACCTGGGCGAAGAGGATAAACTGGGTGAGAAGGGTGACCTGCAGGAAGGGCAAGCTTACAAAATAGTCTGTGCTCGTCTCAAACCCTCCGTCGTGGACGGGCGATATCCGAGGGCTAATAGTGGGCAACTCCAACTTCTCCCGCGTCCTGTTCTTAGGCTTGGTGGGAAGGGCAAGCTTGAAGATGAGGACAACCTCGGGGGGGAGGATCAACCGGATGAAGACAATCTTGGTGAGGAGCATCTACCGGATGAGGGGCCGCCCCAGTGTGAAGACGGAGACTTCGTGCTGGTCTGATTTTGTCCCAAACATTCTGCCGTGTAAGGGCAACATTGGAGTGTCAGAAAGGGGCATTGCCGTCTTGCTTGACGTCCAGTCCATGGGCATTGGAATGGCCAAGGTCTCATTTCAACGGGCACTACGCTGTAGTCGTCGCATCACTTTTAGTAACAAATGACAGCTGCACATATGTTTCGGCTATGAGATGTATCTGCCCGGTCCCTTCTCGCTCTTGCCTCAACGAAGCGCTGGCCATTCTGTTCGCACAACAGGCCCCCTCCTCTGCCTGCTGTTCCCCTCCGTCAGGGCCCTCCGTCTTGCTGCCAGGTACTGTTCGCCTGGCAAGAAGGGGCGTTTCTCGAACATCGGCACTCGAGCTGTGAGCTGTAGAGCCCTCCCAGCCCCCCTTTCCAAGCCCTTCCTTCCGCAGCAGCCTTCTCTATTACCTGCGTTTCCGTCAAACTTCATATGCGTGGCGTGCCGGCTCCCCTGCCGACCGACGCATCCTCCCGACTTGGCTGGCGTATGAACCATCCCAGAGCATCTATGTCCCCTGCGTCAGATATGACCTCCAAGCGCACGCAGCAGAGCAAGCTGGCGTCGTTGCAATGATCGAGTACACGCGAGATCGCGACGCGGATTAGCTGCGTCGACAGGCCAAGCCTCGCCTACTGCCTTCCCTGACGACGGCTTCCGGGCCGAGGCCATTACACGATCACTAAGCGCTCTCACTAGAGGCGAAAAAAGGTGTTGCCACTGACTGAACTGCTAGCTGGTGGTGGCCTAGATTTTAGCAGGCTTCTGGGTGTCACACGCCCCCCCACCCCCAAAAGGCAGTTTCCTTGACATGATGTTTGATTCTGTTCACAGCCTTGTCGCGTAGGTTCCCGTCTCTTCTCTCTTTCGGGGAGGGGGGCTGCCAGGGCGGCTCGGTTATCAACCTCGGCCCTGTCCGAGATACCTACGGTCAGTCATCATGCCGCGCAATCTGACCTGCAGCCCAAGAACTAAAAGGTGGCAGGTTACCCTGGTCCCCGTCCCCAGGCCGAGCAGCATTGTCTTGCAGCCCTGGTCTGGCTCCAACGATAAAAGGTGATCGCGAGCCCGATCCTCGCACCCGATTCTTCGTCTTTTCGCGCTCTCATACTACCCCTCAACGATCTCTCTACTGCAGACCCCCACAGCCGCCTTCGATATGGCGCGCATTGGCCAATCCTTCCATATTCCCTCAGCTTCAAGCTTGTCGATTGAGATATCCTTCGTCCCCGCACCTTCGCGCGATCTCGAACCGACAACATGGCCATCCGAACCGCACCGTCCCTCAGCATCGATGTCTACTGAGTTGGGCTCCTTGAGGCTCAATCCCAGCACTGCGCCTTCTCGCCAACCCTGTCACTCCTATCGACGGAGTCTAGATCCTGCTGGTATCCTGGAGATCGGTGGTACAACCACCATCACTGAGATCAGTCACGAGTCCGCACCCATCGCCTTCAGGAACATGGCTCGCAATATCGTATCCTGGGAGAAGCACACGTTCCTCGTGACGGTATTTACCTGGATTCTCCTACGTCCGGACGTGGAAGCTTTGTCAAGACGTGCCTTTGAGCGTCTACGCTCCATTTCATTACTCCAGACGCTTTTGCTCGAATACGTTTCTCGAACGCGTGGCCGCGAGCGCCGAGGCTGATCGACGCTTGCCTGGCGACACGATATTCGAACCGGCCGACGCTGAAGACGACAGGCACGTACATGGTCCCACATGTGAAGAGGGCAACCTTGGTGAGGAGGACGACCTGGATGAGGACGACCTGGATGAGGACGGCCTGGATGAGGACGGCCTGGATGAGACGGGTGACATGGGTGAAAAGAGAGCGTCTATGGTGCTCTATGTCCCTCTCAGACTCTTCGTCGTGCAAGGTCGACATGAGAGTGTCAGGAGAGAGGACCACCATCTTGTCCGGCGTCTCGTTCATGTGCTTGATGAGGAGGACAATCTTCGTTCAAGCAACAGGCACCTTCAGCCAGCCCTCTGCCCGCAGTCTCAACTCACTGCTGACGCCAAGCAACGCCTTGCTTCCTTCCATACTTCACGACTTGATTCAGCCGAGCTGGCCCACACGGCACTAGTCCCGATCGCGAGGGCCAGCGGACTGCAGATTCAGCAATTCCACGTGGCAAGCTTGCTTCTGGCCTATATAACGTTGTCCCTCTCGCCGCATGCCGATGGTGCGGAAGACGACATACTTCCCTTGATGACTTCACCAGTCAAAGATGCTCCAAAGTCGGAGTGTTGCATCTGTGGCACGCCAATTGATTCAGGCGCAGAGGGCGAAACTTGGCGTGGTCATGCGCAGATATGCACCTCACACGAGGGCCATACAGCCCACATCAGCTGTCAGAGAGCGCTGCCCGCAAAAGCTTGTCTACGTGTCTTACACTACCTCCAAGAGCCCTCAGATCTTCTTTCACTAGCGCTGGTGTCTCGAGCATTCTATTCATACGTCAACTACTGTTGTGAAGAGTGGGCTTCTCGGAAACATAATCTGCTGAGAAATTCCCACGTCAAGCCCGGGGTTTGGTACAAGGTATGGGAACAGGTCGCACCCCGAGCTCGCCAGTCGTTCGAGGATAGCTCGGAGCATTTGGTCGCGGACTCACCAACGGAGGCAGAGACTGAGATCGCGGTGCCGTGCGAGGCTTCGACTTTTCCTACTGGATTGATACGGTCAATTGTCTTGGGAAGTCTTCAATCAGCAGAGGGCTTGATAAGTAACATCGAGCAGCCGCGAAGGCGACCACGAAGGCGCGGGCGCCAGCTGCGACCGTCTCGCACGTCCTAGTAGAACAAGAATGAGGTAGATAAAACCAGCATCGATCCATGAACCCTGTGAAGCGTACTGCGTCTAAGCCAAACTGTTCTCGCATGTGTCCAGCTCTTGATGAGGTTTTAAACCCTCCATCGTGGAAGTGTGATGTTCGAGTGCCAGGAAGGAGCACCGCCAACTTGTCCCCTATCCGATTCTTTTACTTTGGAATGGTCAAGGTTTCATCCCAACGGGTATTATGCTCTAGTCATCACTTCATTTTCGGTAACACGTGACAGCAACATGTATGTTCAGGTTGTGAGATGCATCTGCCATGCTGCGGATTGTGCCTAGGACGATACCTTCACATGTTTGCAACCTTGCGATCATGCATACAGACATAAATCCCTGCCAACGTTCACAAAGCGCATCCATCCGAGATAGGCCACTTCTTAATTCTCGCGAAAAACCATCATCTCACTTCCCAGAGTCCGCGCATGGCCAGCAGCTCATCTCCTGGAGGAGCGAGGATGACAGCTTTCAGTGATATAGTGTTGTCGGCGAAGGATGAGGCTGGCTGCTGGCTGCTGGCTCGGGCCATTCGAACGGACCGGAAGTTACAATTCTTCTGGTAGTGTTTCAGGTGCGAATATCATCCAAAGCATCGATGCTTGCCGTGGAGAGCCCCCCCCCCCCCCCCCTAAGATGCGGTTGGCGCAGGGAAAGGACGTTCCCGCCGCGGTTCAACCGACGCAAATGAAGCGCCCTGAACATCAGTCCCAAAGCGGAACGACCTCGCCGCAGCTCAGTTGGGGCAGACCATCGTCGGGATTGGTTCGCAGACTGATAAACTGGCCTTGACGCGACTCGATCTGTATGATCAGTCACACTAAACACCTAGTCGCCGCCGCCAATACCATCATTACCGCTCAGAGTACGACGGCAAAGCGACCGCCCATACACGCGTGCCTTGAGCACAAACCTTTCTCTTGCATGCATCTCTGGGCGGCACAATATTCGGAACTCGGGAAGATGAGTCGGCAGGACTCCGCAAAGCTCTGGGGTCTTAGATGTGCTCTCTACAGGATATCATGCTGTTGCAAGGCTGCCCTATCGTTTGATACCATTCTGGGCCAATGGATAGGCTCGAGTTTACTGCAAATGGCATACATCAGACCCTCGTCGTCTTCATAACACCAGTGACACCGTCATTGGCTATTTGCATACCACTGCTCGACGTGAGCCGATCCTTGCTATCAAATGAGGGAAACACCCCTGCAGGATGGTTGACATGATCTGGCTTGCAGTCTGCATGGCCCTTGCCACCACGTGTCATCCAGCTGAATCAAGCCCCAGTACACGTCTCCTTCAACCAGCAGGCTTGTCCTTGATCGTGGGGTCCCAAAGGCGGCCCGACACATCTACAACCACTGAACGTACTCTGACATTTACTGGTAGCCAGTCTGTCTCGCGTGTGTGAAGGACGCCACCAGATAAAACAACCAGCTAATACCCATTTGTCCAGTCTCCGCGCAACGCCCAGCACGTCGCGGGCTGTCTTCTGGAGGCATCGCCTTGCATTGATGATCCTGACTGGATGTCAATTGCGTGATGCGACCCTGGTCGATGATTGCTGGTCCCTTGCTCTGAGGCCGTTCTTGCGAGTGTGGCGCGGGAAACCCCGACTACAGCTCGGCGCCTCAGCGCGTATGCCGTCTAAGCTGCGGTGCCAAGTTGACACTACCGCCATCTCCGTCATCGGCAAATAACTTCAGCGTAAAGGCATCAGAGCCCGCCTCGGTCGGGCTCGCATCCATTAGCACTGGCTCCAATTGCTGAAAAAGGCTGTCCCAACCCAGTGCCGCACTGCGACATTGACCAGACACCTTTGCCCTCGTCCATCCTCCCATCTCGGAAAAGTCTTTGCCACAACTCAACACCGTTGCAATCTTTGGCAACATGAGAGCCAACTCTTGGAGACGAGCGCAAGCCCGGGCCTGTCGGAGAAATGGTGGCTGCCCCACATTTCATCACTTGTACCCTGCCACCATATGGAATCTGAACGTGGCACTCGAGACCCCCCCTGAGATGAGCTTGGACTAACATTTATTTCAGCCAGCCATACAAATTGCATATAAAAGTGGAAATATATTTTCTCTTGTCCAATCACGTCAATAATGAATGCGTTCTCCACCTGCAAGGAGGACCTGTTCCAGCCTCTTTTTTTGACTTAGAACATCGTCGTTTAGCTTCTTCTGGGCTACCTTGCGCCACCCCTCGTGGATGATCTTCTCCAGATCTCCTGTAGTCAAATGTGCAGTGTTTTTGATATGATATTTGACTCTCCTGACGTTCGTCTCGATCCAATTGAGATTAGGAGATAGCCCGGGACCAATAATGAGTTGACGGTCATTGTCCGTGACCCATTTATTGACCTTCTTCGAGTGGTGTGAGGAATCGCTGTCGACTTGAAGGCGGAAATCTTTATGTCCAACGTGGTTCTCTATTTCGCTATATAACTGGCGTAAAATTGGAATTAGAATGTCCGCCGTCATTTTCCCATTTTTGTTTGAAGGGATCGTGTACCAGTATAACTTCGACCTGAAGTTCCAGCCGACTGCGTAGACTGTATGTATAAGGGTCTGTTCGTTCTCGTCCTCGAGCTCCTCGGCACCCTGGATACCGTACTCTTTGTTTTTTATGGCGTTTCTGGCGTTTCTGAGCTTCTTTGACTTCTCGCGAGGGTCCTCTGGCTGTACAACCCAATGTTCATTGCGGTCCTCCGGACGGCGGTGGACCTTAGTGGTGAGTGCCGGCTGAAATCCGAAGTGAACTTCATCCATTAAGAACGCTGTTTTGAGCCACTCTCTGTCGTTGTACCTACCCTCGCGAAGGCGCGTCGAACCTATCGAATTCGTGCTTTCTTGGCGTAGTTGGGAGCCCTTCCTTCTTCGTTGAGACGTATGTATGGTACCTGAAGCTCCTCCGCATCTGGTTCCTGATCACCCTCTCGCAACAGGTGACCTCGAGGCCCGACTTTGCTGCCGCGACTGGCTACGGTAGGCGGTAGCCCTGCTATTTATCAGCTTCAGGTAGGTCCAGAAGCCAATGATGGATATGATTACCGTCCTCGATGCTGAATTCGACGCGCCTGCCGCGTCGGGAATCGACGAGAGGGTTATGCGCCGTCCGGCGCATGTAGTGGCTAAGGTCGGAACACTGCCTCTTTGGCGACGGTGACGGTGACTCTGTTTGCGAAGGTTCCTCGGGCTCGGCTGTTTCTCGAAGAGGTCTAGGGATAGCGCGAAGCTACCTATAGCTAGTTCTCTTTGGAACGTTGAAATCCGCAAATACTTCGGCCTTCGTAAACAGCCTCTGACCGTCGTCATTGTGAGTGCGGTGGCCGTCAGTTATAAGAAGGCCGCGCTGCTGTAGCCACTATATGGTGCCTAGGGGCCGTGCCCGCCGTGGTGTAATATGCTCTTTACCGGGCATGGCGATTGCTCGGCCTAGAGTGACGATAATGATAAAAGGAGACGTTCGGCGCGTTCAGAATGATTGACTCTATGCACAGGCTAAAAACCAAGTAATCAGAACAACATTGGCGACGGTGACGTCGTCGAAAGTGCCATCGTCGATTTCAGGTGTTGGGGTTTGAGACCCCTGTCACCCTGGTGATTAGCGCCTTGGCGCCTCGAGTGCCACCTTCAGATTCCATATGGTGCCTGCCGAGCCAACACAGTGGAGGACAGCCTCCAACAAGATGCTGTAAGCACGAATGGACTTTTGTCAATGGCCGCACGCCACCAACTTCACTTCCTCCCTGTATCTTCTGGTGCGGCTGCGCCGTTTGTCTGCAGCCCTGCAAGATACCAACCTGTGCCCATCTATGTCGAAGTTGAGGTTGTCACTCACGCGTATGCTGCGCCCGACCATGAGAGGTATTCTATCAATGAAGCCAGGAACCGAGCGGCAATGCACCGCTCCGCTGCTCATGCCGAGCAAGGGGCTAGCGCAAACCCTCTTGTCCCTGCGTGGCCCAAGAACTCTCCGCCGAACGAACCTTGCAGCGGGCCAATGATCGAGCGACCAGGGCGTCGCAGGGTTCTGATAGCAATGCGCTGCACACTTGCTGTCGGCCCGCGCAGGGCAGAGTGGTGGGCGTACCCGAGAAGAATGAGTTGTGTGGGGCAGCTGGAATGCCAAGATGGCCCACCCTATTGTGCCATCCATGGATGGCAGCCGAGCTGACCAGCTCGTCGCGTGGGGGTCGGCACCCCACGCTTTCAGGGTGCAGCGGGTCCCACTCGGTGCAGCTGCGCAGACGCTGGTCGTCCTCCTCTACTACCTTGAACCTAATTGGATAAAGGTCTCTAAAAGAAGAAAAGATGTCGCCGACACTTTGCAGTTCCTGGTTTGACGCTAGTGCGTCTCTTCGGGTGGCGCTCGTCCTTGCTCCAGCCTCCGCGATACAGCAGATCCACAACGCACTGATTCCGTGGGTGAGACCCGGAGACAGGTCATGTAATTACATCACATAACAGGGATGGATCCGCGTCACATGCTGTCTCCTGACGCTGCTCGTCCTGGCGGCATTGCTCCATACGTAAGTCCGAGCATGGAATACGGATTGCCCATCTCAGTCCCACCTAGCGAGTTCAGACACATACAGCCTTCGCCGAGGTCGCCACCGGAGAAACCTCGTGCTTCTCATCATTCTTCAGACCAATTACTACGCACTTCGCACGCGTAGCAGAGCCACCGCGCCGTGGGGCCATGGCGAGCGCTACCGGTACGCCCATTGCCCACAACGAAGGTCATCCTCATTCAGCGCGGATGCCAATTCGCATTCTAGGCATAGACGAGTCCATGGTGAAGCCAGACCCAGACGCTCCACTGCTCCCCCAGCCGCAACATGCCAGTAGGACGGGCCACTCAATCGTCGGCCCTTCTCCAACACCTCACGGCACTTATCACGGACTTCCACGGCCTTATGGACAGACCTTTCACAACGACCGGACCATACGGCCTCCCTCAGCTCCGCACACGGCGACTCAGACACCAGTGCCTCATCATAACCCGTACGACGGGGGCCAGTACGGCCATTGGGGTCACCCAGGTCCTGCACCGCCGCCCATGACATACCACATGCCAGTCGAGATTGCCCAAGCCGCAAGTGCCAAACGGAAGGCGACGAGAGCATCTCAGGTATGGGGCCTTCCTGCGTGCTGTGCAGTTAAACAATACTGACCTCAATTTCATAGGTTTGTGACTCGTGTCGTCAGCTCAAATCCAAGTGTGATGAGTCGAAACCGTGCAAGACTTGCAGAGAACGAAACATCCCATGCGTGGTCCGCGACCCACAACCCAAGCAGTAAGTTGTGCAGAGTAAATAAACATCCGGGTGCAGAATACTAATCTAGGGTATCGCAGATCCGACAAAGCTAGCGCTGACATACTGGATGTCCTGAATGGCTTGAGAGATGATTTGAAGCAGAGGGTCGACAAGATTGACAACTGCCTTGGTCGATTGGAGAGCGGAGTCCACGTAAGCCACCAGAATGGCGCTGCACACTCTGATATAGAGTCGATTGAGGGTGACGACTATCAAGATGATGCAAGCCCATACGACCATCCGTCTCCCGATGACCGACGTGCCGAGGACGAATGTGCGGCAAACAATGGAGCCATGGATCCGGACAAGGCAGAAAGAACGATCCGAATCTGGGAACACAATGACAGCGACGAAAAGCCGGGGCCACCAGTCGCAGGCAAGACGAAGCTGCCCGCAAACCACACTACTTCGGCAGGATTGTTGTTGAAGTGGGAGTCGATACGCCGGCTGGTTGCTCCTCATCTCGCTGCCGAACACATTGGCTATGTTGAAGAGTTCCCGATTCGACAGGAAAGGGCTCGCGGCTTGCTGCGCGTATGCGGGGCCGGAGAAGGCTCTGGGGGAGGACATGCCCCAGCAGACCACACAGACCAACCAGCAGACAACATCATGACCGATTTCCAAGACAATAGCTCGGAGACACAGTCTTCAGCACTCAAATCAGAAGTGTGGGGCCAGACCGGACGGCTTTCCCCGGCCTCAGGCATGACGTTGAAAGGCGGCGTCATTGGCAAGGACGGAAATCCAGACTTTTCGCATTCGACTGTGTGGAAATATGTCACCAGCTTCAAGGAGAACATCTTGAACATGCACCCGGTCATGATACTGGAGGAGCTGGATGCGCTGGTTGTGCTTTTTCTCAAGGAGATCCCCCAGCATACGCAGCAGTCGAGTGTGCGATCAAGCAGCAACCCCAAATTCGTACGCCAGCCAACATCTGCCGCTGCATCACTGCCCGAGGCTGTCGGTGCCAAGAGGAAACGCTCACCTGGCGGCGATGATCCGCTACCATCCTTCAACATCTTTAAACCCGGCCATCCTTTCCGTAGCATAACGAGCGCCATCGTTCTGCTCGTTTGTGCGCTGGGCAAGATTTGCCTCCACAAGCAGAGGATTCCTGACATTGTCACGGAACAAGGTGAGGCCCAGCCACATGGATCGCCTTCCATGCGAAATGGTGGCGCCATGTCTCCGATCCACGGCTCTCCGCCTGGGTTCGTCTCTCACTCTCAGTCTTCTGGATTGCCTTCGCCACAAGACCCATACGACCGTGCCATGCTCAGTCGCCGTAAATCTATGCAGGGCAACGGGACGGGGGTGCGTCCGACACCAATCAAGCGAAACTACGACGTTATTCCTGGACTTGAGTACTTCGCACTGGCAACGGACATTCTGGGCAGCCATCTAGGCGGGATCAGTCTCAAGCATGTTTATGCTTGGGTCCTTGCTGGTCTGTATCATGGGCAACTCGCGAGGGCTGTGGAAAGCTGGGCATACATCAAACAGGGCTGCACTGTTCTGCAGGAGGTCATGAGGACGTAAGTCAAAATCACCATAGCTGGCACTGAGCAGCGCTAACTTCGAAGCAGGAGCCTATACCGATTCCACGAGATCAAGATGGGCGATGGGTATGTGCCTCAAGAGTCCAGGAGGGACAACCAGGTGCTCCTGGCGTACTGGACCTGCTTGCAGCTGGAAAGGTAAGAGACAGGTCCAACTTACTAACGTTGGGCGCCTGCTGACATCTTTGTGCTCAGTGACATCCTTGCGGAGCTGCCACTGTCCCAGAGTCCCATTCTGCAGCACGAAGACAACATGCCTTATCCGAACACAACCTTTGTGACAGCCCATGGCTACACTCCCGAAGTTTGCGGCAGCTATTTTGCCCAGCTTCATCTCAGGCGTCAGCTCAATGAGATCCACAGCCACTTGTATAATCCGGACAAGATACATCGACCCTCGTCCCCGGAGACGATCGACGAAGGCATTCATGGTCTCCAAACCCAACTGAAGACATCCCGCGATATCTGGGTCCCTGCCGCGTTCAGATGGCATGATGATGAGCCGCCTGCTGGCGATATCCTCTCTGCTCGCCTGCGTGCAAAATACTGGGGATCACAGGTCATTATCTATCGCCCCTTCGTACGACATTTGCTCGAGAAGGAGCCTATCCCATATGGCGCGTACAAAGATCCTCGACTTCCCCCACCAGAAAGCTTCCATAAATTGGCAATCAATATCGGCGACAAGTCGGTTCCCGAGGGGTTCGACCCCCGCACGCTTAACTATGCCCGGCTTGGCATCGAGGCGTTGATCCAGAGCACCAGTGCATTCCATGGCATGCCGCGCAAGCAGCGCATCATTGTAACCAACATTTTTGGTACTGCTCACGCGTAAGTAACTCACTGTCGATCACTCTCGACACTGCATTGAGAAGACCTGACTCGTTCGACTCTAGCCAATGGGGCAACCTCCTCACCCTGGCCGCCTGCTACACCGACTCACTTCTTACGAGATTTGTTGATTCCGAAGTGCTGTCTGGGCTGTTCAGGCGGACAATTGAGTTCTTTGACGTCATCGCGCACCGGTCAAGCCCCTTGAGGTCGGAGCGCAACATCCTATTTGGACTGGCGAGTGATCTGGGGCTGCTGCGCGACGATCCCCACACCGGCTCAAGTTTTTCCAGTATGACTAGCGGCATGGTGCTGCAGTTCATGATCCTATCCAGTGGCCCAAGGCTGGTCTGGACGGAGACAGGGTGATGGAGTTCTGTCAGCGAATGGTGGCGTGACTTGAGCGAGCTCCCTTCAACTGTCTCTAGTCCTTTTTCGCCTCAGAGCGTGCGGTAGCTGGGAAGTGTGTTCTGCTCGGAAAGTGCTCGTGGAAGGTATTTTCGCACAACCGAATAATGCATCAGCATGATCAGCTCCGTGGGCTCAGAAACACCTGTGTCCCCCACATGTTTGATCGCCGCTGGCGGCAGCTGTACATTGAGGTTTGCACGATGCCTACATCGTGGGGAGCCCTTCGCATCATTAGCGCACTGCAATCCTCGTGCAGCGCATGAAATCGCCTCAGGAAACTGACGTACTGGATTGGTAAGGGGTAGGGCATGTGAACCCGAACCCAGGCCCCAGATGCCGCGGTCACTCGCGCGATCGTCTGCCTCACCCTTCCCGGCTTCTGTGGCCTGAGGAAGGATGCCATCGTGACCCATCGCTACGTTGGTGATGTCGTGCATCGTGGGTTCCCGGCTGTCCTCGCCGCCCCTGGATCCGCAAGAACTGCCGTGATCGCCGCCAACAGCCTCGTGCGAATGATGGCGGAGGTCACCGCTCCTTAGAGGTTCCCCGGCAGCACTCTTTCAAGAGGCCAGACTCAGCGGCAGGGTTGTTGTCGATGTCCATTGTGGTCGGAAGCTCCTCGCTGACGAGGCTGTTGAGCGCAGGCAGTCTTGTTGCGGGTGGTCCTCGACCCCGTCTTCGGCATGGGCGTCCTATTGACCTGTTCAGCCATGGTGGTGCTTGTACTATTGGAGATGTGATTCACTCCCGGGTTCTCGTGTTCCCTGCCGCCATCACGGCACTCGTCCCCAACACTCTGCTCGTGCACACTACTGTCTTTTTGAACTTCATGGGGAGTAGTCGGTGGCGCAGTGTAACTCTGGGCATGCTCGACAACTCCAGTGTCGTTCCGGCAATCGTGACTGCCCTTGATAGAAGCTCCAGGGCAGCGATACTAGGCAAAGCCACGGGGACATTCTCTAGTCCCTCTGGTCCCTCTGGACCTTAGCCAGGCAGTACTCTGTCCCTGTCTTTCTCTGGTCGGAGCAGCAATTGTCCACCTGCTGTGTGCGCAGCCAGCTCGTTGGCCGCACCGTTTGTGCTGTGGCGGACGTCTCCGATGGCTGGGATTCGATGGGTTGCTGGTCGATGTCGACTCGTTGGACGAGCCCGACGCGGTACCGGGTCTCGGCTGTGGCCCTGTAACGACGGAGTCTTTCGTTGAATGCGCTACACGGGACTCCGTCATGACCACTTCAACTGTCGCCTCTGTGTTCGATCATGGTTTGAGCAGGAGTTCGCTTGTTGTCTTGTGAGTGCAGAAACCTGCCGTGTTTGGTGTTGCCCACGAGGTTTCGCCTGTCGCATCGACATCTGCGGCCGAGCAGGGAGAGCGTCGCGCCGATTCTCGCTGTGCTGTGGGCAGGAAGAGGTTAGTTGTAGCCGTGACACCTGTCATGAAGCCAAGACTAGAATGATACCTGCGTGGGGGACCATACACCAGACCACTACCCTGAGGCTTTTCCTCGGTTGTGATGTTCGATGCGATGTCGTATCATTCGCGGATAGCCGCTCAGTGAGGTGCGACGAGCGATCTGACGCGGACCCGTTCCGAGTGAGGAATTGCGCTTCTCGTAGTGCAACAAGCTACCGCTGCAGCGTCGCCTCAGTGAATGCGAATGGTAGCTCCAGTTCGATGAGTGCATCGGTTGTCGCGGAAGCGTGTTTGCTGCAGTCTGCCGACAGGGTATGTGGCCCATGCAGACACGCCTCTGGCGCGCTATCAAACTGACCGGCCGGAGACAGGAGTTCAACGTGTATGCTGATTGTGTTGTGGTCATGTGGAATCTAGGCCCGTGAGTTGTGGTGAAGCAGGTCGGCTAAGAGCACGGCGTTCAGGTCGACGCATGAAGGCAGACTCGGGAGTGTTGGTGCACTGAGACCCCCGAGTGTCAGCCAGCCTGCTTCATTTCAGCCCCACAACAAAAGACCCTGTGTATCGGGTATGCACCATGCTTTTCCTCGCACGCACAACTTGATTTGGCGAGATGGAAAAATAAGCACTATGCGCCACATGGTATGTGACCCTGGTTGGGGGTTGGGGACGGCAGCTAGCGTCTGCGTTGGTGCAGAGCGGGATCGCACGATACTTGCATGCACAATTCATTAGTGGGACAGCTGTGCAGATGTCAGTACTTTCACTAGCCACGGCGTGTCAGGGCAGCACGATCCTTCTCACAGTGCACAAGCGAGGGAGCGAGGTACGCTCCTCGTGCGAGGGCAGTCATCGTGTTCAGGCGATACTTCCTCCACTCAGTTGCCTCGCTGCCTCCTCGTCCTTGGAGCAGGAAGCGGAGAGTGTGTGCAAGGCCTGCATGTCTGTGATGTGCGCACTGGAGATGGCAGCGACCAGCATCTACTGATATTTGTCCTTTCAGGCGGTCATTCAGCGGAACGAAATCCAAAAGTTCATTTCTAATCCTGTTAGTGATGAAGCGTGCAGGCTTCAAAATCTTGTTCTAGCTCTCGAGATCATCGCACTCCACGCCGATCATGCCTGGTTAACTCGTCCTGTGAAGGCAATTTCCGAAATCGAGAGCGGCAGCCTCCAGTCGCACGGCCCCCCAACTTACGGAGCTGGTCCAAAGGTGGAGACTCTACCCGATTAGGAAAGCATCATGACACCGAACAGAAGCTCATCATTCCTTCCTATTCGGGACGGGCTGAAGCAAGGCTTCCATATCTGCAACAGCACAACTTCAAGTGAGATCTGCTTCCAAGCGTATGCGCGGCACGTGCAAGAGAATGCCAATACTCACAGTGTACAACATTGCGGACCGCCGCATTGAGCGACATGACCAGAAGTGCGAGTGTGACAGAGGCGCTGCAAGAGCTTCTTATGGACTGGCAGGCAGCCGCGGAGGCTCTCTGTTTAGTGACCTACGGCGCCATCAGCGTCTTCTTCATGACATTCTAGGTACGAGTGGAGCTTTTCAACCCTGGACAGGGGTGGATTGGGACGTCTACGGCAGCAGAGCGGGTTTTTTTCGAGAGGTCTCGCGGTCACACCACAGCTGTGCTGCTGCGACCAGCCCGGGACTCTGCCAGTCGATGATAGCCTCCGCCACATCGTCGTGCGGACTGCTCGACGCCAGTTTGGTGTAGTTCTCCTACTGACGTACCAGCCGCAAGATTTGGCCGGCCGACCGAGGCGCAATGCTGATTGAGACATTGTCGTCGTCCAGGTATGTTTATGACAGGCATAATCAGCTGCATGTAAGAGGGCTCAAAAGGTAAAAGATAAAGGGCAAGCCTTCTCCTGGTACTGACCAGCTCGGTGCAATGAAATGTTCCTCTCCTCCCTGTCTAGTCTAAATTATCCCCAACTCAAGTCGAGAACAGTGCTAAAAACGTGGACAATACGAATGCGTGCCATATTGACCCTCCAGAAGCCATATTGGAGTTCCCGTCAGTGCATCGCACCAGCGCAAGTTGCGATCGCCACGTCGATTATCACGGTTATTCATCCAGCGCATGCTCATTATCTACCAGTCCGGCCCGCCGCGCTTCGTTTCTCCATACGTCCGCCCCGAAGTGCTCGATAATATAATCTCTCGCACACTCTCGCGCGTCGGCATCGAGCGACTCCAATGGCACATCGCTAGCTGGCCAAGTTGCTACCAATCCCCGCTGCTGACTGAGCTGCAACTGTGAGACCGTGTGGAGTTCTGAGTAATCGTCTGAATCGTTTTCACTCTCAAACCTTTGGCTAGCCTCTTTAAAATACCACCCCCATTGCCCACCTAGATGTTTCGATACCCAGCGCTGCAGCTCTTCCCAAGTCTCATCGACGAAGAAGGACCGCAGAGCGAGCGGAATGTCATCCCATTCGACAGTGATGATGATGTTGTCTGATCCGCGATCTTGGCGGAAAGATAAGGTCCGGACCGGATAGTAAAGTCCTTCAGGCAGCGCAACTCGGTACTTGAAAGGCTTTGGCGGTATCTCAAGCGGACGAGCTTCGGCATCGGGCTGGGCGAGCTCAGGCCGTTGTGTGCCGTCCTCTCTGCCGTAAGTACTGTGGTTATCCAGCAAGCGCGCTCGCTTCTGGGGTCGGCTAGTGCTCGACGTGTCTACGCTGGGGTGGCCCCGACATCCCGGCTGTAGTGTTTGCTGGGGTTGAAGCCCGAGAGGCTCCCTCATCAGCCGCAACCGGGACTGCTCAAGCCGTGCGTGATCGTGTTCTTCGGTGGATGCCATTGTTGAGGCAATCGACTTTTGTGTCAACATGGATGGAAGATCGAGGGGCGGACTGGAATGTCGATAATTGCCTGACAGTTTGTCGGACCATAGCACCGTCTTGCTGTGTTGCGCCACTGGAATACCTGGCCTCGACGACCCTTCCACTTTTCCATAGCAAGGATATACATCTGTGTACCTCTGCAGCTTCGGTGGACGTGGGTGGCTGTTAACAGTTCGACGCCGGTTGCTGGAGGTTTGAGCCGTGATATTACCTGCTGTCATTTAAGTACAGGTCCTCGAACCAAGGCCGTCGTACTGCGAGCCATCGTGACATACCCGTCATAGTGAAAGCGGTCCGCTCGGACTTGATCTCTTGGCGTCCGTCGTGCTTGGTCGGTCATGGAGTGCTTTGGGCTCGATTCCATTGTCCTGTGTAGGGTACCCGAGGAGGAACAGCCGTCCGCTTAAGTACGACGCCGAGCTAGAATTATGCTCCATAAGTCGCTCTTCCTGCCTGACTGGCAGCTTGAAAGCGAATTGGTCGAAGCCCACCCCTGCCCGTCGTGTGGGTCGTCACTCATTCTCCCAGGCTGGAAGAGCCACTTTTGGAGCCAGTGCAACTCTACAGCATGTCCAATGACAAGGCTGCTGGCGCACCAGGACTTCCTTCATTGAGGCATCCTAGTGGACTGCAATTACTACTGACTGATCGACAGTGAAACTGGGGAGACTTATTGCCGGGCCTCCTCGTTCCGCGTCAGTCTGCTATAGACAGCTCTCACTTTGGTGGCATGAGTCGTAAGTGGCGTCTTCAAGGTTCAGTCAAGAGCACAAGTCATTTCCGCTTGAGCAAGTGTTTTATCTCTAATGAAACTTAGAGCACACAAGGGACTATTGTGTGCCATGAGAACGATGCACTGCGCGGTAGAACAAGGCTTATTATATCACTGGAAGCTAAATATAAACGAAGAAAACTAAATAGACTAGTATGAGATGACGGCTTGTTTGTGTCTTAGTACGACCACCGCTCCACAGGGCAAATCAACATATCCACGACCAGAGATGAAGCGGGGAGTGATAAGGGGATCTGCGGTCGAAAGGCGACACTAGGACGGCAGGGCCTTGAGGAAAGCCAGGTCTTGACACTGCGATCAGCAAGAAATGCTTGACTTATCTTAAGGAGGCGACTCCTTGCCAGTACCATAGTCGATGTTCTTGAAGCCCTGACCGGTGAACGTGACTGGAACACCAAGCTGATGCTGGCAAGACGGCTGGTTACTAACGGTGGGCGGAGGAAGAGTACACAGCTCATCGTAGCCCCACTTGCAAGCTGGGTCGAGGATGTTATAGAAGACGTAGTTATTTGCTACCCAGGTGTTGCTAGCACAGCTTGCGACGTAGTTCATAGCGTTTGCCGCCGTCAGAGGTAGCTTGCCGCCGGCGACGGACAAGAGATCGGCACACTGCGACATAGGGACATCCTCCCAGGTCGCACTGACGCCGCCGCCGTAGACCGGATTCTGCTTCGCACCCTGCCCGGTAACGAGGTAGTTCCACGCGTCATAGGAGATGTCATAGGCACCGCCAGACTGGTCCACCTTCAATAGGATAACTGAACGGCCATTAGCGGTCACTCTAACGCAGAGGTTATCGCAAGACACCGACGAAGGCCAGTAAGCGACGCGGTTAGTATTGATCTTGCAGCCAAGGACGCCGACCGAGGAAGAGTAGCGGTCGTGAGGAGTGACTGAGATCGAGCCGCCACGACGAGCGAGCTCGGGCATGGTGTAGGCGGAGACAGCAGAGGCGGCGCCGAGAAGTGAAACATGGCTGAGCTGCATCTTGATCGTGGATAGCAGGTAATGGGGCTATGTTCAGTGAAATAAAAGGAGTGTGATGTCGTCGAGACAAGGTGATTTTTACAAAGGAGTGTTTGTCAACGAGTCAGGTTTCACAGCTCGCACTGTTGATCAGGGAGTGACTGAAGAGCCTGGAAGGAGGAGTGAGCCTGTGTCTAAATAAGACCGGTGGGTAACCTCTGTTGCGTCAGAAGTCTCGCCAGCTGTAACTATCGATAACAAGCGGAGATGGCTGGATGCCAACTAGTGACGAGCAAAATGGCAACTATCGCTGCCTGACCAGCAGTAGAGCCACCAGCACAAGTCGCTTGGAACTCCGCGAGGTGAAGACCCTTCCGGCCCAATACGCGCCCGAGGAAGAGTGCATACCAGTCTGACTAATGAGGCACTCCGGGACCACAGCCACTTCTGGCTCTTTGGGGTTCCGCTGCGGAGGTCGGGTAAAGTTGTCCCGTTCCAAGGCATTGGCGCTGCCCGTCATGTGGCTTCACAATTTTGTACGAGATCAGCAGGGCCAGATGCCGTCATGCACGAATTAAAGTGAGTCTATCGCGACAGCGTGATGGCGGCGACACCCTTGGCCTCACCTCCTGGTGGCATGATAAACAGGACGTTGAGAGCGAGAGCCGGAGAGCTTGGATCTATGCTCACACGGACAGGTGGAACCTTCTAGGTGCTCTAGCAGGCTGATCACTAACGTCAAGCTGGATGGACCCCGTTGAGAGCTGCTCGTTTCCTCTTGCTGCGCAACTTCAGTGGCACGCAATCTCGTGGGAACCTCCACAGGTGTACATCATATCAGTTTCACACTCGAACAACTCAGAAGACTTCTACAGCGAAGGTTAACGAGAAAATTGTAAAACTATATCCCTGTTTACCCATCGCGAGATTACTCCAGCATCGTCGAGCTGGAGAATTGCTACGCATCCCAAAGGGAACGAAAAGAAGAAATGGTTACGATTCCGTTGGTGGTCTACAGGCTTTGAGAGTAGAGAAAATCACGATTGTCCTTCCGCCAACCATATGCCTACACACTCGCATTATCCAGTCCAGCACGTCGTGACTCGGATCTCCATACCTCGTCTCCAAACTTGTTGATGATCTGCCGCCTCGCAGAGTCGAGCGCCACCTCATCAAGCAACGACAACTGAACATCACTGTCTGGCCAACTTGCGACAAGTATCAGCTGATCATCCTGCATGCTAAGCTCCAACTCTGAGACCATATGGTATTCGAATGAGGATTGATCTTCGGACCCAGGCAGCTGATTCTCGCCATCTGTGTGCATCCAAGTAGTTCCGAACTTCTGCAATAGACGGTTGTTGAGCTCTTCCCACGCACCCTTAACGTGGAAACTGTCGACTGAAAGTCTAGTCTTCTCCCAGCTGGCGGTGATGATCACGCTGCCGGTCTCGGAGTCCTGCCGACAATCAAGTTTTCGGACCGGAGAACTCTGCTCGGGAGAAAACCTGACGTGGAAAGGGAAAGGCTCCGATAGTGCCTTGCTACTGCGTCGCAGACGCTTGACACTTGAAGTTGCACACGTTCCAGTGGCGGGGCCCAAGTCACTCGTCGAGCGTGCCGGCTTTTGCCTATCGTCAGGTCCTGGGACTTCCAGAGTGGGAGTGGTGACGTGCCGCAGGGGACCTGCTGTACATGGCTTTCGTGCAGAGGCGCGCCCCGACAGCTGCGCTTGCGAGCAGCTGTCTTCCTCTGTGATGGAGGACAGGGCCGAGGTGTTTAGACCACCCGGTGGCGGAGCGAATGGTGAATAGGCAGCTTCCTGGCTGCTCGAGGACGCCGCTGCCTCGTGTTGTTTTACAGCGTGCCTGACTCTCAAGGGCCTGTTCTTGCCTTCATGTAGATGATCGCAAACTTCCCGCTTCAGAACGGTAGGCTCTCTGCCGAAACCCGGACGAGGCTGGCGGATAGTCTCCGTCGCGCTGACATATTTTTTCGGTAGTACGCCGGGCCCCAAATCGAGGATGCTAGGTTGGCGCCGCAAAATCCTCGCCATGGCCCCAGTGCCTTTCTCGGGGTGCATCTTGGGGCAGTCCGACTTCTGTTGTGCTTAGATAAACAGAGGGTATGATGGACGTAGTCCAGGTGTCCCAGGCAGGGTGGTTGAGAATGGCGTCGTCGACTTATGGAAGAGCCGGTGGCAGAAGAGGCGGCCTCGTGAAATTCGGAGAAAGCCTCGATTTCATAGTTCACACTATGGGCTCTGCTGCTGTGTTGTGCACCCTTGCAAGTGAATATGATTAGCCGTAACAGCACTACGGCTGCGATCCGAGTCCATCGCATGGATCAATCAGCCGCTTTTGGAGCAGGGCGAACAACTGCTATCAAGCACCCACAGAGCCGCCCCACCGAGACTCCTCTCGGGGAAGCCTGCTGAATGGACGCAGGGATGCACCCCTGCTCGCCCCTTGCAAGCATGGACCAGCATTGTTGAGCCAGGAGTTGGTTAAAGGTGGGTCTGACCACGGAGCCAAAAATGGAGGACACTCATCGGCGGGTCTGTACTTCAACCTGTGTTTAGCGGGTCTCACTTCAGTCAGTCGGGTTACAGCGAGGAAACAATTAGACAAGTCCAAGACTGGGCGCAAGGCACATCCAGCCCAGGTCGTTCATTCAGCCCGGGTGCGAATGAACAGATCGTTGGAAGTATGTCAGACAAGGAATTAGTCGCCATCATGGAAAGGCTACGATGAAGATAGGAGTAACCCAAGGTTCAATGGTGGTCTCGCATGTATGGACGTAGCATCGGCTTCTAGACGGCATATTCGCATGCCATCAGGAGGTACGATGAAATATGTCAGGGGAATGGTTCCAATTAATGGTGCGCATATTAGTGCAACACGGAGAACAGTCGGTGGAAGGTGCTCAAGTGTGGCCTAAGCCAAATGAGGAAGGAATGATGCCCGAGGTCATTCCTTCCTCATTGGGGATACGATGAGTAGGAACGTCACACGAGACGATGTTGCTAACGAGTTGAGCCATGTAAATAACATTGAGAACACAGAGGTCCTTTGTAGGTGGAACGGATACGCAAGATAACTGTCTATTTGGCCCATCCCTTATTACAGCCGTGCGATCGCGGCATTACTCTCGAAGTCAGCCTTGACTTCGTTGTACACATCTTCCCACTGCTCCTGAGCCCAGTCCCCGTCTATTGCCTGGAAAAAATATGCGTAGTCGATCTCGAACTCAGCAATGAGGTACAAGAGGATGGCAATGCCCTTGTCTTCCTGTAATTTCTTCTCCGAGGCTTTCTCCGAGGCTTTCTTCGAGCCTTTCTTCGATGCTTTCTTCGAGGCTTTCTTCGAGACTTTTGTCCTGAATGTCTCTATTGCCGGGGGAAGCCGTGCTTTAGAGCTGTGTGGAAACCTGAATCGTGGAAGCCGTGGGCTTCGTCAGCCTGGATGCTAAGTGAAAGACCAAACATAGACCAAGGGAACAACTCTGTACGGTCAACGTACTTCTCGTAGAAAGGGATGTGAAGGGTCACCCAGCACCCCAGTTTGGACGATAGTGCAAGAGCCACGGCGCCACGGCCAAGAGCGTCCTCGACCCGCCTGTCGTCTCTGTAACCAGCACTTCCATGCCTCCGTCCCTTGAAACCATCGCGAGGTTCTGGGGTATGAACTGTCGTGATCTCTATGCGCTTCAAAATCTTAAGCGCCAAGTTCCCATTTGTGACCGTTTCGCCGCGCCGGTATCCCGCTTCCTTCAAGCATACGTTCTTGTACTCGTCATCATCCCTTAACCTGTTTTCGATGGACTTGAAATCTCCGCACAGACTGATAGAGGCAATGAGGGTTTTGAGTCCAATGATAGATGCATCCTGTTCAGTGGATTCCAGGAATTCCAGCGTGAGCTTCACCTGTGAAGCTAGTTCAGCTACCGGGTCGAGCATAGGATCATGTTTCTTGGTAGCCGGGCGTGCATCGTCGTCCTCCAGCCTGTGCGACATGTCTGCTCCCCCCTCTTGTGGCACAGCCGTATCAAGTCTGGCCTTGTCGAGCCAGCGATCCCGTATTGCCTGTGCCTGGAGACGTCCTTTGTTGGGGATCAGAGCGCATAGCACTCCGATCCAATAAGCGATGTTCCTGAGTGTGACTTCGAGCTGATCACGAGTGTATGTCGCCTGCGTAATACTTTCGGTAGCAACAATGAACATCAGATAAGCTCGGCCCGCCCAGAACCCACACATTGTCTCCGTCCAGTGCTCTACAGGATCGCCGAGTGATGAATGTGGCAGCCAGTGCCCAAGCATATCTGCTTCCAGCTTTCGACTCGCTTCGCCACACATCTCATTGACCTCTTCCTCAGACAAGTGCTGCTCCTCAGTGGTCTCGTCGCAAATTTGCGGCACAGGTTTGGGTGGCTTTGCTTTAGCAAGCTTGGCCATTGTCTCCGGTGTGTGGTCGAGAATCTTGGGTTTGGCCTTTGGCTTCTTTTTCTTGCGTTTGCTTCCGTTGCCCGAGTCACCGCCCTTAGGTTTCTTCGCCGGACTGTCCCCTGCCGGGTCCGCGGGCTTTCTCTTTGACGGCCGTAATCCAGGGAGCCCTGTTGCTGCAGCGGCGGAATGATTGCCATTGCTACTGGACATGATGATGGTGGCATCGCCACTACTGGCCGCGCCTGGATTGGATTGCTCATCGCTAGGCTCATGAGCTCTGCCACGGTGTTCGTCTGCGTCGCCGCTCGAAAGGTCTTTGTCGCCTGGCCGATTGAGATCTGAGCCGCTGCTGAGAGGATCGGGAGTCGTCGGAGTGTCGTCAGCGGTCCTGGCGGGCTCGATTGCCTCGTCGCCAGTGGTCGCTACCGCGTTTGTGGAGACTTGTGCTTCAACGTTGGTGGACATGCCGACCCCATCGCGTTGTTTATGCAGGTTGCTGCTTGCATGGGTGGTGTTGTCCGTCATGCTCTCGTCCTCGGTGCCTTCTGTGGTCGTGTTGTTGCTGGCACAGCCACTGTCAGGGCTTGTCGCAGGCGTGGAACCATCCTCACTGCTGCTGGCGGATCCGTCGTCAGGCGTTGGTGCACTGGACGAAGGCGCTTGGCCACAGCTAAGACGCTGCTGAAGAGTATCCGCCGCTCCTCCGTCGCTGTCGCCGGCTTGCTGATCCTCCTCGACGGTCGCCACTACCGCCGCTGGTTGTGTCTTAGTAGCATCGTTGATCGGAGCGATCGCTTTGTCGGATGCTGCCGCAGCAGATTGCGGCAGGTTGGGAGACAAGAGAGGGTCAGATGCAGGTGGGACGCGACGAGGGACGCGACGAGAAGGCAACGCTCGGCGGGCCGAGACCTCGTTCGATGTTGCCGTCTGGATGTTAGACGTGATGTCTGTGGAACTTGTGTCGGAATCTTGGCCTTGAGGTTGGGGAGATCGTGCCTTCGTGTCGCCCGCCTGCTTCTGTTCGCGTATCTTGAGCAAAACCTGCTTGACGATCTCTTCAAGCGCCGCAAGCTTTTCCGTGCTTTCTGAGGGACTTTTTATGACTTTGCGGGCGCGCAACAAGAGTTGGTCGAGAGGGGCGAAGAGAGTCGCCCCATCAATGGTGCTGGCGGTATTGTGGTGCGAGGCGAGTCTAGGAACAGTGCCAGGCACGCCCCCATCTTGGTGGTCCGCGGTGTTTGGCGGCGATGCTATGGCTGACATGGTCGTATGACGGTCAGTCGCTGTCGCTACTCGGGCCGGAAGAATAGCTGACACCATCGTGCACACTGCGTGGCGGTCGTTCAGATGTGTTGAACGTGATGGCTGTCCCCAGATGTGAATGGGGTGAAGTAGTTTATATGCCGAGCCAGTGGAGCTGGCTCCTCACAGCAGCCGTCTTCGAAAGTGCATTAGCGTCAGCCAGCCCCTGTGAGAAGCCACCAGCCTTGCCAAACACTGCTCGGAGCCTCGTCTGGACGCGACTGGGGCGGTGTGCCTCGGCGGCCCAAAATATCGGCCGAGCCTTAACATGTATGGCTGGATGAATCCTGGCCAATGTGCATGACAAGTCACCGCTCGGGTCATTGCGAGTCCTGGAGCAGGAAGCACTGTGCTGGGGGCATCCGGTTGCATCCCGGTTGGTCCACTTGAGCAAGGAATGCCCCCCCTGCCACCATCGGACGGTCGTCGTGAACCAACCTGGTGTTTCGCGGACAGCCCTAGCTTCCACTAGTCCCGCTCAAAGGTCCAGGGTCTTCTTATCGCAAGGTGTGATGTTGGCAGCGCGCCAGTCTTGTGCACACGCCATCGCTGCAGATGGGCAGGGACAACCCAGCCTCCTTGACTCCATTTTGTGCCAGTGGCAAGGGTCTTTCTTCCCCCTGCTGAGCGGGACGTCACCGTCCCTGTCGCTTGACCTTGGTCGATCAGACGCAACGCAAGGATCGACCCGTACTCTACTTGGAAGGGCAAAGCCTTTGTGTGGCTCCTCCTGGCGATTCGGCACATGCCCCTGTCTTGGTTCGACGACAATGGCTTGCTTCTGACGCTTATCCCTTGCAGGTAGGCGTAAGGACAACTCACCGATCCGAATCTCTCTCACCTGCGGAGGTCCCTCTGTTGCCCAGCGGACCCCTTCAGTCTCCTCTGGGGCGTGGGTGGCCTCATCCGTCGAGAGTACCCTTCTCCACAACGGGACGCACGCCTTGTGGCCTTGCCGTCTCGGTCAGCATCGCGCCTCTTGATGTCCGATCGTTCAACGTATTGTTCGGCAGCTGAGTCACATGCACATGTCCTTGGGCACTAGTTTGAATGCTGTGGTATTGTTTACTTTTCTACAAGTGAACAGCTTGCGCCACCACAATAGCATGCGTCTAGTAAGGCACCTCAGGTGCTGCTCCCTGATTTTCAGGCGAGGATTCGGCTTTGCATCCCGTCTGACGCGTGTGTAAGCTCGATCCGTGACCAGAACCAGATTCGCAGCTGTCATAGATGACTTTCTGAGCATTGCCACCCCTGTTGCGCCCTCTCTCCGAGCCTGCGGACCCACGCTGGCGCCGTTTGCCTTGCTTTCGATCGTTTTTGTTGACGAGCTCGCCCGGAGACGGGTAAAGGACTCGGTTTCCACCGTTGATGTTGAGCAGGCTTGATCCCACCATGGTCTCTGTGCCAGCAATGGCCATGCTATAATCGTCGTGCAGCTGCGTTGAAGTACCGGCAGACAGATCTTCGCGCAGCCGTGCTTCCGGACTCTGCAGGACGGCATTTGGGGCTCCGCTGTATGCTGGGCCTGGAGAGGAATACAGAGTCTCTTGATAGATGCCACCCGGGGACTGCACGGTGTCCCAGCTCGAGATCATTGTCTCTGGTTCGTGATAAGTCTGGTTGCCTTGCAGCTCTGGTAGCTGCGCCTGAGCCGGGCGAACTAGGTCTTGCATCTCGACGGGCGGAAGCGGCATCAATGGAGGATAGTTAGGCTGACTAACGGCACCACACATCGGCAGGAAGAAGTGAACAGTCGCTAGGACAGTGTATGGACCGGTGACGAGTAGTGGCCCCGTGGGGTCAGGGAGCCACAGCTGCGAGGAGTAAGCGTTGAGTCCGTCTGTCGCTTGTGGTTGTGAGGAAGTCCATGACCCACAACTAGCGTCATTCTGCTCGCTCACTCGGTGACCATGGACAAGGCTGTACTGCGCCATGTGTCCGGTATTGACGAGGTGCGACTCCGGAACCATATCCTGGATTGACGGCAGTCGGACTTGGGCAGGCTTAGAAGTCATCGCATATGAAGTGCTAGAGAGCAGAGACTGTCCTCTCAAGTCGTTTTCAGGGTACTCTGGCTGACTCTGGTGATGCTACGGTAGTTGGCGTGGGCTACTTGGAGATTCGGGAAGTCGAAGGACTCAGGTAGCAGACCATGTGGGCTCTTATTCTTTTGACCAGCTAGGAATAAACGAGAGTCAGAGTCGATTCACTGGGCGCTTACGTTGTAAGCTTCACCAACTGCACTCTAATGGGCAGTAAGGCCATCCGAGATCTGCGAGCGCTGAAAATGGAGCTCCCCCACAACCCCAGCTCCATCCACTTCGGTACGCTAAGCAGGGAGCTAATTTGTGCAGCTGGTTTCTAGCGCCGCAGCTTCCCATGTACCAAGGAGACTACTCTCGGCTCCTCCTGGTGCTGCGCGGACACTCCGCCATTGCTCGCGTGCGTTCGAACATAGGAGCTAGTCAAGTCTCAGAAAGGCATTGCACAATACTGTACGCTATACTTTGACGAGACCCCTTCGCCGGGACGCTGGCTGATGAGCATTGAAGTGCCTACGTAGGAGACACCTAGTACAAGCTATCGGAAGTATCATGGAGCTGGTTGTTGAGAACGCCGCGCCGAGGTCGAGCATGGCAAGCTCAGAATGCCTTCCTTCACAAACCTCCAGGGCTTGCCGGAGATGGGCGCGCGGAACCACCTCTGCTATGCAACGCTTACATGGGTGGAGCGGCATGGCATCCGCGCCCCTGTAGAAGTGGAGCCCCACTGGCAAGCAACCCTGGGATCCTAGCTCCCTCGAGAATGAGAGCAGCCAGAAATGGAGCAGCGGAGTGCGGGGCAGCAAAGAGAAGGAGGCGCCAAAAATGGAGCGCGGCTAGAGGACCCTGCACTGACACAGTTGCGGCTTCTTGATCATTTGGCACAGACAGCGCCTCGACACGTTGCGACGATCAGAGCGTCCATTCAGCCGTTGTCTCTGAAGTGGCGTTGCCATATCGACAAACATGGTTCTCCCGAGCACCTTTGGTGGTAGGAAATGCGAGCCCTCCACTTTGATTATGTATCTTTCTTTCTCGTGAGCTGCCCTCCTTCTCAGTGGCTCGCTGCCGATATTTGGCTCGTTCGTTCCGGAGCTGGCACTTCGAAGCTTGACGCACTCCTCCTTGGCCCCATTCCAGTATCATGTAAAGCTATCATTGTGGTTGTCACTCCGGCGATCCTGCTCGAGTAGTCGCATGCCGAGATTGAGGCTCTGATGACATCAGCCTCGAGTTGCTTGGCCAGTCGGAAATGGCATCAGTGCGTTTACAGCGAGAGGAAACGAAGAGAACTTCCCAGCATGGTCTTCATTTTCACCAGTTGCCAGCGACCTCACATCGCGCAGTCTCCTCTCGGTGATCGCCATAATATGTCTCAGCAGGAGCACATGAGTTTAGCGTCGTGGTGGCACTTACACAAACATCGTAGCTTGCTGGACGCTCTACCACCTTCTGGATGACGTCGCTCGTTTCCGATAGTATGTGGGCAGTGTTGCCGCCCACGCGCCTTCTGGGCTTTGCCACGATTACTTCCGAGATGTTATTTACTGTTTAAGACCGTCCTCCTAAACAAAGGTGCTATCATAACAAGCCGCGCACTAACGTCCATCCCTGCATCGCGAGCCACCCTGCGTGCCGAGCCAAAATACAGGTACTTTACCTTTGACACAGACTCTAGTCCACCAATACACATGCAATTCCTCAAACTTGTTCGGAAGTTATAGAATGACCATATTTAAGCCACCTAATCCCTCTAAACCATCAATTTTGCTCAGCGTTGGGTCGTGAGCCCGTGCTCCGACCCCACCGATGTCTCGAAGCATTTCAAGACATAGCTAATCACACGCCACCACCATCTCCTCATCGCCTCTCATAGTTATAACTAGACATAAATCGAGTGTCGAATTCGGATTTTCACCACGAAAAGTGATTAGCAGACCCAAGGCTGTTGTGGAACGGTGATGTTGATAAAGTCAACAAGTCGATCGGTACCTTTCTAGTGGAGGGTATGCCATTTTCGGCTAGCGTCAGACGTTAAGTTAGGTGGGGCATGTACTGCTCGTACTGCCTGTGGCTGGTACGTTTGTGGCTGTTCAAAACTACTCACTGGGAGGAGGCAAGGTCATTCGTAAACGTCCAGAAATCAAATGATTTAATGAACAACTAGCAATATTGATTGCGACACCTCATTGCAGCCATCTCTTCACTCAAAGATACATAATGACCCTCGCAAGCTAACGTTGTAGGATGAGTTGGCCCTAATACTTTCCTGAATCCATTCAAGGCGTTGACATAAAGCTCGCCGGCTTTATCGAGTCGATTTTGCTTGTGGCAGAGGTAAGCGAGGCAGTATATGCTCCTAAGTGTGTCTGGATGGTCCTTGCCCAGCGCCTTCTCGCGACCATTAAGCGCCCGTCGGTTCATCGCCTCCGCCTCTTCGTACTTTCCCTGGTACTGCAGCACTCCAGCAAGATTGCTGACGCTCGTGAGTGTGGAAGGATGGTCCTTGCCTAGCGCCTTCTCATAACCATCAAGCGCCCGTCGGTTCATCGCCTGCGCCTCTTCGTACTTGCCCTGGTCCCGCAGCACTGCAGCGAGATTGCTGACGCTTGTACGTGTATCGCTATTCCCTGCGCCAAGAACTGCCTCTCGAACCTCCACTACCTTCCAGAGCAAGTCCTTGGCCCTGTCGTATCCTCCCATCTGCCACGCATACCATCCTGCGTTTGCCAATAACCGCGCCCATTCTGTCGCACCCTTAGCATCTGCAGGCTGGGTGTCGACAAGCTGCGCAATGTGAGGCTCAAGTTGCTGACACTTTGACCAGTTCTCATAACTCCCCGGCGGGTAATTCTCTGACATGATGTGCAGAAATCTCTGCTTCCATCTTGCCATATCACCCACTGATGAGAGCCAGGCCCGTGCACAAAACTGCACGAGTGCATGCATCTCATAGATGTCCTGTTGCACGGTCACGGCCACCAACGAGTAATCTTGGAGCGTTTCTAGGTCATCGTCCAGACCGTCGTCGTCGTGGTCATCTTCGCCGTCGTCGTCGTTTTCCTTCCCATCGTCGTGATGTTTCCTAATCCTGCATCTCCGCTGATAGTAGCTTCGCAGTACCCATTCCGGTATCTCCTGCGGGTGGAAATGGCTCATGAGAGAGAGCAAGTCTGCGGCTGACCGCCGCTCCTTCTGGATCTGTTCGAACGTGATCTGCCATGTCACCACCACCGAGTTCGCCGCCGTCCTGTCACGCCGAAGATCACCTAGATCTTGATTTAGCAGACTTTCCTTCTTTTTCTCATTCTTTCGAAACTGTTCCAGATACGTCGAGCATGAGATCCGTGGCCATCGTCGGGCGATATACGCGGCTGCCTGGGTGATTGCGAGAGGTATGTACTCGAGCGCTTGAGCTAGCGGGGCGGCTACCTCTTCCTCGTATTTGTCTCGAAGCTTCTTCTGAAGTAATTGCCTTGCTTGGTTCTCGTCCATTCGCTGCATGAAGAAGACACGCCAGCTGCCTGCTAGCCGTTCGGCCGCATCCCTGTTCCGCGACGTAACAAGGACCCTGCCATTCTCAGTCTGCGGCAGAAGCGTCGCCAATAGTCGTTGCTTCGACACAGTTGTCCCAGCTCGGTCGTGGCGTCTTGGAAAGAATACTTCGACATCATCCGCGTTATCCAGTATCATTAGCCAGTGTCCATTCTCCGCGCTGAACAACCAGTTGTACACCAGCTGCAGCACATCCACCTTGGGATCATGGCGCTGAGGCAGCTGCAGTCGGTCTGCAATGCCGCGATACGCCTCCTCAAACCGCGCTTGGGTATCCGCGTGCACCCAGAGCACGCACGTACTCGGCGATCGTTGTCGGACTCGGTGCGCGTACTCGATCGCTACCTGGGACTTGCCGATACCTCCCAGGCCGACAAGGGCGGCACGGCTGCCAGGCTGTGCGAGGGTTGTATCCAGCCACGCAGTCACGTCAGCTCGCTCGACGAAGTCGGCATCGGGAAGAAAGGGGACGGTCGAGAAGGGTTCGGCGCGTCGCGGTGTAGATTCTACGAGTCGTTAGTCTGCCGATTGTTGCTGCTTCGGAGAAGGGGTAGCCCTCACCCAGCTGAACTTGTGGTGTTGTTGAGGATGTCCCCTTTGTGGGCCTCTTCTTGGGCGGATTTTCCCCCAAGAGGGCCTTTGCATATGCGGCTGCCATGGCGGCAGCGTATGGCTGCCATTCCTTGTTTTTGTGCTCGTCTCCGTAGTCACAGACGCCTCGAATCACCCCAACGGGAATGCGATTCATTGTCCCAGCTGCTTCCATTTCGAGCCCGATGATGTTGTACTTGTCTCGCAGCTTATTCCTCTTGCGAGCATTTTTCATGAGCTTCTCTCCAGAGCCTATCGGACCATACCACACGCGAGTCCGTCTTGTGGCTGGTCGTGCTTCTCTGACTGCTCGTTGCTCGTTGCCGTCACCGCTCGTCTCGTACAGGACATCATTCTCCTGGCCCGGATCAACAAATGTCCCGCCAATGTGTTCCTGGTCCTTCATCTTGTTGTAGAATGGAAGGAAAATAGCTGCTTCATTCGGTGCGTGAAGTTTAATGCTTCCGATCGCTGACCTGATGACGGTCTCGGTAGTAGCCAGGACATGCCCGGATTTCAAGAGCTGAAACCCATCCGTCCCAGTCTCTTTCCCAAGGTCATATGCGATGAGTCCAGCGCTGTCGCCCTCGGGAAGAGCGACCAAGACGTCGCCTAGCCGGATGTCTCGTGCTTGGGTCTGGGAAATCCTTGGCAAACCAGCAGCCACGCCAACGAGCAAGCCGAACCACAGGTTAGGGAAGAACTTCTTGACCTGGCCCGCAAGCGCCGCAGCAGATCCTGTGCCGTATTCTTGGCCAGCAGGCAGAGGTGCAATGATGACATTATGTCCACACATATCGCCAGCGTGAAACACATAGTCGTCGCCGCGAGTAACGGCGAACCGGCCATGGTGTCTGTTATCCAGCATGTAGAGGGCGGCCTGCGTCTCGATCTCCAAAGGGGCAATCCATGCGACAGTGTAGTCGGCGGGATCCAGCTCCATTTTTTGTAAGCGTACGTTGAGAGAGGCAGTCGAGAAGTTGGTTCATAAAGAGCAGAAACGCAAAGGGCTTTTCCAGTGGCCAAGGTGAAAGGACGGGATGGATATGACGCGGGGTTGCGGCCGAGTTGCTCCGGAGTTCAGCCGCAGCTTCGATTTCCGAAACTAGGGGTTATCCTCTGCGCAGTCTCCCAGTTGACGTTCGCAGCATGGTGAAGGCATCAAATGCTCCTACAATCTGGATTTCACCACTGTTCGTTCGAGTCCGTCATCGATTGGGATGGGTTTCCCCACACTTCCACCAATAGCCCCATCCACGACATTTGACCGGATCGAGGGCCGGACCGTCTTAGCGGGGACCCATGTCTCGGGAGGGATCTTTCAGAGTCTTCGTGACTCAGCATCATGCTTGAGAATTGTACATGTCATCCGTGAGGGAACCAGCCTCTGCGAATAACACTATCATTATTGCAAGCGAGTATGAGTACGGTAGTAACGATGCAGGCTGTGATGGCCAATGTCACCGCCAAGGCGACATGTGACGTTCTTTTGGTGGCTTTCTGCAGTCCCAAAGGGGTAGGCCAACGCCGTCAACTGGTCCAACATTCGGCGAACTTGGATTGACCGCCAAGGTGGGACTCTCGGGGTCGCGGGGGCTCCCCGACTGCGCCCGCGCCGGACCTTCGCTGGTTGTTTCCAGAGGCCATACTCCTGCAGGGGACCGGTACCCCTGATTTCCCCCACGTGGGGACCTGGAGCCGGGACCTGGGCTCCACATTCCCAGTCCTGCCGGGCTTTGATCCGGCCAGTCCTCCAGTCTGGATACGAGGCCCAATTTTGATAGTGTTATCTGGTTGGTTGGTTGTCTGTGGTGTACCTAACTGCCGCGGCATGGAGCCGTTGGCGCTTGAGAGGGGCAGACTGCAGACTGAGGCAACGCAGTACCTAGGCTTTTCGAGCTTCGGCAGCATGTCACTCCCTGATAGGTAGAGAGGTGTGTGGCGCAACGCCAAGCTTCACAAGCACCATCAGGAACGGACAAGGAGCGTTGTATTCCGATTCCATCAACTCAGGCAGAGGATGATGAGTAACCACCAACATTCCCCCCCACCACCCGACTCAGACGAGGGGGAGCGTGGTTGTTACATACAGCGGCATGTGCATCTCAGTGGCCCAGTCTCATACAGAGCAAGATCGTCATGCCCCAGAAGAACCCCTCGCTTAGTACATGGCGTGTCCAATGGGCTTGGGACCCGTGGGCGCTTCCGTGCTGGACTACGAATCGTCCTCGGCTCCACTTCTCGGCTTGTCGTGAGTGATTGGCGCGGGTTCCCCGGCCGTGAGGACCTTTGGTCTGGCACCAATACAGAAAATCAAGCATTACACCTTCTACACACCTTTCATACACCTTCCATACACGGGACAGGTCTGGGAAAAGCCATCTATCCCGGCAGCAATCCATGCAAAGCGGCACAGCAAGCCTCGATGAGCAGGCTGACGGCGCTATCTATCGCCACAAGCCAAAATGCCGTATGTCCAATCCATTTGGCTCAAGCCCAGCATGGCGGCTTCCAGAAGCCACTGCAGAAAGGGCGCACGTTTTGTTCTACCGCGCGCCCCGTCGGACCCTAATTTGCCTCAATGTCAGCTTTTCCCCCCTCAAAGCTCGGGTTCGGCTCATCCGCGGGCTAGAGAACACGCACTACTGACCAGCTAAAAGCGCGGCTAGACACGGTTCGGGCCCGCTCGCGGAACTCAGCCGGATCAGCCACTTGCTGCTACTAGTGTGGCTAGAGCCAACCGTGATCTGTCCACCTTTTTTGTGCACCTCCCCCTTAGTTTCAGGGGCTACCACGGGAATGGCGAGCTAGCTTACGCTTAGCTAAAATTCCTCACGAGGTGGTGCTGTGGCGCTCTGGGTGGATGAGAACGCGCTGCAGGCTTTCGGAAAGTTGCATATTTCGTCAAGGCAACACGGTCGGAGAATGGCCTGACGAGGAGATTTACAGCGAGTGGAGGGGAAGGGGGGATCCTCGTGAGCAATGAGTCGGGCCCCTCAAATTTGACTTTCGGACTGCATATGGGAGTGGTAGTGGTAGCAGGTGATGATGCCCGAAGGGGAACACAGAAAGATAATGTGACGTGCATATCGGGAATCAAGGCCCTGGGAACAGTCTGGCCCGGTCGCAATCTCTTTTTTCCGCCCTCCTCATGCGCAAACTGCAAGATGCTGATTGCAGGGGACGTTGTCCAGCCTTGTAGAGCCCGGGCTGGTTGGAGCAGGCAGGCAAGTCTGGTCAGGGGGTGCGAGTCAGACCCCCAGTCGTTCAGCCGCAGTGGTTTGCAGTAGCATGTTCACCACGAAAATGATCAGCGCGCCACATGGGGAATGGCGCCATGTCGCTTGTCTTTGACTGCTGCTTGAGTGTCGGTTCAACATGTGCTAGTTAGCCGGCCATCACAACTCCATAAAGACCCGCACGCCCCCCATGTCCGCACAGATATCCGTGGGGAAGTTGATGTTCGTGTGGATTCTGTCCAAAGTCTAAAAAACGGCCACTGAACGACTTGTCGCCCAGGCTTCGCAAACCTTGCGATCCTGTGAACCTGCCCTGGCCAGGACCAGAGAGCACAGAATTCGACCGTCGCCATGGCCGAAGTCGAGAGTCGGAGCCTCGAGCTCAGGGCCGTTGCCTTGGGCGCCTGGGCTCTGGCCCTCGTGGCCTCACTACTACGCGTGTACGCTCGCGCATTCATCATGAAGGCATTTGCCGCCGACGACTGGCTCATGATGGTCTCGATGGTTTGTATTTGACACTTTTCTCCGCCTCTGGGGTATCCTAAGCAAGACTAGATACTGATCGCGTTGTTAGTTTGCGTTCACGATCAACACCATCACATGTGTGCTGGGAACCGTTTATGGTTCTGGCAGCCACATGGCGGACCTATCTCCTGAAAATATCGAGACCGCACTGATGGTACGTTCACCATGACATGACAGCTCAACGATCTGGCTGGTATTGACAGGTGCGACAGTGGTGGTTTGCCTGCTACCCCTCCATTGCGGTGACTCTAGCTTTCTCGAAGATCTCCGTCGGCTGCTATCTCCTCCGTATTGCGACACAGAGGATACACCGCTGGATCATCTACTTGGCGCTTGCTGCCACCATTCTAACCAGCACCGCATTCTTCTTTGTAACCCTCCTACAGTGCAACCCTATTCCCTTTGCCTGGCAGAAAATCACCGGGTCTGGAACCTGTATCGACATCGACACGGTCATCAACATCATGTACGCGTACAGCTCGCTTACTCTCTTTGCGGATCTTGCATTTACGCTTCTGCCGGCGTGGCTCGTCTTCAACCTGCAGATGAACCTGAAGACGAAGCTGGCTCTGACTCTTGTCCTCAGCATGGCCTGCATGTAAGTCGAAAACGACACCTGAGCACGACGACATACCTACAAGACCACGTTTCTGACAGATTATCGTCGCTTTAGTGCCAGCACCGCGGTCATCGTGCGCTTCCCCCATCTTCCCGACTTCAGAAACCCCGATTTCCTCTGTAGGTCCTCCCCCCCAGCACAAGCGCGATGCTTCAACGTACACGCCAGTAAGCAACATCACCACTGACATGAAAATCCCCAACACCCCCTTGCAGTTGCCGCCACCACCGTCTCCATGTGGACCCAGATCGAAGCCGGCCTCGCCATCGCCGCAGGCAGCTTCGCGACCCTCCGGCCGCTGTTCCGCATCATGCTCGTCAAGCTCGGCCTGACGACCGACACGGTCCCGACGTACGGCCGCCACGGGCCCGGCGGCGACCACAACTACCACGCCAGCAGCGGCGGCGGCGGCATCGGCAGCAGCAGCGCCTTCACCAAGAGCCGCGCGACCGCGCGCAACATGTTCAGCATGACCACGTTCAGCCGGATGGACGACGACGTGACCGACGCGGACGACGACTCGACGGGCCGCAGGGAGGGGAGCCTGGGCAGCACGGCGGACCTGCACAAAAAGACGGGCGGCGGCGTCGAGGTCGCCGTCGTGCGGAGGGACGATCGCGTCGGCGACTACACGGTGCAGATTGAGTCGCAAGGGGGTGCGAAGGGCAAGCTCAGGAGTTCTTCTGGTGGTGATGTGGCAGCGGGGGGCGGCCATCATCAGCGGGACGTGAGTGACCACAAGGTCTTGGAGATTCACTACACAAAGGAGTTTGGGTCGGGCCCTGGTTAAAGTCTTTTGCGAAGGGTGGCACTCAGTCCTTTTGATCGCAAGCGTTTCGAATTAGACGGCCAGATTGGGTCCTATTTCTCTGCCTATGGAGGCGATGGTGGCCGTAGGGATTTTGCTAGACGGCGGTACGTGTGGGGAGCCCACGGAAGCCATGTACATATATTAATCTCATTTACTCACAGCTCGGTACTGGTGCCCTTTAGTTCTGTCACATCTTACTATGTGAGGTTGGTTTAGATTGTATTCTAACCTGGTGAGTCTGGGAACCATGCTCGGATGTCCCAGTTTCAAAGACGTCGAGGACTATTTGCCAGGAACGAAAGCACACGACGACGACTTTCTGTTTCCTCGTCGGTCAGCTTAAGTGCGTTCAAGTCCGAAGTCAGATCCGGCTCCAAAGCTTCCGGGGCCGACACCTGCTCGTTTGTCGTCCGTGGCAAGAATTCAAACATCTCCGGCGCGTTCACTCCCAAGGAGCCCTGCATGGTCCGGGAGGACGGGCGAGAAGGGGATTTGCTGGGGGCCGGTTCTGCACTTGGGCCAAGTTCATTACTGCCGCCATTTTGCTTGTTGGATACCGGCGTCAGAGCTTTGGGCGACTGTTGTTCTTGGATCTTGCCAAGGGCATTGAAGAGATTCGAAAAGGCTTGGGGATCAAAAGCACTGGCTTTGGTTCCGAAGGGCCCTTGAACCGGCGTCACAGTTGGTAGAATTGCCCCTGGCGCGACCGGTTTAAAGGTGAACGTTGGCGGATTTTGACGGTCAGTGACTTGTGTGGTGCTCGCAGAAGCCAAAGCCGGGGTCGCATCGCGTGCGGGAGTCTCGCCTTGCTCTGAAAGCGGTGCAGCCGGCAAGGGAGACGTTATCGCCGGTGCCGAAGAAGCGGAAGGAGTTTCTGACGGTGATTCCTTGTTGATCATGGGAGACGATGGCGACTTCTCGTCCGATGCCATGGCCGCAGGGAGGAATGTGTACCGTTGTGGAAAAGGCGGAATCGACGTCGAGATGTCGGCCAGAATTCCGAGCGAGTTGTTTGTGAAGCTGAAGGCCTTGCCGACGGGCTTGGGAGTTTTCGCACGCGGCGAAGCTACTTTGGAAAGCAGAGATCTGCGATGCTCTAGTAGACGCCTCGCAGTGATCTCCATGCCCACATTCACTAGTGACCTCGTGACACGAACCCAGCTGTCCACAAGACGGCCGCTATCGTCGTAAACCTTCTCCAACGTCATGAAGTCCTCCCAGTCCTTGACGACCCTGATGGCCCTGGCTTGATCGACCTCGAACCACTCGCGGTGGCTTCGCCGACAACCCTGGCAGACACGCTCGGCACGCCACTCTGGGCTGAGCTCGTAGTGGACTAGCGTCTCTGCCCGTTGGGCAAATGGTATTTCTCTGGATGAGTATATCAATCTGGGTGTATAGCCGCAGCTGGCCCACTCTTCGAGACGACTCCGGACTGAGAACGAGGTCCAGCCAATCTTGACGAACCCGGGGTCCTCGTCGCGAGAGTAAATGTAGATGTGGCCACTGCTGAAATCCCTCAGTCCCTTGTCTTTCGACAGAGAGAGGCGCAGCTTGGACGCGACGTCTTGACCAGGCTCTTCGATATGAGGCCGGAAGCGCGAGAGTGGTGGCCGTGCAGCAGATGCCGTCCTGACCCGGAGGGAAGCGATGGTGGCTGCGTCATACTTTCGAATCTCCTCTTTCCATCGCCGCGCCAGGGGAAGCAGCAAATTGCGTACCCCGACATCCTCTATGCGGTTGCGGTGTCGAGCCCCGCCGGGTTTCGGGCCGCAGCAGTTGCACATCGCGAACTCTTGCAGTACTTCGAGACTGGGGGGCTCGTCCGCCGTGACGATCTGGTCGTAGAGCTCGTAGACCCTGTCGTCGTCCGCCTCGCATCCACTCCAGCAGCAGCGGGCCCCTTCTTGGGTGATGTATATGCACTGCCGGTCTGGCACCTGGTCCGTGCAGGGCAGCGGCAGCGCCGTCATCCCGCGCGGGACCATGCCCCCGCCCCACGGCAACAACCATTTCTGGCTGCCCCAGCCAGACGAGCGGGACGACCTCGGCTACCCACTGGTGCACGGCGTCATTAGAGTCGCGTACCTGTTCTCGCGGCGGTATGCCTACACGCAGGGCAGCACCACCGCGATGTTCGATCCCCTTAACCAGCCGTCCGACAGCAACCCCAAGAGGCCGGTCATCTGCCAGCTCGTCGCGGGACTCGGTGCCGATGGGCGAAGCAAGGTCAACTCGGACGGCACGTGTCCCCTGGCGTGCGGGCCGGCGGCGGGGGAAGATGTCAGCTTCCGTTGCTCTTCGACCAGCAATGAACGGAACGTCGGCTCCAAGAGTGCGGCGGAGGCGGCTGGGTGCAGCCGCTTCGTGCCGTATGTGGTGGGACCAGTATAGGAGCTTAGTTGGGCATGGCCGCCCCCATCTATCCGTTGCACCGTAGGCGACCGCGTCGTAGTCAATGTCAAGAACAGCCTGACCATCATTCAAGCTGGTAGTGACGGTCATTACCAGGGGCAAGTTGGGGTAAGCCCATAGTTAAGGGTGGGTTGGGTAAACCCCTGTTAGGTGGATGGACGGTCACTACCAGGACGGTCATTACCACAGGGGTCTGGGACGCGGCTGGACCCCTGATCGTGTCTGAACCTAACCTTAACCCTCAGCTAACCCTGGTGCTGTGCCGTATCTCTCCTGTCCTCTCATCAAATGACCCATAGCACATGGCGCGGCCTGGACGCGCTCGCCACCCTGACGGCGAAAAGGTGTAATAATTACTAGTACAACTACGCGTAGAATAGAAAATACACCTCATATATACACTATCTAACTCTTCGATCTGCACACAGTCCAGTTGTGAAAGGACTATCTAGCGATGGCGATACACTTCGAGGCTGACGATAGTCGCACCACCGGGGGCCAGGTCGGACTGCTGAGCTGGCCTGCGGCTGACGCCAGGAGTAGTTACCAGGAGCATCGCGTCCTCATCTGCGTCTCGTGCAGGGATTCGGCCAGACAACGGCATACGACTACACTTCCGGCGGACGCACAGTCTCAAGGGCGAGGTACTACGCCAGATCATCGACTACAGCTACGCCGTAGGGCCAATCTCGAACCCGCACACCGTGCCAGTGCCAGCCGACGATTCACCCCATATAGAGCAGCTACCGGTCCTAGACGGCTTCAGATGCTCGGACTGCCGCTTCCTAACGACGAGCCGGAAGCTAATTAGGGTCCACCGCTCGCAGTCAGGACACGATAGTGACTGGAAGGAGGTCCGGCTGCAGACCTTATCACCAGGGAGCCACGCTCGGTACTGGGTAGTCAAGGAAGGAACGCGCGGCATACCAGGCTTGAGCACACATACCGCAACCTCCTCACAGCACGCCTTACTCGAGCGGGTTGCGAGGTACGAAGAGAATCTAGCTACGGAGCTGGAGGAGACGCGGCGGACGGTAGACAGCCGGCAGGGAGCCGACTTCGAGTCGACGTGGGTCCGCGAGATGGGCTGGGCAAGGCACCTAGCCGGCAGCGACTTTGGCGAGCACTTCCAAGCAGGTCGGAACGTTCTTACGGCGACGGAGCGCGCCAGGCTACGCTGCGAGGCGGATATCTCCGAGCAGAAGCGCCTTCTCCGGCTCGGAGCCAGTTTTGACCGGCTTATCGTGAGAGGAATCGAACGGACAGGTCAGGTGCCAAAGGAGGTACTCCGGTACCTAGCCAGTGTGGATCCCGACCGCCCGGCCGGTGGCCCGTTCAGGACGGAGAACGGCCAGGACACGAAGGATCGATATCAGGCCTACTGGAAGCGCTACCTCTACTATTGCGTCCGGACTGGGCGACTCGGCCGAGACGAGGCTGCAGAGAAGTTTCGGATACGATTCAACGATGCCCAGTGGGCTGTACTTACGGAGATTATTCGGCAACTCGATAGTAGCGATCCGAGCGTCCAGGATAACGATAGGGACGACGCCTCCCTAGCTTCGTCGACCTATATCGGGTCTGAAGAGGCTGCGACTCCAGGGCACGGGGTAGTGGAGGGGGGGAGGACCCGGCCGAGGACCCGCTCGACGAGCCCGTTATGGCCTTCTACGTCGAGTCGTTACAGCAGAAGGTCGCCGTCCACCTATTCAGCAACCCGCTCCTGCACTTCACGGTCGTACTCGGGATTAGCAGTAGCCGTAAGACCTACGCCTGGCGGCCAGCGACCGAGTTTACACCTCTTATAGCTGGGCTCGTCTGGTGTGCCCGTCTGATCCTACTAGAGTATATATTCGCGGGTTCAGAAGCCGGCGAAGATATCGACGAGGAAGCTATTAAGCACTTCCGCGCGCAGCATCGCGACTAGCTTACTGACGGCTCGTTCTCGCCCTTTAGCGCGATGATTCGGATGATGACGTACGGCAAGGGCTTCCGGAAAAAGGAAGGCGGTACACCACGGCTGATGTGGGAGGATAATAAGGATGCATTACGATACCTCGGTAATCGCATCCCGCTTAACGACTTCCGGGTAATGGCAGCAAGTATTGTGACAGACGCGGAGGAGCTCCTAGACCAGCTCATGTTCAGGGAGTGGATTCCGCTAAGCCAGGTCGTTGTGCTCCGCAGAATCAAGGACAGCCTCAGCTTCGAGGGACCTGGGGCATCATTCGCTACGCACGAAGATAATAGCTGGCTAGAGCCACGCTTCCGCAGGCTAATCGGCCCATGTGCCACGCAGCTCTGGGATGACGAGGCGGGAATATTCCGTGCGGCAAAGGTTCAGCAGTGGCTCGGTCAACTCCAGTCCTTCCGCCAGGCCTTACTTGTCAGCACACATACGTGGGGAGGCCAGCCGGGGAGAGGGCCGGAAATTATAACGATCCGGCACTGCGACACCCAGGACATGCTCCGCAATGTCTTTATATTCGACGGCCAGGTAATGCTGGTAACGGACCGCGACAAGGGCAAGGCAATCCGCGGAATCGGCCGAAAGGTTGCCCGTTTCTTACCAGATACTGTTGGGCGACTAATGGTCGCCTACATTCTATGGCTACTACCGTTCGAGAGACTCCTGCTCACAGAGACGAAGGCACAGGAGCTATCGAAGCCGCTCGACGCCTGACCATCATTCCGGCGGGAACTTGTCTGGCGCAGTCAAGTTCCTGACCATCATTCCCGGCCGGGAAGCGCTCACTTTCGCGCATTCCTGGTGGGACAGGGGGCCGGGCGCACGGGCCATTGAGTGCATTCCGGTACCCCAACTAACCCCAGATTGAGTTCATTCCGGCCAGCGAAAAATGGGCTAACCCCCAGCTAACCTAACCCCAACCCCAAACTTCACCCAACCCCAACTAGCAGGGGTCCGAACCTGTGGGGCCAGTCGCGCCCATATATGCATATATGTACAGGCCGCACGACGACGAGGGAGGCGCGTGGACCACACTAGAGTAAGCAGGCAGGCAGGCGCGCGCGTATAAAGAGAGGGGTAAGAAGAGGAGGGCCAAAAAAATGCCACGCCTGGGAGTCGAACCCAGCTATTAGGGTGAAAGTCCCGTATGATTTAAGTGGCCGCGCGCCCTCTTATATCAGACCTCACGATAGCGCCAGACGACGACTAGAAGGCCACCACTACGTATCCAGATAGGCCGCCAGGGCGAGCGCCCAGAAAGGGGCAGAAAGGAGCAAAAAGCTACTAAGCCTGGGAGTCGAACCCAGGTCTCTACTGTTAAAAGCTTGACGTCCGGACCGGATGAACCTACAAGCTTAGGTATACGGACGAGCCTATAACGACAGACAGCCTAAAAAAAAGAGGTACCAGAACGACCCGACCCTTACGATAAGGCTCGAGTCGTTCTGGTACATGCCACGCTGTCACGATCCTGCCTCCGGGGTCAACCGTCTGGCAGGGCGCTGGGGTTGCTGTTCTGCAAGATAGGTAAAGCCTGTGCAATCACAACTAACACTCTGCTGTCGTTCTCTCTCTGGGTTGTCGTTCGTGTCTCTTGGAAGAGATACCAGTCTCGGCAATTGAGTGACTAGTTCAAGTGGGGGTGAAACTGATACTTAGATTGATCGCTGAAGTACAAAGGTAGTGACTGTGTATCTAGGAGATCCCCCGCATCTATATATCCTTTGTCCTTCACCGTGGTCATGCCGTGCTCGACTGACGGTCATGGTGGTTTGTTCGTGACCATCAGTCTTGGCATTCGTGATGGTCATGCAGGCGATGCATGACCGGTATTCTCCGTTCCTTATCCTTATCGTGATCCTTGCACATGCTTACATAAGAAACCTGTGACGGCACTGCCACCTGATCCGCCCTTGTCCTTGGCCTGATCCTGTGGCCTAGTTGTTTGTGCTCTTCTCGCCCAAACAGCCGTCCCCTGTTGGTCGGGTCGTCACACACGCCTAGGAGTCGAACCTAGGTCTCCACTGTTGAAGCTTAACGTCCGGACCGGATCAACCCACGAGCGTAGGTTAGAGACCCTTATTCCTGTGGCCGATAATGGGAAAGAAGCATATGACAGTGACGTCATAACCGCTAGACCAGCGAGGCTCTCTGGCTGTTTGTTGAATAGTCAGTCGCTTATTTAGATATATAAGGCTCAGGCAGGCAGGCAGGCAGGCAGGTCGGCAGGCAGGTCGGCAGACAGGTAGGCGGAGGAGTAGCAGTTCGTCGGGGGCGGTGGCAGGTCGGCAGTGGTAGCAGGTCGGCAGGCAGGTCGGTAAGTAGTTAGCATAGCGAAAATACCTCCGAAGCGGAGGAAGGGGTACCGGTAAAATTCCAAAAAACATACCACCAGATTCTCCGGACGATTCTGATAGTGAGGACATCTCGAAGTGGGTCCCTGTCCGGCCCGGGGCCGCTGTAGCCCCACTTCGGCCGAATCCGAACCCCCTACCTATCGGTTCAACAGCGCGTAGCTCCGCCCCACGGTATCCTATAGTTTTGCGAGTAATATCGTTCTGGCCGCCTCGAGACGGGCTACACAGCGATATAGGTATCGCCCGGTAGGGTGGGGTTAGCGGCGGCTGGGTGCAGTTTAATCTGGTAGGCCGTAGCGAGGTTAGGGTTTCGAGGGGCCCGCGTTTCCGGGACCTACTCTACGACACCTAGAGCGGGAGAGTTCTAAGCCAAAAAAGAAGTAGCTAACTGTATTTCTAATACAGTTAGCTACCTCTTAACGGCGCGGCCCGGAGTTGAACCGGGGACTCCGACAGGTAAAGCCTGTGGCGTCTTAACCGCTGGACCACCGCGCCTGTTTGTTCTGGGAGACTGGCTGCTTATTTGGATATATAGGGTCTAGTCGTGGCAGGCTGGTAGAGGAAGCAGGTCGGCGGCGGTGGCAGGTCGCTAGCGGTAGTAGGCCGGCGGAGGTATAGCAGTTCGGCGGCGGTAGCAGTTCGGAGGCGGTAGTAGTTCAGCGGAGGTAGCGGTTCGTCGGCAGTAGTAGCAGGCCGGCGGAGGTACGGCAGTTCGGCGGAGGTAGCGGTTCGTCGGTAGTAGTAGCAGGCCGGTAGTAGTAGTAGGCCGGCGGAAGTAGCAGTTCGTTAGTAGAGGGAGTAGGCCGGCGGCGGAGGTAGGTTATTCCCGGCCGGGAAGGGTACGGGTTATTAACTTGAGGGCATTCCGGTACCCCAACTAACCCTAGATTGAGTTCATTCCGGCCAGCGTAAATGTGCTAACCCCTAGCTAACCCAACCCCAACTAGTAGGGGTCCGAACCTTAACCCCCCTGACCATCATTCCGGCCCATAGTTGAGCTCACTTTCGGTCAAGTTTGGTGGGGACAGGGGGGTGGCGCTCGGGCCATTGAGGTCAACTACGCTACCCCAAGTGAGCTCAACTATTGTATGGGGATCCGCCCATGGGGTTAAGCTAACCTTACCCCAACCCCTCTTACCCCAAACCCCAAAGGGCTAACCCCCCACCCCCTAAGCTGGGGGCCTTTTTGCTGCTACACTATATATGGCTGCATTATCGCCATATATACTATATGTCATATAGTACTGCATCCTGATTCCTCTATAGTACAGACAGGTACGGGCTATGGGGGCCGCGGCGGTGAGCCCCCCAACTGAGGTGAGCTATCATGTATGGGGTGCCGGCCGGCCGGGGGTACAGCGATTATGGGGCCCCGGAGGGAGGAGGAGAGGCCCAGGCGACCACACGCAAACACGCACCCGGGGGGCCAAAAAGTAAGATGGGAGAGAAGAATTGACCTGGGCCCAAGAGCCCGTGCCAGTTTTTCTCTCCTGCGGCCCGGCCCGGGATTGAACCGGGGATTCTGCAAGGCAGTCATTGCCAGCAGCGTCTTACCGCTTGACCACCGGGTGTCTCTGTTCTGGGAGACTGGCTGCTTACCTGGACCTATAAGGTCAGGAGGCCGTGGCTCAGTAGGTCGGCGGAGGTGGCAGGCTGGGCGGCAGCAGGCCAGACGACTACGTTATATATACCTAACGGCGTATCGGTAAGAAGCCCTAGCCCGCCCAGGAGTAATATAGAAAGCAACATAGAATAGAAGGGCAAGGTAAGAACATCGCATTCGTTAGCTTAGACTAGCAGAAATCTATGCATAGTGAAGAGCAGACCCTCTCTCTCTCTCTCTATCTCTCCCTATCTCTCCCTGTCTCTCCCTGTCTCTCTCTATCTCTCTCTGTCTCTCTCTATCTCTCTCTCTCTCCCAACCTATTCTTATCTCTATACCGTGATCCCATCCAGTATAGCCGAGCTGCAGCGCTCGGCGTCCTGTCAGCACTCAGTAAGTATACGGATCCGCCTCAGCCTCTGCCTCATATTCCGCCACGGCCTCCGCGCTCGAGTCGGAGCCGTCCCAGCGGTTGAGCGGGTGCGTATGTGCGCGGGCCTCGGACTCCTCCGCGGCCGTCATATCAACCGAGTAGTCCCAGTCACAGGTCTCGCCCTCTATGACGCACTGGGCGCAGATGCCGGGGCCGTCCGCGGTAACCCGGAGCCGGTGGCAGGTGAGGAAGATGGGGGCGCGGCCCTGTATGAAGCGGGTGGCGCAGTTACTACACTCCGACGGGGCGTGGTCGTCCTGGAGGACGGAGGCGGGGAGCTCACGGCCACGCGTATCGCAGAGGATACTCAAGACCGCCTCGTAGGTGCGTTCGACCCAGAGGTCATGCCAGAAGTCGGCGTCGAAGAAGAAGCAGGCGTCGCGCCGCTCTTGAGGGTGGGCGCGGACCAGGTCGAGCAAGTCGCCGTGACCGGCAGCGAGGTCGGCGGCTATGTGGCGGTTGACGGCGAAGCTGACGAGGCGGAAGCCGTTCCTGACCTCGATATCGACGGTGAAGCGGTGGCTCCTCTCACCCTCGCGCGGCCAGCGCAGCTGTCGGGTCGCGTGGCCCTCGGCAGCTTGCTCGCGGAAGGCCTGCGGCTCATCCAGCCGTCAGGTCAGCCTCACACTGTCTCCAGCAAGGTCAAGTAAGGTCGGGAGGGGAGGGAGTAGCTCACATTGAAGTTCTGCACCTGCTGGATCGCCATTGTCGAGGCTGCTGCAGTCGGCGGAGTTGGTATGGCTGTAGTTATGGGTCTGCTGCTGTACGGAGCACGCCGGGGTGATTCTGGGAGCACGCTGTCGGCCAAGACCGAGAGGGAGGAGCCGCGTGTTGGTGCGTCGAGTGAGTATGGGGAGGAAGGCTGGCGGAGATGGCGGGCAACGGCGAAGCGCTGTCGTCGAGTGGGATATGCGCGCTGCTAGGTCTGCGTGTAGGCAGCAGTGTCGTCGGCAAGCAGAGGCGGCGCGGAGGAGCCGGCAGGTATGTAGGGAGTGGTCGGATGTGAGGAGGAGGATGGAGAGATGTCGGCGGAGGAGGAGCTGTAGGCAAGCACGTTTGCTCTCTTGTGAGTAATGTCGCACAGGCGGCGGCGTGGTCGGCGAGCAGGAGCGGCGCGGATATGCAGGAGCTGCCGGATGGGAGTGAGAGTAAGAGTGAGGAGGACTGAGAGATGTTGGCAGGAGGTGAAGTGCTGTGCTGTAGGCAAGGACCGTTTGCTCTGCTGTCTCTCGTGACGTGGAGGCAGTTGCTGCGAATGAGGGCTGGCTGGCCTGGAGAGGACTGCGCCGGTTGAGAAGACTCTGCGGCGGCGAGCCTGGTCAAGTCGGAGAGATGTTTGTGCGAAGGGGAGTAACGAGGAGGCGGCTGAACTGAGAAGGCGGCAGAGTTGAGCTCGTTTAGCTGGACTGGCGTGGCGCCGATGACGAGGAACGCGCTGTTCTTGGAAATGACTGCTGCCCTGCAGTACGAATCACGAAGCTATCAGTACCGCAGCAGCCTCTGCAGTCGCGCCGGAGAGTGAAGGAACTGGCTGCTGTTTTGTTTGCGAGACCGTAGCACGGATCGCGAGGTTGTCACCGCTGCTGCTACTGCTACTGCCGTTTGCTGTTTGCTGCATGCGGCCGTTGGTGCATATGAGCACGCCGTACTTATTGTGATATCGACTTGGCCGCCGCTCCTGATGTCTCCGACGGAGTTGTACGACTGCGATATCTGCGAGGGAGGTGAAGAACTGCAATATCGACAGCAGAGTTCGCGACAGTCCTGCGCAGACCGAGCAGCCGCACCTCCTCGTCACTGGTACCCGGCTCGGGCGATCAACAGTACGTAGCAAGCTCGCCAACCTCGTTGCCGCCAGTTTCGCGATACCTGCAAACACGACTGCCCTCACTCGTGCGCACCTCTCCGTCAGAGCCCGCCCTGAATCCATACATCTTCCGCGCGGCTCAACCCAGCCTCGCCTTCGACACATCGCCTGTCACCGCTGTTGCCGCCAGCACCCTCCTGTCACGCGTGCGTCAGAGGCCTTCTCCGGCCTACAGCTGCCTCACTCGCGCCCTCACGGTGGCCTTACAGTTCCTCCACCCAACCACAACATCACCGCAAGAATAATCGCCCGACAGCCTCAACAAGGCCTCCGTTCCACACGCCAGGCACCTCCTCCTTCGCCCTGCCCACCCTCTTTACGTCAGGCACGCAGACCTCTCGCGCATATATCAGGATATCGCCCTCCGCTGCCCTCTCCGGCCCGCATCCCACCTTCCATAACAACAGCAACAACCACCGCGGAGCACCACCCTCTCCGACCTCGCCTCCGCAGAGACAGCAGCAACAATCACAAGGACGGCAACAGCAGTACCGCCCTCTCCTGCTCTCGCCAGGCCTGCAACCCAACATCCACAGCAACTACAGTGAGCACCACGGCGCGCCGTTTGCCGACTCCCTGCCGCATAACTGTAGGTACTCGCATTCCTCCTCCACTGGCCGGTGCGCTTCAGCTTCACAGCCGCAGCTGTTGCCAGCATTCCAACCTGCCTGCCCGCTTGCCTGTCAGCTTGCCTGCCTGCTTGCCTGCCAGTTTGCCTGCCTGCTTACCTGCCGCCATTTCCTTCCCAAGTACCTCGCGCGCAAACACTCTGGCTGCCTTACTCACATTTGATCTCGCAGGCCTCTGAAGCCACGCCAGCTTCATACAGCCATCACCAGCCTCAGCAGCTCGCCCAGCGCACGGCCTTTATCGCTCCCGCATTACCGAGCTCAACTCTGCCTCCCCGTGCCTCCCTGCTCGCCCTCGTCGCCTCCGCACAGCGCCACATATAGGATACATATCACGCCCGCAGCTCAGCGCAGCCAAGGTTAGTCCCACCTTCCGCAGCGCCGTTGATCGCCTCCGCGCAGGTTTGCTTACTGCCAAGTCACCCAGATGTCTTCCTCCGGCCCTACTCTCCGCTTCCGCCCGGAGATTGCCGAGCTGCTTGGCCAGCAGACGTTCAAGGTGAACGCCAACAACCGCGGCTTTATCCGCCTTTGGTGTGGTGAGGGGCCGATTCAAGAGCTTCTCATAGAGTTGCTCGACAAAGACGTACGTTGGATATAGGCGATATAGTAAGAAGGCGAGGGTATAGACACAGCTAATGAGATGGGCTTCGACAGTACCTCGACGAGCACCGCCTTATTCCTGCCGAGCTCCGCGCCCGCGCCGGCGACCCGGTCCCCTCAGACGAGCCTGGGCAGGCCTTCATCAACGTCAACGCCTTTATCCTCGCCGACCTCCGTGGGCTGGACGACTTGCGTCACTGCCTCTCTGCCATTCTTCCAGGCCCTCGCAACCCCGTCGGAGGTCCTACCCGCCCGCGCCTCGAGGTCCTGTGGATGGCTTGCGAAGCTAAGGCGAACGCGGCCCCCTGCCGGTTCTGCATAACCAGCCCCGCCTCCGACAAGGTTAAGTTCTTCGAAACCTGTCTCGCCTGGCGCGGAGTCGGCGGCGAGAAGTGTATGAACTGCGCCTGGAAGATGTCCCGCGGCCCGGCCTGTAACGCACAGGAGGACGCTATTACTATCTGTAAGTAACTCGGCTCTTCCCTTGATATCTCGTACTAACTCCGTCCTAGAAGAGTAAAGCTGGAACGAGTAGAGCTGGACGCTAGCGGCCTTACTAAGGTACTCCTCGATTGTATTCATAGCGGCCGGAAACTAGAGAGTATAGTAGCTCTCATCGCCCTCGAGGCCTTCTTTCTAGTCTAGCAATATAACAATTATGAATCGCCATCCTCTTTCTCCATATATATCTATTCTCACTAGTGCCTAGTAGAGAGCGTAAGGATATAATAGTACTAGTACGAGGCCGAGGCTAAGGCAGAGCGCTAATATACTAAGGCCGACGCTACCTTTATAAAAAAAGGAGTCCAAAGGCCTGCTCCAGCGTAAGCACTCTAGAGCAGACCTTTGACGACCCGGCCTGGAGTTGAACCAGGGATTCCGCGTAGCAGTTGCCAGCGGCGCCTTACCGCTTGACCACCGGGCCTGTTTGTTCTGGGAGTCTGGCTGCTTATTTGGATATATAGGGTCTGGTTGTAGTAGGCTAGCAGGCCAGCGGTAGTAGTAGAGAGCGTGGCAGAGAGGGTAATAGAGAGCGTGGCAGAGAGGGTGATAGAGAGCGTGGCAGAGAGCGTAGCGGAGAGCATGGCAGAGAGCGTGGCAGAGAGGGTAATGGAGAGCGTGGCAGAGAGCGTGGTAGAGAGCGTAGCAGAGAGCGTGGTAGAGCTGATTTAGGTAACCTAAATTAAGGTCAACTAAGTATCGGTAGAGAGATTAGTAGTAAGTAGCAGCAGGCAAAATTCTAGCTTACCGCTAGCCGGGCTAGGGGTTCCCAACTTTAATGCGATAGCTTATTTAACGAAAAGCTAATCGACGCGACAAGGGGATGCGCGGCGACGCGAGGTGGGCTAGATAAGAGGGTATGGTTAAGGGGTAGAATATTGGAAATATAAAGTAGAGAAGATAGAAAATAAACAGTAATTCTATATAATATAATATCAAGACGATTTTACGCCTACGATTACGCCCTCCCGCGAAACGAAACGAACGCTAGTATACGCTAGCTATGGAGAGTATAAGAGATAAAGAGGATAGCGACGGGAGGGCCGCACAGGCGGGAGGAGACATGGAGCAGGAGCTAGCAGCGAGTATCTATCTCTACGAGCCCGCCCGGGTTCTAATATGCTTATCCTGCAAGGCAGCTATCCGGCCGGGGACGAATATTGCTACACACTTCCGGCAGAGGCATAGGTCGAAGGGGCAGGAGCTCCAGCGCGTCGTCCAACTCGCAACAGTCGCCGCTTCGATGGTAGCTAGTACTGGTGGGCTGGCGGACCCATATACGGCAGAGCTCCCGGAAGACAGCAGCGCGCCGATTCAGCAGCTCGCAGTACAGGCGGGGCTCCGCTGTAGCGCGTGCCGGTATCTCACAACAAGCCAGCAGCTTATGTTACAGCACTGGGCGGCGAATCGAGCAGATACCGCTACCGAAGACGGACGCCTACAGCACGACAGCCCCAGGAGCTGGACCGAGGTAGCGCTACAGTCATTCTCGTCGGCTAGGCAGCTTAGACGGTACTGGGTAGTTGACGCTCCAGTGCCGGGACGGGATGATCGGGAGGACGGTGTGGGGCCGGGACCGGTACCGGGACCGCAGGCGGGGCGGGAGTCGTTGATTCATAACGGCTGGGAGACCCACATAGCGGCGTACTAGGCTAAGATTACCGCCGAAGATATAGAGCGTCGCCGAACGATCGATCACAAGGCCGGCGTCGACTTCGAATCCCCATGGGTACGCCAGATGGGCTGGGCTGAGCATCTGGCCGGCAAAGATATGGCGGAACTACGGCGCGCCGCCGAGCCAGGTCTATCAACCAAGGAGCTAGCTAAACTAAGCTGGTCCGCCCGGAAAGAGAGGGAGGCTTCGGAGGCGGCGCTCGTACGGCTGGGCCAGAGCTTCGACCGGGTAATCGAGCGGTGCAGCCGGCGGATCGGCCAGGTGCCCGTGGAGACACTCTGCTGGCTAGCGAGCCGCGACCCGAACCGGCCGTCGCCGCAGCCGTTCCGCGTAAAACAGGAAGCGCAGACGATGGAGAAGTACCGGAGCTACTGGCGGCGCTATCTCTGCTACTGCGTACGGGTCTCCCAGCTCGGCCGTGCGGAGGCGAGGAGGAAACACCAGGTCCAGTTTACCAACGCACAGTGGGCCGCTCTCGAGGCCGTTACGGAGGCTCTCGATAGTACGGAGGAGGAGAGCTCCCGGGTAGGAGGCGGCGGCGAGGAGGAGGAGGAGAAGAGCGACAACGGCGGATATCTAGACGAAGCCGTCTTTACGTTGTGTATTCTGTCGCTTACGCAGCAGGTACTAATCCGGCCGTACGTAAACCCGCTACTCCACTTCACTACAGTACTCGCGATCGACCCCGTCCGAGTACGATTTCGGCCGCCAGCCGAGTTCACATCACTACTAGCAGGTCTAGTATGGTGTAGCCGCGTACTACTACTAGAGTACTTCTTCGAGCATGTGCCGATCCAGGAAGAGGACAGTGCTACGGACTCCGGCGAGGGGGAAGACGAAGGGCGTAGCCAGCTCCAGGCTAGGGATATCGACGTATTTATGGACGGCTACCGGCAGTGGATCGCAGACGGCTCGTACAGCCCGTTCAGTACGCTGACCCGGTTCTTAACAATCGGAAAGGGCTACCGCCAGAAGGAAGGGGGCCAGCACGGATTATCTGGGAGGACGGGCGGCAGGCGCTCCGGCTATACGGCTTCCGGATCGAGGTCCAGAACTTCCGGCGGATGGCCCAGGGGCTCGTCTCGACAGCCGAATCGGCGCTCGACGGGCTTCTGTACGGCCAGTCGGCGGTACTACTGGGACGGATCGAGCTCGGTAAAATCAACGACAGCGTAATGTACGAAGGGGGTGGGAAATCGTTTATCTCGAACCCGCAGAACAGCTAGCTTCAAGCTGGGCCCCGCGTCGTTGCCGAGCTCGTTTCGGAGAGGCTCTAGTCGTCCCAGCGGCAGCAGTACCACCGGGGGCGGTCGCAGAAGTAGCTAAACCAGATCGGAACGCTGAAGAGCCCGCTACTCGTACTAACGCACGTCTGGGGAGGCCAGCCAGGCCGAGGGCCCGAGATTACGAGCGTGCGGTATCTAGATACGAAGCAGCTAAGCCGGAGCGTCTATATCTTCGACGGGCAAGTAATGCTCGTAACGGACCGAGATAAGGCCAAGTCGATCCGGGGCTACGGCCGAAAGGTCGCACGCTTTCTCCCGGAACGGGTCGGGCAGCTACTTGTCGTCTATCTCGTCTGGCTGGTCCCGTTCGAAGAGATGCTACTCGATACGATTCGGGCTCGAAAACCGTCGGAATCGCTACGGCACTAGCTATAGAAGGACGGCCGGAAAGGCCGCTGGGGAACGGACGTGCTCACGAAGGAGCTCAGGGCAGCTACGGGGGGTTATCTCGGCGTTAAGCTAGGTACTTCGGCGTACCGTCATCTAGCGATCGAGCTAGGCCGGACGATCCAGGGGCTCGTCGTACAGCAGAAGGAGCTCGAGGTCGGCGCTAGAGACGACGGTTTCGGGCTCGAGGACGAGGAATTCGACGAGGCTACGGGCGAGCAGCGGCAGAGAGACCGGACGGAGCTGATCTAGGATCTACAGGCGACCTATAGTAGTACTATAGCGCGATCGCACTACGTGATTAATATCCAGTTCCTAGGGCAGCTACAGCCGCAGATGATCGCTAACTACCGCGAGATTAGCGGGCTCTAGCACTAGTATCTAAGCTGGGATGGCCAGGGTAGGGTTAAGTCGCCGGATAGGGCCCAGAAGCGGACGAGGAAGCGGAAGCGAGAGTCTACGGAGGCCGAACTCCCGGGTAGGGAGGAGACGATAGAGCCGAGCCCAGAACCGGCAAAGCAGAGGAGGCCGCTCCCCGAAGCCGTCGGAGAGGTCCGGCGCCGGGTCCAGCAAGGGCTCGAATCGATTATCGGGGCCGGTGCCCGCTAGAGGACGGCAGAGCAAGAGCAGGCTATGGTCTCGACGGGCACCTGGCCGATCCGCCGGCTGCACCGGTCGATCTCCCGGTCGAAGCTCTGGCCTAGCTGTGCGAGCGCCGCTTCCGAAGCCTCCCTCTCTTTCCGGGCAGACCAGCTCAGCTTCGCCAGCTCCTTCGTCGATAAACCTGGCTCGGCGGCGCGCCGTAGTTCCGCCATATCCTTACCGGCTAGATGCGCCGCCCAGCCCATCTAGCGGATCCACGGCGACTCGAAGTCGACGCCGGGCTCGTGGTCGATAATCCGGCCCCGCTCCGCGTCTTCGGTAGCCACTTTAGCCTCGTACGCCGCCATGTGGGCCTCCCAGACTTGACCTCCACCGCCGCCGTCCGGCCCCGGCTCCGCTATTGCCTCTGGAGTTGCCTGCCCTACTGCTAGCGATTCCACGATCCAGTACCGCGTACGATACCTCGCCGACGAGAACGACTGTAATCGTACCTCTTTCCAGCGCGCGTAGCCTATACCTGGCGAGCCCTCGCTGTGGCTAGCATCGCCGCCGGCTACTTCTCTCGCCTGGTGCTTCTGGATCTCATCCCGGCTCCTCGTCACGAATCGGCACGCCCGACAGCAGAATCCGGAGTGGACCTGGAGCTGCGGAACAGCTGGGCTGCCGTCCGCCGGCACCTCTGCTTCGTGTGGCTCTACGAGCCCTCCACGGCCCTCTATTGCCACTGCTGCTGCTGCCGCTGCCGACTTGACTACCCGTAGCTGGCCGCCCTTGAGCTGGTGCCTCTACCGGTAGTATGTAACTAGACCGCTCACGGCCGCCGGGATGCCTGCCTGGCATAGCGTGCAGATGAGCACGCGGCACGCCTTATAGAAGTACAGATCTAGCGTCGCTATAGGCTCCGGCTCTGTCGTTATTATCGTTATGGCTTTCGCGCCCTGCTCCTGCTACGCGGCGCTACTACGATCGCTGTCGTGATCACCTCCCTAGCTGCTGCGGTCCATTATACTTACCGCCTATACCTGCGACTCTCGGGGCTGCTTCTGGACTTCACTTTAACTCACGCGTAAATGTCCTTAGGTTAAGACCATGAGCTAGCATTCTAGTACGTGCCCGCGCGCGTCCGTTTCATCCTCATCCTCCCTC